GAAACCGCTGTTTTAATCCATTGGCAGCAGAAACCTCTCCCCCACATTTTCCTTGCTAGCCGCAACCAGGCAACACTCATCGCAAAAGCTGGTTCGGTATTTCGGCAGGTCCCTGCCGACCGAGTTCAGTGGTATTGCCAAGGAGCTGTTATGCTCCCCACCCACTGTGGATGCAGCTGTAGTGCATCGATCTACATTATGGATCTTCGAATAGTCTATCGAGCCGTTTTTTCGTCACCAGGCTAGGAATAGTTTGCTTATTGACAGGTTTTTCCTCTCGATTGTCGAGAGGGCGACATCTCGGTTTTTTCTGCCGATCTCAACTGTCACATTCGGCTGGATTATACCCACTACGTACGCACATCTCAAGCGAGGGCAAGACTTAGCTGGCTGACAATTCGTCTTGAAGCTAGTGCATAATCGTGTCATCGGTCACGGAGATTTTCCTCATCTGGTTTCCTTTCCAGGCGCCGTGCAGCAAGAGATAGAGTTCAGACTTCCACTTTCAGCGATCATTCACTTGACCGCTCAAGCCATCTCGTCCGTATCGGAACGAGAAACGGAGTGCTCATGACTCATTGAGTACGACAGTGACAAACGACAAAGCCGTTGGTTGTTGCGCCTTTCCAATCCCGTTCAAAGTCGGCACGTCAGCTGCGCAACACCCAACAGCAAGCGTCGGAAAATTTATCCTAGAGCTTCCCTTCAGCTGTTCAACAAATGGGAACCCACAATTCGTTATCTTCATTTTGTATACGACTCTTTGTCCTGCTGATCTGGCCCGTTGCAAAATTCCATTCTACACATGCAGGGCATGCTTGCCATATGACGACGATCACTGCACATCTACACCGCATCTAGGTCAAGATCAGCTCCCTGGACTTCGTGGACGCCATGTGTATAGATCGATAACGACCACGAGATTTGATCGACGCTCGTATGTGGCGATCTTGTCCGAGCTCGTCAGCGCGCGCCGAGCATAATCAAGAAAAAACGATCGAACTTGTGCACTAAGAGAAGGCAGTCTAGCTGGGGAGGAGCTCTGAACGAGCTTTAATCTTGCTAACGTAAACTCTGTTTGATTCCTGGGATTCTTGTACGATTTCCTCAGAGAGTATAGCTTTGGCCTTTTTTCATTATGCTGCGTACAGGGTACAAATTGTGCTGGCGATCAGATCGCCAACGAATCCTTCGAAGCTTACGTGGGTTCCTCTATACTTTCTGTGGCGTTTCACGTACTGACGGTACCTTCGTAGACGGCTTTGAGTTGCAATCATCCCCAGGATGCATGCGTCCTCGTGAGAACAGGTGATAAGCAAAACCCACCGAGAGAGCGCATGCACATGGCTCAGAGGATGAAAAGGTCGCTGCCAGTCTGACATCTGGATGAGACCTCGGTGTTGGGCGCATTTACTCATCTCGGCGCGACTATGGTCCTCAAAGTACGCACCTGTCTTCCACGGGCCAGGCGAAGTCTTCCATTCCTAGATTCGAGTCACCCTTTTCTCTCTCTTCACCGTCGATACGAGAGTTCCGAGCCAACGGCCAGACTCTGCACGTCTCTTATCATTGTATCGCTCGATGACGCTTACATCGAAGCGGCACGTACTCGTATCTTCTTCGTAAGGTTATTAGTGCTGAGATAAAGTGCTGGCCGCGAAAGCTATGGAGAAATCATGCGGTTGTACCTTACTCAATATTTGTGAATAACCATCGAAGGCCACCACAAGTACTGAAGACCGTCAGGAATTTATTGTACCTCGTGTTGCACGAACTTAACACAAACAGCTCATCTTACCAGCGATCATCTCTTTGCTGCGCACCAATCCCGATCAGCCTGGTTCATAGTCATCAGCCTGTACGAGTAGTTGCGTAGCTTTTGTTCTAATTGTTCCCTAACCACTTCTTGTTATCGTCCCGTGTTAGTCTGCTTCAGCCTCTAGTTGTTGCAGAGTTAATCATCTGGATCTCAGTGTACTGGTTGTTCTTAGAGACAAAAAACCTCTCTCTCTTCCTCCTTCCCTTTCTCGGTTTCACATAACGATATACGTTGTCCCAACAGGCGTGTGAAAAGGGTTCAGAACAACGAACCTTGTCATGAACCACTTGCAACGCGTACTACCTCAAATACAAAGTCAATGCTCCCAATATGACTTTCTCGAGGCCGCTCTTCAGAAAAGAAACTCGCAAGGAGAACTGTAACTGCCCGCTCGTCATTCATGCCAGTATGATGTCTAGTTCACTTCTGTGGCCACGGACGCGAGCGATGCCTATAGGCTGTCTAGTATAGAAACTCCGGATATAGGGAAGGTGAAACCGTGATCATCATCTGCTCTACAGTACCTTGACCATATCAAAGTTCGATGAAGTAGTTTCCCTATACTTGTTTCTTGCCACCACATCGTCTCGAGCGAATGACGCGAGCACAGTCTACTAGCGAGCATTCGCATCTGCTGCGATGAAGACAATTCTAGCGAGGCCTCTTCGTGTTTTTCTGGGCGACGAGCTAGATATGCGAGGTCGCCGTTCGACAGCGTCTTGCAGTCACAGGTCGGCTTATTAGCATCTCGGTAAAATCCTCTTACGTCCTGCTCCGAAGTCGACGTAGAGACATTAGCACTTACTGCTCGTGTACTAGCATGTGGTGTTAATTGAGAGTTGCATACCCACCGACTGCCAGTTGGCAAGCACATAACTCATACAGACAACTTTTGACTGACACCACGTGACTAGCGCAGCCTCGCCGGTGACTGCAACGATTCATTAGTGCTGCCTGAGGCACAAAGCTCTTTCGCAAGCAGTTTCTTATTGGTTGAACGTATCTCAGTCGAGGCATGATTCCTCAGGCTTATTCGCCCAGGGGTCTAAGGCATTCATTCATCCTCGAATAGATTACGTCAGGTTAGCCGTTGAGAACCTGTTTACGAGAAGTTACTGCCTCCGTGAAGTCTACCAATAACTTTTTGCAGCGCCCTTTGGTGTCTGTGTTGGTGTGTCACTGATGACGATACAATATGCGAGTCACAAGGTAAGCCTCGGTACATTCCGATCCCTGTTCAAAAAGAACTGCACAATCAGTCTGCCGTTTCCAAGCAGCTTCTACCTGGCTTTGACAAGCATAAGGCTGTACGACCGGGGTCTACATTGCAGGAAAGAGAAAAGCACTGAAGCTTCAACTCAGCGCTAGCAGTTGATGTTGCGCTCGGCTATTCTTGGTTGTTCACGTTGGCAAAAAAAACGTTCCTCGAAACAACATCCTCGACCGTCGGTGAAAAGCTGACACCTTCCGGTCATCTCATCCCTGCTTCCTGCCAAGTGTGATACGCCATCCCGTTGACAAGCAGCTGCGTCCATTGCCTAGACCGGGGTATGGAGAAAGTATTTTCACAAATACCAAGATTATGCCTCATGCAACGACCCATGCACCTTTCTGATTGTTGTTCGGGTCGACATTAAGGTTCAATAGGCAAATAGCACGTTTGCACCAGCATATCCCTTGATCCACCTTGCTGAAGCTGAAGAACTTCTCCGCCATGCTCCATAGCAGCTGCTCGTCAGGATGCCTGCCAGAAACAATGATTTGAAAGTGGAACACTGTTTGAAACATTTCCACCTGGTGGCAAACCTACCTTGGAGGACAACATCATTGAGTAGAGCAGAAACCTATACCAAGCGGGTACTGAGTTTGAAAGAAAACAGACAAGAGGTATACGTCGGTGCTTCGACGAGCAAGCATGCTGGTGGTCGAAAAATACGTCTGGACACTTAGCTTGCAGGCGTTCGCCAGCATGGTTGTTGCTTATTCTGACCTCTGTGTGCTACTGCAAGATTCTGCTTCTCCCTGAATCCCAGACTGCAGCAAGAAGTCTCAACCTTTTGCTTGAGACTTCAGACGCCTCTGGATCCTGCAGAGTTACTCCAGTTGAGGGTATAGCGGTCAGTCAGGAGCATATTGCGCAATGCAAACAAGGCCATATAGGCTAAACAGATGCGTTGTACTGGCAGGGACAAGCTCACAAAACGATGTTCAGGCAGGCGATCACGGAAAGCTGCCCACAACGTTCCGTGCTTGCATGGCGTTGTTCCGTGCCTGCATAGGAGAGCATGCAAACTTATCCTTCAGCATCACGCAGGTGAATCATGCTGGTATAGAATTATTGAGCAACGCTCTTGCGTCTCTCATGAACTCAAAAAGTTGTCGTTTCGCCCAGGATACGTCTGGTATGAAACACTGCGTACCTGGCGACCCCTGCACTTGTTGGGAACAGCCAGCATCGAGTCATACCCAATAAACATTTCAGTGTTGTGCTGGATTGTGTATAGCGGAATTACACTGCCTAGTGGTATCCTGGTCAAAATGACTTAGCAGTTGTTGACTCAATGTACAGCGCTTTTCGCATTTCCAAGGTATTCACATAAGCTTCAATTTTATACCCATGCCATCTGTAAATCCTTGATGATTATTTGCTGCATCTCCGCGGATGTATTTGTTGCACTTGCTAGTCTCTGTTACATCCTCCACTATGTCGATACAAGCAAGCTTGGTCCAGAAGTTGCGCAGCGTCGCACCTGCTGATGGATTTCAGGTGTCTGTTACTCGTGGTAAGGTCAACCTGAAGCATTGGCCTGGAACAAACACGTGGAACGTGATGGGCCCCTTGCAGAACATAAAACTAGCCGGTCTAGTCCGGCATCGTCATTGTGATAAAGGCCAAAGGACGTCTCCGCAGAATTACACTAAATTCTAAACGGCTGACTAAATAAGACAGCTCATTGGTCACTTTTGGCTGCACTTCAATAAATATTTCTCCTGCAACACGAAACACTAGTCGCGGATGTCCGAAGCTGAGCTTGTCTATACAAAACGTGTAAGCTTAAGCTCGCCAAGTCTTTAACGGTTTTCTTCGGTACATGTTCCAAGCCTGACTACACTCAATAACACATATACGTAGTAGGAACTTGGAGGCTCCTGGCTTCAAGCCTGAGGCACAACAGCTACTATGGCGGCCGCTCGATTGAGCCAGTTTGGAGTCCAACATGTTGCCAAAGGCATTGGCAGACTCACGACCGAAGTCATTGAGTCAGGGAGCGGAAGCTATGTTTCGATGGTAGGGGGAAAGCGATATCTGGATTTCACAGTTGGCATTGGTGTCGCAAATCTGGGCCATTGCCATCCAAAAGTCACGAAAGCGATTCAATCCCAGGTCGGTACTCTGGTCCACGGCCAAGTCAACATTGCCTTCCAGAAGCCTTACCTGGAACTCATTGAGAGATTGTTGCCCATGATGCCGCACCCGAGTCTCGACACGTTCTTCTTTTGGAACAGTGGAAGCGAGGCGGTGGAAGCAGCTGTGAAGCTTGCAAGACACGCAACCAAGAAGCAGAATATCATCGTAGTAAGCGGATCGTACCATGGCCGTACCTTCATGACGATGTCAATGACTCGTTCAAAAACCGTGTACTCGCAGAATTTCGGACCTTTGGTGCCAGGAATCTTCTCCGTGCCCTTCCCCTATTGTGCACAGTGCTCAATCGCCCAGCATGCTGGTGGCAAGTTCAATTATGAGAATTGTTGCATGGATCCAGTGACTCAGCTGGAATTGCTCTTGAAAAGGGAGACAGCCCCATCAGACACAGCCGCTATTGTCATTGAACCTGTACTCGGTGAAGGCGGTTATGTCCCCGCTCCCAAAGGATACTTTGACCGGGTTAGAGAGATATGTGACAAGAACAACATCTTGCTTATTTGCGACGAAGTACAATCTGGATTCGGCCGGACAGGAAAAATGTTCGCTGTTGAGCACTATGGCGTCCGCCCGGACATACTCATCATGGCGAAAGGTATCGCGAACGGCATGCCGCTGTCCGGCATCGTCTCTCGAAAGGAGCTGATGGACAAGCAACCTCCAGGCACCATGGGTGGAACATACGGCGGAAACGCTGTTGCTTGTGCCGCAGGTGTCGCGGTCGCAGACGCCTTCAAGGAGGAGAAGATTCTCGAGAACGTGAATGCGAGAAGCAAAGAGCTGCGAGGCATGCTCGAGGATCTCAGAAAAGACCCCAAAGTGGGTTCGATGATTCACGATGTGCGAGGACTGGGCTTGATGCTGGCTGTTGAGTTCAAGCCTTCACCAAAGGGCAGCATTGGCTCAAAAGTCCAAGCAAAGTGCAAGGAAAAGGGAATGTTGATATTGACAACATCGATCTACGATACACTACGATTTATTCCTGCACTGAACATTTCGAAAGAAGATATGGCATATGGATGTCAGATCTTGAAGGAAGCGATTGAGGAAGTCGCTGCCGGTGAAGACCCACAGGAGACACAGACTAAAGGTCAAGCATTGGAATGAACTGGAACTTTGAAATCTAGATAATCATCAGTTTGCATCTTCCAGAGCAGTATTCTCTTTCCACTCGTCGTCTTTGTTGTCTAGAATTTTCGTTGGGGTTGCCTTTGCTTTGGCACAATCCTCCTCTCTGTCCTGCCAGGTCAGATCCAAGCGACATTTTGGCGTCTGCTTGTAGACTACCACCTCTTGATCTGAGACATGTGCACTGTAGCAAGCCCATCGCTGGGATCTGTTGACGTCGATTGGTTCCAGGCTGAGGTAAAATGGATGTAGACAATAGCCGTTATGGCGAACACGTGAAGCGTCTTTGCCTAGCATCGCGGTCGGTACGAGAGGGAGAGGGAGAGGGAGAGGGAGAGGGAGACTGTTTGAATCTTTGCTTACCGGAGCAGAAAATATCAAGAAACGCCTTGACGTGGTCGCTGTTGGGGTCCCAGTATGGAGGTGTCCTGACACCAGTCTTGCGTGCAGGGGTAGCTGCACAGACACTCGTCCGGTACGATCGAATGCGTTGGAACGCAAGGTGATGCCTACCTTCCGGGTTGCTTTCGCCGCACATAAGCCTAAAGGACATTTCCGCTTCAACTCGCCTCAGGGTAGTGTCTATGGCTGGTTCGTGGTGATGAGAACGGAATCTTACTGAACAAGACTGCTGACCAGATAAAGATGTTTGCAGTGATACTTCTTCGTGCTCTGAACGATGCATTAGGTTCGTAAGGTCGTCGTCTGATATGACTACACAATCGCAAACAGCGTGTGCAATGACCGATTCAGTGTAGTTCGGCTTGAGTACGAAGAGCTTGAGAAAGCATTGTAGGTGTGACTGGCGAGTGCTGTGTAGGTTGGTAAGTGCAACGAGCAAAATGGCGTGTATATGTGATGAGTGAGTCGCAACTGTCCAACAATGTGGTCGGATGATAGATCTTAATTTCTCATTGTTCCCTACGTATGTACGAGCAGCTGATGTGCATTTGTGCTTCCACGTACCACTCAAGCAGTTATCATAACCCCAACATTTGCATACCAGCCTCCCATATCCCCACCAAGGAGGACGTTTTCACCACTTTTCAGTCTTGTGCTTTCGATATCGGCCCAACTGCCTAGAAAGTCGGCATGACTACATACTCGCGTCAATTTACCTGTCACAGCTCGGTAGATATCCTCCATGAGCTCAAAATCAGTAGGGAAGAAGATGTCGAAATATCCTTGGTGTATGTATGGTGTTGTGACCATGACGTTTTCCCGTTTGTATCTCGTCTGTGCGATAGGCGCATTCAGACCAGGTATTGGAGTTGCTAGCTTTGTGAAGTCTGATATTAAAAGTCTGTGGTGAGGAAAGTGTGTTGTGAGAATGTCAAAGAATTGAAGAAGACGTGTAGGGAGGTACTCTGGTACTGTCAAGTTCGGTGCGAAAGGAAGACTGTGGCGTACTTTGCGAAGCCAGGGCGGATAGAAAGGCCTCGATATTGGCGTACGTGGTGGCTGGTGACGGGAGGCGGCCCGACGAAGACGAAGAAAGCGTGAGACAAGGTCATCGAGATTGGGCTCGTAATATTCGTAAAAGCGACCTTCCTCATCGATCAAAACACTGCCTTGGAGTGGTTGTTCTGTGTATGGGTCGTAGCGAAGAGTGTCATGCGCAAAATTGTCAATGACTTCCAGAGCCAGGAAAAAGGAAGGTTCCGGTACGTGCGTGTCCCAATCAAAGATTGACTTGTTAATGATCTGAATATGCTCGAGATGATCGGTAAAGTAGCGCGAATGTCGAAGACTTGTGTTCTGCATCTCTGCTAAAGATTGACTTATCTCAATGATGCGAAACTTTGTACGATGATAGACGTCCATATCTGTTTCTCGGATGTGATCCAGAATATTACACATCAAAGTCCCGTTTCCAGCACCTATCTCATAGATGACCAGATCATGGTATGGATATAGACTAGCCTTGTAGTTGGCGACCAGCCATCTTGCTATAGCTTCTCCGTAGTATGGTCTGAATAGCTCGGTTGGGGTGTGCCACAACTGCCGTAGATCATCTTGTTGTATCGCGTCAAGATCGTCCTCGAACTCGATATAGCTTTGGTCCACCAACTTCTGAAACTTGGCTCCATCTTCTATGCTGTTGAAATCAAATGGTTCTGCTAGATTGAAGATGGTGGCATTTCTAGGAAAATATCCATAATTAGGATTGTATAGGCTGTCGTCGATGAAGTCTCGGGTGAACATCTTGACTCTCGTCGGTCTTTGACTGCGGCGTGCGAGCTCTTTGGCTGTCAGGCGAGGATACTCTCGTATCTGCTTTGAGACATCACGAGGGAAATGGTCTAATCGTTGTTGCCAATTACTTTGACCATCTCCCATATAGTCGGTTCTCCTCCGCGTCGCATACTCTCGTCGCGTATGACTAAGATTCTGCTGAAAGCCGTTCTGAGCGGCCTGCGCATGGCGTCTCAAGCAGCCTCGAGCGGGTGCGAACAGCTGCCGAAAGATCTGGTTGATCGCTGGCGAATCCATCAGATGGAACAGCAGAGAAGAGAATGTCTCGTTGTTGTCTGCATTACGGTCGAGCTGCTAAAACACAGATATCAATATGTGGTTATTCTTCTGTTAATTGTATTGCTTCACACCTCTTCTCCGCAGTCGCGACTGACACGTCCGAAAGTAGTAACCACGATGTAAGCCGACGATTCGCCGTCAAATACTCTACCATCGACAACGATAAGTCCTGTGTCAATACCCGCACGGTGGTACGTACTCTTTTATTGTCGTCTGAGCAAAGTGCCGTATGTCTTACGAGAGCAGACATGTAGCAGCAGCATTCCTTGCAGGTACGACTGTGACTTACCTCGCGTTCGCTGCTTGGCAATATCTCGCTTCTCAACCAGACCAAACACAAACTGCTCGCAGAAGAAGGACTAAGCTCGGGTTGGCCAAGTCATCGCCTGTGTCCAACAAGAGTCCCGGCCATGACGACCCCAACTCTCCATTCATCTCACAATCAGGTGTCGGTGTTGGTATTGAGTCCACTATAAGCAACACTCCTTTAGTCCTCATCAAATCCCTCTCAGAGCACACAGGATGCACAATTCTTGGCAAATGCGAATTCCTCAATGGTGCAGGTAACTCTCCCAAAGACCGAGTCGCTCTCAGTATCATCAACAAGGCCGAAGCTGAAGGACTATTGACGCCTCATTCAGGTGATACGATCTACGAAGGCACGGTGGGCAGTACAGGCATTTCTCTTGCGACCTTGGCACGGGCACGAGGATATAAAGCACATATATTGATGCCCTCTGATCAAGCCACTGAGAAGAGTGACCTGCTTGTCAAACTTGGCGCCATTGTGGAACGGGTCACACCAGCACCAATCGTGGACCAGATGCATTTTGTGAATCGTGCACGCAATTTAGCTAAGGACCATACTGCCAACCCCCAGAAGCCAGGGAGAGGGTTGTTTGCTGATCAATTCGAGACTGACGCGAATTGGCGCGCACACTACGAAGGTACTGCACCCGAGATCCATGAGCAGACTGATGGAAAGATTGACGCCTTTGTTGCTGGCGCCGGGACAGGCGGCACAATTAGTGGCTGCGCAAAATACTTCAAAGAGAAATTGGGTGCGAACGTCCAAGTCGTTCTTGCAGATCCACAAGGAAGTGGGCTCTACAATAAGGTAAAACATGGTGTCATGTTCCATGGGCTAGAAAGAGAAGGTACTCGACGAAGACAGCAGGTCGACACCGTTGTTGAAGGCATTGGTTTGACCAGATCTACACGAAACTTCGAAATAGGAAGTGACCACATTGACGATGCGATCAAAATCACGGATGGCCAGGCCCGAAGAATGGCACGATGGCTATGTGAAAAAGACGGAATTTTCGTCGGTAGTTCTAGCAGTGTTAACTGTAAGTATTCCTAAATCGCAAAAACGCTATGGGGTATCTTTGAGCTTTAACTAATAAAACAAATAGGCTATGCTGCCGTTAAGACTGCACTTCAATTAGGTCCTGGTCATACAGTCGTAACCATACTCTGCGATTCAGGCATGCGACATTTGTCGAAGTTCTGGAAACAGGTTGGTGATGTCGGTGGTGAGGAGGATATGACATTCGAAGATCTTATGAAATAGGGGATAATCCAGTACGGCTAAAGGTGAAGAGCCTGCTGCATACGGTTTCCGAAGCTGCAGAAATGCGCTTCGTGCATAGTGGTGGCTGTTTCAGAATGTCGTGATTCACGGGTATCCAAAGAAGGCTGCTCAGAAGATCTGGTACGAACAGCGCGGGCTACGTTGCCTGATCGTCCTGCACAGCGATTTCAATAGCATGAGAGGTCACCACTGGCTCCTGAGCCGACTCCTTCTTAATAGTGTCAGTCAGAGCAGGATCAACAACAGAGGCCCCAGCCTGTCCTTCGCCATCTGTCGGGTTCGATCTCCAGGAGCGACTCCTGTACGTTCGAAGCTCCTCAATAAACTGCTCACCGCTCGTGGCATATTCCTCTAGGAAGATCTCAGCCAGCTTATTGCCAAGGTCAACGAAGGTCACTGTCTTGGGTAGCTTTGATTGTCTATACAAGCTGATTATAGTGATCTGCTTGTTTCCTGTGGTCAAATGCCTATTCACGAGCTCTTTGAGCTTGTCCACTTCTTCGGTCGTCCATTGACGCGGTGTTTGCGCTGGCTGGCGGTACACGTCATATTCACTCTGAAGTCGGTCGGCACCTTTGGTAGTGATCAGTAAGTGGGATGCAACGATATCCTTGAAAGACATGCCACTGCCCTCATGCAACTGTATCATTGCTTTGAAGTCAGCAACGCAGGTTTTGGCCGGGCGCGTCCTTCGCTCCACCTTGGATCGGACAGCATGAATGAACTCGATATCGTGTGGATCCTCATCGTCGAGCGTCCGCACAGCGAAATTGGTCAGAACTCTGTCCCAGTGCGCGCCGACTCCGTTCTTGTCGAGGTGGTTACCATTGCAGTAGTAACAGATACCCTCGTTCATCGGTTTGAAGACTTTTTGTCTCTCTATCTCTTTCACGACTGGGTCATCTGGGTTAGGACATTGCTCGACATAACTTGGCTCGGCCAATGTCTCGTTCAGACTTGTCGCTGATTCGACGAATTTTACCGAGTTAACCTTTCTTTGTTTCAAAGACTTTTTGCCAAGCGGCTTGCCAGAACGTGTGACGGGTTGTTGCCATGGGTGATTGCTCTTGTCTTGTGATGATTCCGGAGCCGTGAATCGGAGACGAGGGGCAGAACGCCTGCTGCTCCTTCTCTTTTGAGTATCCAACGTAAATTTACCTGCATATTCGACAGACATGTCGCCAAGCACTGACTGAGGATCAGGCTGTTCAGATAGGTATCGACTCCTCCGATTGATGCTTGACGGGTTTGGCTCCTGGTCGTATATCCAGCCGTCGTTGTCAGACTCCTCTTCAGGACTCCAATCGGGAACAGCAGCTTCGTTGTGTCTTGGCGTGACCGCAGAATGCATACCACGCCGATGAGAACCGTAGTCAACATGGTAGGCTGTACGTGTTTCCACAGTAGCAACAGCATCGTCCATGTTCCAGACTTTTCTGGATAGCGACGCCGGATCTGGTCTCTCCGACTCGATTGGCCATGGAGTTGATGACATCTGCCTCGAACTCTGTCGAGACGTCGTCTGTGTTTCGGATCGCTGCCTAAGCTGTGCTTCAAAATAGGCTGATGTTGAGGGTGACTGTGCTGATCTATCGCGAGACACAGCACGTGATTGCGTTTCTGGTTCGGACGAGAAGCCCTCTTGTAATGGGTCCTCGGATTCATCTCTAAATCTCCTGCGTTTTTGTGGTCTAACGGCCTGTCGCTTGGACTGTTGAGCTCGTGATAGGCCTGCCCAGCTTGAGGGATCGAGAGCAGAGGTCGTCTCGTTCTCCCACTCGCTCGGACTTCTCTCGGTCGAGACTATCCTAGGTAATAATCTGGAGGAGGATGGTAGACGTACAGGTATCCTCCATGCGGGTTCGATCATTTCCTCCTCCATTTCCATCTGGTGCCCCCTCTCTTCCTCTAGGATGCGTCTGACCTCAGCTCTAATGGTGGATTTGTAGATGCTGGCAGCCGGTGCAGGGGTAGGGGGTGTTTCGAACTCTGAGACGGTAAGGGAGGAAGTCCTCTGCGCAGCACTCGAGTCGCGTTGAGTATCGAACAGGTCATCTGGGCTCGGCGATCGTGCAGTGCGAGGCTGGAGCGGTAGGTTTTCTAAGTCGTCGGTGCCGTGGCTGCTAGCTGTACCATGTCGCTCTTCGTAATACTCTTGCGAGAGCTCATCGTGCTCGAGCGATAGTGCCCGTGACTCAGTAAGGAACAAACTATCTTCAGAGGAAACGTCACTCAGCATAGCAACGCCTGCAATAGACTCGATGCTCTCCAGAACCTCGTCTTCAACAGAGACAGGCGTTGAGCCTTCAGAATTGACCTCAGTCATAGCTCGTAACATCCTCTTTCCATCGAAGCTGGAATTAACATTCTGCTCTTCGCTCGTTTCCCACTCGTACTGCATAGACTGGATATGGCCATTGTCTATCTCCACCTCACCGCTAATGACGCCGATCTCGTCAGCAATACCCGTGAAGTCCCTGCCGTATTTCCTGAATATGTTTTCCCAGCGAGATTTCAGCAAATCGTCGTTCCTCTGTCTTGCATGCTCGAGTTCGGCGTCCGGTTCTGGCGTGGCAGAGTCGTGGAAATACAAACGTGGTCGCTTTCGGGGTCGCATGTTGACATTGGAGGGAGAGTACTTTGGTGAAGGTCGATATGTAGCAGGGTAAGCGGCGCGACAAATTTAGACTGATTTATAGAGGTCGAGTGCAACTGCGACGCGGAACATGGTAATTTGACGCGTTCACGCGCCGTTTGGTGGGCTTGCCAGGGCGAATCTAGGGACTGGTTGGCTGTTTGCGGGGCAAGTCATTACTGGCCGGCCACCACTATCTCCAAGCATCGCGTTTGTCTCGTATCGATGGTACAACCCACGTCCTACAACATTTTATGTGCAATGATCACAGCTTCAATGCAGTCTCTTCAAGTTAGACGAACATTCCAACCTGGTGAGGATGTACTGCCAGAGGTGCAGGACGCCGTTGAAGGCGGATAGCTTGTTGGACGATCTCAACCCTGCAGCTTTCGACTTGCTTGCTGGTAAGACCAACCATGACCTTTGCTAGAATCTCCCACTAATTGAGTGAAGGATCAACAAACAGCAAGGAGCAGCAACCGTCGCTTGCACAGATCCAAAATGTGCATTTCCCACAGGAGAGGAAGGAACGTTATGAACGTGCAGCTCGTTCAAACCAGTCACCTTTACACAAGAGGACGATACCTGCTCCTCGAGATGGCAACCCGGGAATGTCCTTTATCGAAATCACAGAGTCGCAACTAGTCGCTTCAGAGCCTACGCAGAAGACCTCATCCACCTCGAATGTGCCGTCCAAGCCTGGAATCTCCAGTGGAAAGGAGTCGTCCCTGTCCTGGGCCGCGCAAAGACATGAACGTCTATTCTCCATCCTTTCGGCGCATTCAGACACTGATCACCCAATTTGCAGTGAATGCTCGTCAATGTTACTGTCCGCACTGAACGCAAAGTTGAACACAGCGACGCGAGAACGAGACGCCTACGCTTCTTTTCTGAAACAACTACAGCAGGCTGCCGCCAAACACAAAGACGATGAAGCTAGCGTAAAGAAGGAGCTGGAAAGACTGAAAGCGGAAGAGCAGGAAGCCTTCGCTGAGCTGCTTCGACTCGAAGATGAGAAGAAACAACTCGAGAGTGATCTGGCTGACTTGGAAGATGAGGAGAAAGAGCTTGAAAGGGAGGAACAACGCTTTTGGCTCTCTCGCAACGCCTTTGACGAGCAAGAGCATGCTCAGCGCGTCGATCTTGAAGCATTGCGCCAGAAAACTGCCCATGACCAGAAGCAGTACGAGAAGCTGCAACGTACAAATGTATACAATGATACCTTCTTTATCAGTCACGATGGAAACTTTGGCACCATCAATGGTCTTCGTCTTGGTCGGCTGCCCAACATTGTCGTGGAATGGGCTGAGATCAATGCTGCATGGGGACAAACCTTGCTGCTGCTGCAGACTTTGGCTGAAAGATTGTCCTTCTCCTTCCAGGGCTATCGACTTCGCCCTTTAGGTAGCACCTCTCGTATCGAGAAGCTCGAATACCCCCAACAGCCGCCAGACGCTTCGAGCGCCTCTGCCGCAAGACCCACCAACCAACCCGTGCCAGCAAGAGTCACTGTATTGGAACTCTTCAACGGTGGTCCAGCCCTGAATCGAGTCTTTCAGTCCCGTCGGTTTGATCAAGCTATGGTGGCTTTCTTGGACTGTCTTTCTCAACTTGGCAAGCATGTAGAACGGACCTCGACCTCGACCACCCGCGACAGTGGTCGGCCTGGCGTTTGGCGAACACCATCTTCTGCCACGAACACAAGTAACGCTCAACCTATGAGACTTCCCTATGTGATCGACGGTGACAAGATTTGGAGTCGCGACAGGCCTGATGAAGCCTATTCGATTAGGGTTGGCATAGGTCTATCACCTGACGAGAATTTCACCAAAGCCTGTAAGTATGTCCTCACCTGCTGCAAATACTTGCTCGCGCACGTCAGCAACCTCGATAGCTCAAGACCAAGTCAGTCATAGTGTTACTGCGACAGCCAATGATTGCCAGACTCAAACGGATCATCCTGTTTTCATCTTCCATTATCTCCATTTAGAGGCACTGAATTTACATATCGAATTCACCTATATGACTATCCAAAGGCTCGGCCGTGGTCAAACCGTGGTCCTAGGGCAAGGTTCATCCTTGACTCATGTTAAGAAGAAGAGTTTTGGACATTCTAGAGGACTTTCGAGTTGGTGATTCGTGGCACGTTGGGTGGCTCGATCTCGAGTGTCCTGCAAATTGAGGAATTGAAACTCAATACCCCGTCCACGTTGTTCGGTACACTCTGAGCTCTGAATTGTCGAGAACACTCGTCTATGATGTCTTTGATTTGACGTCTATCTGTACCAGTAGGAGTTCTCAGCTTTTCATCTCTTTTCTTAGACACAAGAATTTAATTCCTGCCCTGCTTCGCCCGCCTCCTGATACCATTATCACTAGTCCCCTCATGTCACATGTCAACGGCTGAACGCTAAGACCACAATATCAGTCCATGGCTCGACTTTCATCAACGGTCTTGCGGTTGGACGATATGTAAACAACATATTCTTATAAGCCACAACAGCAAATTTCATGAAATAGGAAAATCGTAAATACAGGAGTCCACTTCAATTAGGTCTTGGCATCGGCGGAAGACTCACCGGGCGACCCTTGCCAGTCATTGAGCAGACCTCCTGGGTCGTGCTCTCCACCACAAGCCACCTCGCTACTACTTGCCAGACGCTATCGACGCCACGGCTTTCCAAGGGAGCTGTCATTGGGATTGCTTGAGAACATTGACAACGTTCTTGTCTTGCTTGGTAGCCTGCGCTCATATCATTTTGTGCTGAGAAGCAAGCTCGGATGCTTTTGTACTGGCAGCGCTGAGTGGTGGTTTGACTTCCGTAGTATGGAGATACTGTAAGCCACAGCAAGCAACTATCCTTCCCGTCTTTCTGATCACAATTGAAAGACCTGTAGGATCTATTGCTGTTCGAGCCTCCTCTCGCCAACCGACACTAGACCCCGGTGGCTTCAGCCACAAGCGCCATCCTTGAAAAATGAATCGACCACCTTTCACACCTTCTACAAGTACTCGAACGTTCCTCAAGAGCTCTACCGTGCTAGAAACAAGATCACCAAACCTTCATTGTAAAAGGAGAAGTTACTACTACTGATCACAATTCACTGAACCAGATATATACGTCCTTACGCTGAAACAACCTTTGGACTCTTGATTGCAGATCAGCAGATCATTGATCGTCGTGGTAGTGATCAACATCGAATTGCGCAATACGAGTTTCCCGCACCCACAAAATCAGCTCGTTCTGTGTAAGTCTTGGGACGGAGTCAGCCGCGAAGTTCTTTACAAGGCGTACGTTGGACGGTCAGGCTCATTGCAGGCGCCTTCCTCAAACTCTGATGGCATCTGCTGTTGCGAGCAGCAAGGTCATATCACAAGTTGGATCTTGGGCTGGCCTTCTTCACCTTCTGCTCTATAGTACGGCTCTGCAAGCATGTCTTGCATACGACACAGTACATACCGATGTTTCAAACACGTCTCACTACAAGGAGTTGGCAGGAGGCAATGTGCTGGTGGTGGACAGACTTCACAGTAATGAACTTGAGAAGCGTCAAAGTGCAGACAACTCGACGGATCCTGGGGCTTCTCCTGTAACAACGTTGAATACAGACACTGGTCTACCTATGCCCTTCGATACTTCTCTGGGCAGTAACTTCACAGCTACGACATGTCCGAACTATTTTACCAAATTCCTGGCAGACACTACCTTTCTGTCCTGCTTGCCAATGTCTTTGCTACTACAAAACTCGATGTCTTTCTTTCAAGCAGTTCGATCTCCTAGCCTCCTAGAAAAGACTCTTGATGTCTCATGTTCATCATCGTTAGCAGTATGCTCACCATTGATGGCCAAAATTGCCGATGAATTGATCTTGCCGAGCAACTGTCAAGACGATTACGCACGACAAAACCCTCTAGTATTGCAAGCATACGCAGGACTTCAAGCATATGAACCAGTGTATGAGGCAACCTGTCTCAAAGACAGTTCGACCAGCAGATATTGGTTCCTTCAAGCAATGGAGTCGAGTAATGCTGATGACTCTTATCCTTATTACACTGCTGTAGGATTGGAGCTACCCGTGGGCACTAAGCCAAGCTGTACTGCAGGTCTCAAGGAAACAATGAGCATCTTTGCAGGTTACGCAATGCAGAAAGAGCAGCCACTATCTCAGACATACTTGGGGTGTGCAACTCAGGTCAATTCGGAGTGTGGTCAGGGTTTTGCAAGCACTCAGGTGCAGAGTGTCTCCAAGGTCGCAAGCACTAGCAATGGTGACCGATTCAGAGGTGACATATTGCTGGTCGTGTCGCTTTTGATCTTTATCATGTTCACATGACCTGTATGAGGCGGTTTTCTGGAAGCTTTCTCGATTTCGAACGACAACGCCGATCTTCGCACTACTTAATACCTTGTTTAACTAGTGGTATATGTGTTGGAATTCCCGAGTCATACAGCTTAGAAATTGGTATATGGTGGTGTTTTGTTTGCGGAATTGCTATCAGCGTCGGCGTTGGACAGGCAGCAGCAGCGGTAAAAGTGCATCAGGGAAAGGTCGGGTTGGGTTACAGCTTGCGGCACCTGGATCACAACACTCGTAATGTCTATAGATTAATGACGACATCATTGATATCTTATGTTGTCTATACCTCCAGCAGATGTCATTCTCCTGATTCGTAGCTTTGATGAACCGATGCAAACAAGCATGAAGCGAAATAGACGATAGAACAATACTGACGTGATTGAACGTGTTCGCCAAAAGTCACGTAACCGGTCACCAAAAGGCAGACCGAGAGGGCTTATCAATTTCCTTATCAGGCGTGTAAGTGTCGAAACATGGCGTCTTAGCGCGGTACAAGCCTGACTCGAAATAGTAACAGAAACGGAGTACTGGTAAGTTTGAGCTGCGAAACTACAGTACAAGCTCCTCCGGAATGCTTCAAGAGCGCTTGGCAACGTTGAACATGCTATCAAGCTTACTGCCGAACTATGCTGTGTGTTTATGGTGTTCTGCAGGAGGAGTTTTCGACAAAACTTCAACGTGGAAGACGCATGTGGTTGACGCGATAGCAAAGGAATGCAGGTCTGTCATGACACGATACAGCAGGTGCTACCAGAGTGCTGGAGTACCAGTAATTTCTAGCTCGAGGATCCACACCCTCCCTGTACTGTACTGCCTGGGCTCTCCACAGACAGCTTGATCAAAGTTCAGTGGACCAACGACCAAAACACCTCCCAAACATCAGACAATTACATCTTTTTGGCATCGCTTCCATAGCCGCCCTGCGTTGCTTGTGTACGCTCGAGAAGCTAGCAATTGTATGACGGTGGCGCAGTATGCAGGTATGCTGGTATCACCAAAGCGGTTATGCTTTACCCTACATTCAGAGCGACAGCAAAAGTCGTGGGGCTTTTTGCACGGTCGGGGCCTGTAGCCGAAGTCCAGGTGCCAGTTTACCCAGGGCTGATACAGGTTGTCCACCCTCCTCCTCCATCTGCTCCACTCGCTCTTCTGGTCGCGATCTAGTGGTGGCAGGTTGAGAGCAAGCGTGTCGCATGTTCGACGTGCTCAGACTAACTTCTTGCATCTTTTGCGCTTCTCGAGTCTGCCTCGCTACATTGACATTGTTCTGACCTCATCTGCGCCTCGACGATCACCTGCCAGACCTTATAGTTGTCAAGATCTTTGCTTGCGCTTGCATACCTGCCCACGATTCAGCTTGCATCTGAGTGGTGTACCTGGCAGCACTTCCCAGAAGCACTCCCACTGCCACACACAACCCTGCTCATTATCCCATCGTCGAACAATTGTATGCAGGCTATACCGTCAACAGTAGCACTCGCTTGACTATAGGTCCCTGCACGCTCGTCCGCTAACACCCTCCCGGCACTCGTTGAAAGCTAGCGACCTGGGAATCCCATTACAATACAACCACTACGAACCAGAAGAACCGCTGACCGTGTTGTTTCCTGCTCAGCCAACGTCATGAGCCCTCAATAAGCTGGTGCTCGAACCGTCGCTGGCACAAGCTACAATACATACTGGATCCATCCACGACCTGTTTGCTTCTGCACCCAGGACACTCGCAAGAATGTCATACGTTAGACTCAGACAGAAGCAGAATGCCTCACCATGGCCCAATGCATATCAAGGAGAACCCATCCAGCAGCCATCGATGAACCAGCATATTATAGGCACAAACTTTCACGACAACGTTGAGCTACATCCCGTCCCCAGAGTGGACTCCTTCAACACATCAGTCTCTTCCCATGAGCATGTTAGCGTCTTCTCCACCGAGTCCTCCTTTCATTTTGACGTTCCTACGCCTGGCGACTCGGCTGATGAGATTGCTTACACTCCAAACATACAGGACCCGAACTGGCAAGAGACCTACAACGAGACCATACCTGAGCAGTTATACTATGCTCTGCCAGCGCCTCAAGGAGATGCGGAGCAGATATTGAAGAACTTTTCGCTACCATCAGGTCGCCCATCTCACAAAAACTCTTTACCAAGCCCACAATCAACCAATTTCTCGACACCGGAAGCCTCTGGCCACACGAAGAACCTGTCGTCGACTAGTACCAACTTCACCAGCCTGCTTGGTATCCCTCACCAGCACAGGCATACCCTCGAGATGAATCCTATGGAGTCGTGTCAGCAGGATAGCACCATGCACTTGCACACACACTCCCATAGATTGCCACAAGTTACAAGTCCCATCATCCAAATCTCATCTCACCCTCGCGGTGACTCGCCAGCCAGATCCGACTTTGAACAGCAAAGGATGTCGAGGAAACGTAGTGCGTCCAATCTATCGCAGAGTGAGTACTTCGACAACGTCCATGGAGGTACGCAACGCTCCATGCTTATGCCGCCTACGAACGATGCAGTTGTTGACTGGGAAGAAGAGGAGGAAGAGGAAGGGGCAGAGACCGATCGCTCTGGAGTAGCTCCTGCAGATCGCGACAACCAAGAGCATCCGAGCTTCGATGATATCGAAACACACCAAGAGCAGGAGAAAACTGTAAACGAAGTGCAAGATTGGTTGCAGCGTACAACTCTTAGTCCTCCTGACAGAGATGGCCGAGGTCCGACGCGCCCCGTTCGTATCAGATCCAGAAGTACAGGGGCTAGACCACATCATAATCAGCAGCCCATCCTGATGAGCAATCAGGCTCCGGGGCCAGGTGTACTAGTTGACGAGCAGAGCGATTACTACTACTCTTCTGATGATGATGATGAACCCATATCTCAGCCAGATACACACCCGGCTACGATACCTCCTCGAAGGGACAGCGAGGTGGCCCCTGATGAGGTGCTACCACTAGCCAATGAGTTCTACCGTCCACGTCCTTGGCAGGATGGTGTGTCTGTGCAGCCTCCCGACGACAACGTGCGCTATCAAGAGGAGACGGCCAGTCTAGCCATAGAGAGGTTTCGGCGACGAGCCAAAGAAACAGACTCACTTTCACGCGCTGCAACATGGGGCACAGGGCGTCGTAGGCTCAGTGATGGCGATGTGGATTCGATCCTCGGCGAAGGCAAGACTCGACACATGTCGCTAACCAAGACACGCATACGAAACAGAGGAGTTAGCTTTGTTCAGGAGGTGAAAAACATCAGAGAACAATTGAAGCGTAGCAATAGCCGCAGCAGGCAAGCACAGACACAGGGACATGCAGAGCTGGAAAAGGTGCAATCACCGGAACCTATCGACGAGCGGAGTTCGACCGAGTTACAGACGTATTTTGGTGGTTCGGCCCGTACGAAAGCAAAGTCGCCTTCAATCACTACTGCGCTACGTGGTGCAACAGGCAGTCTAGCAGCTGTAGGTGGTGGTAGCACCACCGCTAGTGGTCTAACTCTCAATACAGAACCACAGCATGAGAACATCCTTCAAAGGACTCTCAGACGTGTTCGTAGCAAGAGCGACGTCAACAAATCACCGAAAAGCCCAGCACCTTCCAAACCACTGATCGTTCACGAGAGTGGCACCGCTTCATTGACTTCGGCGACCCCTTGTCATAACATGTCCATTGTGGCTACTCAGCATCTCAGTCCCATGACTGTCGCAAGAGACTCAGCGGGCTCGACACCTGTCACTATGCCACTTTCTCCTCGTCCTGCCAACGTCATGCCCAACCTAGATGGTTTCAAAATCCAGATATCAGAGCTCAACCCTGGATTGGAACCTTATCTAGTCGATCGCATCGCGCGCGATCAGGTTCGCCGCTACAAAAGACTTGTCCAAAGCAGGGTTGACTATTTGAACAGCTGCCAGGCTGGGAAGTGCCAATCCGGCCCTCGTTGCTTCAGCATGGGGGATGAGGCCGAGGTTCTGCCAACTCGTTCTGGTAGTGGAGGAACAGCATCCACATCTGCCCAATTCAAAGTTTCTGCAGGAGTCGACAGCGACAACGACGATTCTGCCTTTGATGGCATGGTCACACCTGCAGCATTTCCTGACGGCATACCGTTGCCACCAACCAAAAAGTTGCCTGCCAGGTTCGAGTGTCCTCTCTGCTTCCAAGTGAAGGACTTCAACAAACCGTCGGACTGGACGAAGCACGTTCATGAAGATGTGCAACCATTCACTTGCACATTTGCAAGTTGCTCAGAGCCGAAGTCATTCAAGCGCAAAGCTGACTGGGTACGACATGAAAATGAACGACATCGCCACCTGGAGTGGTGGAAGTGCTCTCTTGGAGCATGTACGCATAATTGTTTTAGAAAAGACAACTTTGTCCAGCACTTGGTTCGAGAACACAAGCTGGAAGAGCCAAAGACGAAAGGCCGATCGAACCCCTCCAGCAAAGGCAAAGGTAAAGCCAACCAAAAGTTCACTCCGAAAGAACAAGAGTTCTGGAATCTAGTCGACTCTTGTCGACACGAAGATGCTGCAGAAGCACAGAACGAACCCTGCAAGTTCTGTGGGAACATCCTGGCGTCGTGGAAGAAACTGGGCGTGCATGTGGGAAAGCATATGGAGCAGATTGCCATACCGGTAATTGATCTGGCGCAAAAGCGCAATATCACCAAAGACACCATCTTGAGTCCCATCGAATCACTCCCCAGTCACAACACTAGTTTGTTCCCAGCCAAGCAGGACGTGGTGGATTTCTCTGCACTTTCTCCATTCTCCCGTGACGGAACTCGCTACCAGAGTTCGTCCGCAGAGCAATCTCCTGCAGCTGTGTTCCAGCAACCGTATGTTGGTTACAGAGGTCACGATGGCCTCGTCAATCCGGGATACATACCTAGTGATGCACGAGCAGCAAATGTCACATCGGCGCCACATAGCTATGTTATGCATGCCGGGGAGCCTGGGTTTACAACCTATACCGAGTATCCTTGTGGCGAGTATGGCTCCTTCAATACCCAACATGTTATTTGTGCACATCAGAACCACGTCGCGGTATTTATTCCTCGCACAACCCCAGCGGTTGGACTTGTCAATATAGGTGATGGTTATGCCGATCAGCCACAATATCTCTCGGGTCCTGAGCAGCAGTATCTCCACTATGATACTGGCGAGACAACCCAGAATCACATGCCTATGCGAGTTCAAGACCAAGTACATATACCTATTACAACACAGGAAATGATGGCACCACAATTTGTGTATCAAGAAGGATGGCGGCATTAGCAGATTATGCCTATCGAAGTATCGGATAAGAATAATCAATGCGGAGCACCAGCTACGGCATCGGAGGAGCATACGGAAGGACGATATTGGATTTTGTAGACCAAGCCAGGCGTTGGGAGCGTTCTTGCTTGTGATGAGGTTACGATTGCATAGTGCCCTTTGAGCTCTGACATTTGATTGATATGTTGAATGGTATGATAATGACAGCGAAACGAGTACGTCCAACGAAACTTTGTAAACAAACTTTATATCTACCTTTTCAGTAGTTGACCAAGGTCGTGGTCTTGATGTGAAACAGTCGCTTGACAGCCTTAAACAAGGACCTGTAGACGTAAGCACGTCGATGCTGGTGAGGAAACCTGAAGTACCATTGGTCCCACTCGCAGAACATATGCAGCAGGGCAAGCAACAATTGCAGAAAATCCCGTATACTTTCTATTGCGCTTTTCTTTCGTAGTGAGGCGACGAAATGGCCAGGGACATGCATACGACCTCTACACAATGGGAGGTGTTCCATCGTTCGCTCGGAAGTGGACATTGTCAAGTGAGCAGCGTTTGCCTGATTGGCATAGCTGGCTTACACCCATCCACTTCAAGTTCGGTGAAAGCCACGTCTAAAAAGCAAAGCCGGAAGCGACTACCGAAGCACTTGCACACGCTCTGACGCGAGTACCGTCGCTGTTGATGAAGAGGAGTCGCTGAGTTCGCGAGGATAGTGCTGCCTTGATTTCGCGGAAGTCGCGACTTGCCTGCACCAAAGCTTTATAGCGTAAGGCAAACAAGCGAGCTACGAGATCTTTTGGCACCGCGATTCTTGGTATTGGCTCTTTTGCTTCAGAAAGTCTCCGCCTGCAAGCGTGACTGACGATATGCAAGTGTAGAGACGTAAACCTTGAGCACATGCTTCTCAATTCTTCTGGATTGACAGGATACTGATGCCGGTTTTCAGGTCGAGTTCTGATTAGCCCGAACGATACCTTTGTCGAGTCCTACTGCTGGATCGAGCTGCATGGAACCTTTCTGATCAGGTGTACTGCTCTTACCGCATGTTTTGCTCCCACCAGACCGCGAACCTTTCTCGAGGATTGTCGCGCACAAGCGATCCTGTTTCGCGCTTTCCCGTTACTGTCGCCGGGCCTTCTTACTCGTGTTTAACTCATTTTATTCATCTCGACTATGACTCGACTGTGATGATGATGCATAAACTCAGTAACATCCACGATTTATTGTCGTTTTGAACTTGTTTTCGCTGAGCTAGCTTATCAAGTCGCACAACCCGGATGACGGCAGAATACCCCAAAGGTGGCCGGTAGAATCGACCTTGGCCCCCATCAGTCAACCCTGTGCTCAACCTCGAGTCTGCCTCCCCAGCTGGTAAGTCTGATCATATCTCATTCACGCCGTCGACAGCAGCAACATGCTGCACTGCACTGCCCACTCAACGTAACGGATCTGGTCCCCTAATACACTAGCCAGCAATTCACAACGCTAGCCCCACCACCACCACTCCGACAATCTTCTGAGAGACTTCAAGTTTGGCCTAGTCAAGGAGCTTCAGCCCAATTGCCCTGGAAAGAGAGCCATAATCACATCATGTCCTCTTCATAGTAACTCATGTTCAATGAACATGACTAGTGGTCAATCTGTCTATCTCGACTCAGTCGATTGCGCCATCGGATACCTCTATCTTGTTGACCAAAACTCTTCGTGGGAACTACTGATCGATCCGCCGTACCTGGCTGTGCACTTGTGCTCCGCTTCGCCTTTTTGTTCATGCTTTGTCCATCGAGTCGTCTACCTACTCAAAACTGATCTCTTTTTGGGTTTAGCTCCGCATCCCATATCACAAAATGTCCCTACCCAGTGACTCGGGCTATGGCAGCTCGAGTCTACAAGGAAGAAGAGCAAAGCCCACCCAACTGCAGGTATGTCATCAGCAAGTCTATAGACAACGCATACTAAAGTTCCGTGCCAGGATACCTACCAGCATCATCGCTCCATCGACCCATATAACCACGGTGTGCCCGGCCAATTCTCAGCGTATAGAGATGATGCCCAATCCTCCGTGTCTGGCTTGAACACCATGCCTGAGGAGGACGATCTCCTCCTCCTCATGATGACCCATACCGAGGAAGACGCTATTGATCCAACCACGCTGGATTCCACTTCTCAACTCATGTACACGACTGGTGGCATGGAGCTGGACTCTAGTACGCCTCAGTTACGTCGCAGCAATGCCCTCGAGTTATCGCAGAATCATACTTCAACCTCTTTTAACCTACAGATGGGACGTTTGGCTGATCTCGATTTCGCCAATTTTGCTTGCGGAGATACCACTATGAAATGGTCACAGCCTTTGCAGCCGCAGTCCCAGCTTATTCCCAGTAGGAAACGTGCACGTACTGATGCCGACGCCCAAGCAGCATCTCACGAGCACATCCCGCCGGTGTCGCCTTATGGCTCGTGTCAAAGCCAATCAGCACAATCTACCTGGGTTTCGCGCCCTTCTCGGTCAACCCCTTTCCAGACCTCTCAGGCCTCGATCTACCCACAGCCTGACAAGTCTAATCACAGACAACAGTCGTCATACTTTGACCAACAGTCCACGGTCATTCCAGCCCTTCAGGGTCTGCAACCTCCTTCGTCCAAAGGTCATAACAAAGCGAAGACATCTCGTAAAGAAGCCACTCACGGATGCAGCCTCTGCCCACCAGGAAAAGTTTTCAGAACTATCAACGATCTCGATCGGCACTGCAAGACCTTTCATGGCATGTTGAAAAAAGGCGACAAAATCTTTCGATGCAAGGTTCCTGGTTGTAAAGAACCGAACAAGGTTTGGGCAAGATTCGACAACTTCAAACAGCACGTAACACGCATGCATGGTACGGAGTATGAATCACGCATCGAAGAAATGGAAGAACAGTACGACATCGACGTGCATGGCCCAGTCGAGCCTAGTAAGAGTAGGAAGAGCTCTCAGAACACATCTGTGCAAGCAACCCAGCATTTGACCGACCAAGCAGTCGGTGGCTTGGCACTACAACACCGTGACCTTCCCAATATAGGGACTTCGAGTGGCTTTGTGTCATCTAATGGCACACTGATGAGCACTGATACATCCGTGGACAATCGAGGTTCATTTTCACTCAGAGCTTCTTCCTTCAACGGCTCCAACAATTCATTGAATGTACTGAGAATGCCGTCGGGAAGCCCTCGCAAGCCGCAGCCCCACAGTGTTGCAAACCCAGAAACGTGTAGTCGCCAGCGAGAAGAGCTTCAAGAACAGAATATGAACTTCGAGGCATCTGCTGTCGAGCCACATACCGCCGTCCTACGTTTCATGGATCAAGGCGCTCAGCCACTTAAGACTAATGTCTGGACGGCACAGACACTTTATGATGACCAAAGCACAACCAGGCACCCTACACTGAACCTCGATTTAGCTCACGAAGAGATACCGCAGCGTTTCAGCGCGCTTCTGGAGTGCGTCCGTAACCTCTCGGCGGACGAACGACAACACTTTCAGCAATTCTTGAGACTCTCAGTGCCTGGCGCATCTCAATCAGGGTCAGCTAAGTCAAACAAGTCTTCGCGATCCTCAACGGCTGACGGTGACAAGTCCTTGAAGTGCAACAAAGAAGGTTGTAAGAAACTGTTTAGTAAGCAGAGTGACCTCCACAAACATCAGAAACGACACGACAAAAAATATGGATGTACTTTTGATAATTGCTACAAGCGATTTGGTACTAAATGGGAGTGGAAACGACACGAGTATGGGCAACATGTTCAATTCGAGGAATGGCGCTGCCAGTATCCAAAATTTTCAGGTGACAAGCTATGTGCGACCCACTTCGACGATAAGGAAAAATTCATTGCTCACCTTAAGGCTGAACACAAGATGACTGCTCCTGAGGCCGGGAAAAATTCGAACGAATGTCGCCTAGCAAAGAGGTGGCTGGAATCGTACTGGTGTGGTTTTTGCAACAAGATAATTCGATCTGAAACGAACTTTGGTGCACAGATGGACGAAGAGAGGTACAATCATATTGCCAACCACATCGACACCACTAACAGCGCCAAACACGAAATGGATGCTTGGATTGAGCTCAGAGGTGGAGGAAAGAGCAAGGAGGAGCTCTACGAAAAGTACAAGGAGGAAAAGGAGAAGCAGGCACTAAAGAGCAAAGCTAATTCTGAGAGCATCGAAACTCAAGCTCAGCAACCAACAGAAGAAGAGGATGCACCGGCTGAGGACGACGACTTATCATTTGGTGCAGGGAACATACTTGCAATGGAAGATGACGACCATGCGTTCTTCCGTCGTCCTGATAGCTCTTCAGCTGCTCCCAGGCGGCGGTCATCTACTGTGACGAATATTCCTGGAATCATGGTGTCCGCTGCTGAGGAACCATATGCAGAGATGGAAATGGCCCGTGCCTACCCTGAACAGCAGCCTCAACCCTTATCAGATTTGAGACACCATATGCACATGCACCAGATGGATTCAAACCGGATCTGCTGCCATTGTAAACAACCTGACGCGCCGAACCGGGACTTATCGCAATGTACAAATTGTACCCACATATTCTGCTCTGGTTGTCAATTAGAGCCTTTCTTGCATCCTGGTTCGCAGATACAGGACTCACACTTTGAAGACATGTTACTAAGCCTTAGTGGCCAGTATTAGTGAGCGGGATAACGATAACGACGATCATGATGGTGGGGTATTGGAGACGAAGTAACGACGACGACGACATGGCGACGTGGAGATTATTACGCTGATTACGGATCTATTTTGCATGACCTGATGACTGAGGCACAGTCTCACCACACGACCATTATTTTGCACAGTGTTGGAGAGTTTACGACTTTTTGTTGATATTGGTTGATCACATTTTTGATTACTTGATCCTTTCTGTAGATACCCAATTTGATGTTCATTCCACACAGATCACACACACTGTCCCTGTGATAACTTGCCACAAGTACTTACAACTAGTGTTCAGGAACGAAAATCAATCACGGCTATTTGTCACTCTTAAGAACAGCCGCGTCGCAATGTCACAGGCCGATTTCCACATTCTAGGTACGAAGCCAGTGATACCGCTGCTGCTACTCAGCCTCATCAAACAACGACTTTTCACCTTCTGACCGCCGACTGTCCCGCGACGCTCACGACACACGTATAGGCCATGATAAAACTCAACTCAACAACGTGCTACAACGCAATTCTCTTTGTCTTCCTCCTTCCTCCTTCCTCCTTGCTCCTTCCATTCTCGTAGCAGTCTCCGCAGCGAATCACCCCATACACTGACCAACCGACATGACACAATCAAACACCCACCAAACCGGCCGCCACATCACCCGCACAGAAAAATGAAGCTTTTTGCGATGCCGACAGTAATTTGATCAAAGAAGAACTCTCGACTTTTTTACTCTTCACCAAATCTTTCACCACTCAATTCCAAGTCCTCAAACCCACCACAATCTCTCACAAAATCTAATAACAAAAACAATTCGAAATTCCCGAGCTGTTCTCTCACCACAGTAGAGAAACAACTCTACGACTTCTACAAGGAAGAATAACAACAACAAGCAGATAAATAAACGCCAAGTTGCGACTAGAACTGGAACTGGACCGAAGACGATACCTATTCAGTGAGAACCTGGTCAGCAAGATACAGCACCAGGGGTAGGGATCGTTACTTCATCCACACCACCACTGACGACCGGCCTGTGGGAAGGGATTAGATCTACGATGTATTTCCTAAGGAGTGGATACGGGAAGGTGCTGCTGAAATGGTGCCTGGACGTGAAGGACGGACGAAGAAGTGCATCCCGAAGGAGGGGCTTTGGGATTCGAGATTGTCGATGCAGCGACTGGCGCAGGAAAGTGGGCGGAATAAGTTGGATGAAGACCGAATTGTGACGGGGGTCACAGGGGGGGTTATTTTGAGGGAGGTGGAGGGGAATGGGATGAATGAGTTGTCGTGAATGGGTAGGCAGGTAGTTGCGAGTATATAGGTAGGAGGGTCTGGTTTGTCGGTTCAGTCAAATGTCACGGCGAGCTAAAGGTCAGCGAAGGAAGTCTATGCTATTTCAAGTATATGCACGCTCGCGCTACATAATTACCATTGATTGACCCATTAATTTCTTTCTCGTACATACATGTCTCGCTTGCCAATAATGACTAAAGTGCCTAAACCAAAAGCTGTTATTGTAGCCAAGCCCATAGGCCTCGACAACCTCGCAAAGGACCAGTAGATCTATACCTCTTCATCATCATCTCCAAGCAGCTCATCATCCTCCACAAAAGCCGGATCAGAGTAGTCCTGCCGCCTATTCGCAAAGGCATCTCTACTCCTGTACGGACCCGTCGAAGTACCGCGACTCCCGCCTCCAACAGGCATATAACCCTTCGCACTTCGGAACAAGCTAGTCGCGAGCAAAGGCAGTGTCTTCGCCACGGCAACGACAGCGGCAATGATGGCGACAGGAATCGTCACGAGAGGCGATTCTCCTGAACTCCTACCTGGACCACCTGCGACGTTGCTGAGTGATTCGCCGAGGTGGATCTGACCGAAGCCCATGCCAGATAGGCCGCCTCGCTTGTTGTATTGGTCCCAGACCCAATAGCCGATACCACCGGCGCCAGCAAGGGAGACGATCAAGATGAAGAATATAGCTATACCGCTGAGACCATGCTTCTTGGCGAATTCATCCTCGAAGCCGGGACATGGCTGCTCAACGATCTTGTCGAGTTCTTGTCCGCCTTCGCATGTGCTCAGAGGAATCTTTCTGTATCCGGTCGGCTCCCACCAGACCCTCGCACCTTTATTTTCACAGACCTGCTTGTGATCTGGCGGCTCGTATCCAGGTACTAATTCGCATGTACCATCGCCGAGGCGTTGGTAGTTATAGTCGCACTCGTAGTCTTGTCTTGAGCATGTACAATTGCGTACGATGACGTGCGGACCTTCCTCCAGCCTGACCCCGTTATAACATTGTGCATCCTTCTTCTTGCGATGGTATTGTGCGACATGTCCGAAGAGGCAGTTCTCGTTCTGGAAAGGATGGCGTGGCTCCCATAGGTAATAGTCTTTCGAATTCGCTGGATCCTCTTCGTCAAGGACACATTGGCGATGTCGTTCTTCAAGTTCTGAGAAATCTAGATTGACCGTCATCACACCGGGCTTGTTGCCTGAACCGACCTCGCGACCCCAGAGGAGGAAATTCCTCGAGTTATCGCTCGGTACGGTGGTGATATAGCTGATTTCCATATCAACGTCGGGACTGAACACATATTCTTCCCAGCTATCACCCTCGTCGAGTGAGTAGAAAACAGATCGCGTCGCTCGTTCTTCGGCCACGATGACAATAATGCTACCTTGATCACCATATTCCCACATAAAAGAGCCCTTTCGAACAGACTTCCATGTGATACCAGCATCACTGGTAATGAAAGTGTCTGTTGTCTCACCATCTTTTCTATCGAGTTGAGATCCTACGTTGCCAACAGCCATCATTATGCCAACAGAAGTGGGTGAGCCGAAAGTGGCGGACTTGTCTCTTCGTTCAGTATAGCTGTGAACATGCAATGAGCAGTCAGCTGTTGCTTTCTGATCCTCCTTGACACACTTGTAGTCACCACCATTAGCGTCTTTCCTGGGTGGTGGTAGGAGAGACCAGTCAGATCCGTCATTGTGAGATATCATTGACTTCAGATTTTTCTTGTTCCCATCATTCACACCTTCCACATTGGCAACGACGTTGATCATAGCAACACCTTCCAGACCTGGCATCTTTTCGAAGTCGACATATCCTGGCGTATCTCGATTTACGTTATCCATGACCTTGACATAGTTTGTGCCATTGCTATTGGATTTGATAATTGTTCCGTACTCTTGGCCTTGTGAAGGATTGACTGTAACGTGCAAAAACACTGCATGAGTACTGCTGTCCATGACGGTATAGGCCTGCTGGTGCTTGACCGCGAAGTTACGTGGGAAATTGGCTGCTGCGAAAGTCTGACCGTCCACGCTAGTATCAACATGAAGATCACGGCCGTCTTCTGTTTTTTGAGCCACGATGATAAATTCATTCATGGTCGCAAAGTCGAGGATATTGTTGTAGATGAGTTCTTCCTTTGCGAAGAAATTATCAGATGAAAGCAGTTCGAGGACGTCAGTTTCTGGATCCTCTTTTTGATAACGCTCACAAAAGATAAGTTGGTCTTTATCAGCACGATGGATGTAGTCACACTTCCGCGCGCCTCGAACAAGGGTCTTCCAGTTGTCGCCTCTATCGGTGCTGTAGTAGATATTTGTTCGGTCTTGCGTGTTCTCCAGTCCCGACCACAAGAGCCAGTCTTTGTAATCTGGATGAAATTTCAGTACAGGCAGCTTGTTGTTGCTTGGTGGTTTTGGCACTTTGAACGAGTCGAATCTTTCACCTCGATCAACGGTATAGAATACCTTGCTGGAGTCTGTCAAAAAGTAGACAGCATCATGGAATTTCGGGTTAGGCATGATCGCGACAATTGACTCGTCTTGCAGGATTGGGGCCCAGGTCTTGCCATGGTCCTTGGTGAGATAGATATCCTGCTCGGTAGTGAGCATGATGATTGTCTCATCGTTACCGTGCGAAGTGCTCTCTCTTTCGAGGTAGAACCACTGACTGAAGCCAGCTGCATTGAAGAGTGTCTTTTCTGACGATACTTCTCCAGTCGCTGGCTTTCCAATAGTGTCCGCGCAAGGTCTCTCAACCTCCTTGGCCATGTCGATGCCACCTTTGCAGGCATTGCCGGGTATTTTTCGCCAACCAGAACTGCCAAGGAAAGTGTCGCCAGGATTCTTGCAGACGCCCTCCGGCACAGGCAGTACTTCCACAGGCTTGCATTCTTGACGGTCCTCAGACCTTTCGAAGTTGAAATCACATTCAAAATCTGCTTTTGTGCACTCGCACGGCTCGAAGGTGATCTCAGGATCCTTAAAGTCATCATCTATAACGCAATCTGCCTCAGCTTTTCGCCTGCGATAGAACTGCTTGTGACCCATGATACAGCTAGGGTTGCCCTTTTCATCGACTCGAGCAGGCCATTTCTCCTCGAAATCACCTTTTCCACAGGTCCTTTCGTGTAAGCCTGCAAAGTCGACCTTGATCAGATAGAATTCCTCATCGAAACCTGAACCATGTGCACCACCAACCACGAAGCTCAGGGTGGTTGAGTCTGGTACTGTGGTAATGAAGCTAGCGCGTATCTTCTTGTCCAAGTCTGCCTTGTGCCAGGTTCTACCGTGGTCAAGTGAGTACTGAATGACGCTAGTTGAATCTCCACTCTCAATCGCCACTAGAATTGCACCTGAATTGCCAAACTCGTAGAGATGAGGACCTTTCAATGCACGTCTCCAGGTTATTCCAGCGTCGTCGGAAACATATAAATCTCCCTCTTCCCATGATTTGAGCTGTTTGCCAGTATTTCCCACACCCATAACAATGCCAGGGGCTGGGCTAGAAAAGATGCGGCCACCTATACGAGCTTCTGTGACAGAGTGTAAGTGTAAACGATCACCGTCTATGGTGAGATCCTGGAAGGTCCTTCCATCATCGAAGGTAATTTGTGTAACGACCTGTTTCTCGCCATTCAGAGCACCTTTGACATCTTCCCAATTCTTGACAGTATTGACCAGATAGATACCCTGTATATCGGCCACCTTTTCAAAATCCACGTTACCCCATATGTTTCGATTCGTGTAGTCGATGATTCGGGTAAAATAGGTACCGTTCGAGTTGGAGGAGAAGAGGTAACCCATGGGGTTGATAGACCTCGAGCCTAGGACGTCGACCTGCATGCTGTAATTTGTGCTCTCTAGAATAGTATATGCCTCCTCTGTGATTCTGTGTTGTCCGAATTCGGCCCTATGCCAGGTGATGGTATCATCTGTCACGAAGAGAGCAAGCTCATCTGTATTCTCGCCCTTCGCTGCTACAACCATGTAGTTCTTGACTGCAGCTACACTGAGAACACCACTAACAGCACGGCCGGTATTGATAGCAGGTTCTACCCCTTCGCCACTCTTAAAGAAATCATCACTGCCCGTCAGTCTATAGTCACTACCAAATATGCTTTTGGGCCCAGATCTGATGCAATATACTCTGTTGTCGATTTCTTCGGCGAATGCTTCTCCAAACATGGGTGTCTGGACAGCCCAGACGCAGCCTCCTGGGACACCTTTTGTTAAAGTATTCGCATGCGCAAAATCGTCGTCGGTGTAGTAGCTCAAAGTACTGCAGCCTCCTAGGAAACCAGGTGAACAATCTTGACCGTTCCAGATGACCTTTTTGGGATCGCGGGCATGAAAGCTGAAAGGCCTGCCATTGGCTATCATGGCGAATTGGTGGCCACTGTTCCATCTCGACCAGCTCTTGCCCTGGTTTGTAGTCACCCAATGGTCTCTATCGGTGCCCAGTATGTAAGCACGTTGATTGTTCCATGGATGAGGGTAGACAGCGAGAGCCTCTCCTTCAGCGTCCTTGATCAAGGACCAGGTTGCGCCGGCATCATCACTGCGCCAGGCATTGCCTAGGTCTGGATCGTGGCCAAGTATAATATTGGAATCGTCGAAGTAGAAGATGTCCTGTAACTCAGTGTCGAACTTGGTCTTGGATATCTCGGGGCCGTCCTTCTTCGCGAGCACTAGAGAGGGAACGGCAAGTAGGCTGAGGGCAGCGAGGAGGGAGGTAGTGCTACCCAGCAGTCGTTTTAGGATCATGTTGGCCGCATCTGGTTTCGAGGAAAGGAACGAGGTGCACAACTGGAATTGCTAAACTCAGGTGGACAGGATAACGCAAGGTGTCGAGATTACTATACAATGCATACGTGGACAATGTTTCGGGTCTGGGAAACGTTGTTGAGCATGCGCGTTCAGTGCTCGTTCGCTAAAGTCCTGCGAATCATCTCAATCGCCGGCAGCCTTATTCTGCGGAGCCTGATTACTGTGATCTGCCTATTATTTCATACTACATAATCACGTAGTACAAAAGGGTGAACGATTAGGGATGAACAATATAGTTGTTCTCCACTGCCATACGATCATGTGGCTGTTCAACTTATACGAATATTGTCCAACCTCAAGACAATGCGCAAGTACAAGACCCAAGGAAGCGTACTAATTTGCTCATACAACCCCAACACCATGCTAATTATCACGAATGGAACACTAACAATAGAGCATACACCATGCTACAACTTCTCACCGAAATTGTCGTTATGAGATGTTAGGCGCGTCCTTTAAGCTTTTTGAAGAACCTTTTGAATCTCGAAGGTTCCTCCGGTAGGTCGTCCCATATCGACGTAGAACCTCCTATGGGTACTGTCAGCGGCACTTTTTCGAGTGGCATGTCGTTGATCCTCGTCTGCCGGGCAATCTCACTGTCTTCCAGCGCTCGCAGCTCGGGTCGTGTCAGGGTCATTTTGAGAGTCATTTCCCGGTCAGACGCAGGGACGTGTGCGTAGCTATCGCCATAATTGTGAACCGCCCGGGGTCGAAAATATGTGGAGCGATCGGTACTGCTCTTTTGTGATGGTCTTTGAGGAGGAAACGACATTTCTATGGGAGTTCGGGGACTGTCTTGATGGAAATATTCCGATCTCTCGTCCTCCGACAAAGAAGGAGTGTCGTCGGCTAGAAACGTCTTGGGCCGCACATCGATAATCCCAGCACTTGTCTTGGGTCTGGTTGAAGACGAGACCGCTCCCGTATGCAATGAAGGGAAGCCAAATTCAATCGCCTCGTCGAATTTCTGTGGAGATGCGAGGTATACCCTCAGCTTCAACTTCGCTGCTGGGTCTTGATAGTGTGTTGCAGATGGATCGACCGACGTGGTCGAGGTTGTGCTTCGATGTCGTGGTTGAAGGAGCGCTGCCGGCAACAATGGTGCTGTCCTAGTTGGGGTCAAGCCTATGGATGGAGGGCTGTGTAATGATGTGGCCGAGGAGCTACGTCGTCGAAAGGATGCATTGGAAAAAGAAAGACCACGTCGGTATGAGCGTCCGAAGGCTGGCTGTGGGGATGTGCGAGAGCTCAGATCCGAACTGATGGCATGATAGTCGTCCAATCTCAGATCTAACTCATTGTCTTGGTCGAGCCAGCGAAAGCTTTCGAAATCTTTTGGATCCATAACGTCTTCCTCCTCTTCCGAATCGTATCCTTCCGTTCCGTTGCGTAAGTCTAGGTCGAGAGAGTGTCTGTTCGCTAAGTTGATTCGCTGGTGGTACTGCTTGTACAGAGCTTCGTCAGCTGCGTCAAGTATGACCAGATTTAGTCGGCCGGCGATGTGGTATTGTTCTTCAGTTGAGAATTGCTTGCGTAGGATGGCGGCAGGAAGCGCCGCGAGACCCCATGGGTTGGTTAGTGTGGTGGTCGGTGTTGTTGCTTTCCGTGAGGTTTTTCGTAGGCACGAGCTGGAGCGGGCTCGTGGATGGCTCGTAGTTGAGAAGCTGCGATCCGTCGAGGCAGCAGAAGAGACGCTGGGCTTTCGTGATCCTCCAATCTGTGGAACGAACGGCCTCCTCCCAGACCGAGACTGTGCTTTGGAGTTTTCTGCATCGTGAACGAGTCGTAGACGCTCCAAGCTAGAGAAATACTGCGACAGGTTAGCTTGCATTCATTTCGACACGATGCAAGTGTGGAGAGATCGGCTGATTTTGCGAAGCCATTGCAAGGGGCAGCCGTTCATTGGCGAGCAACGGATCTGTGCTGGAGTGCAATTTAGTTCTAGCGTCCCGACGCTGATCTTGATTGAGTCTAGGAGGTATGCGAGCCTCAGTCCGCTTCAAGCTAGGGCCTTGAAGCCTCTTGAACCACGTTGCAGATCCACATGGAATGGAATGGCAAGCTGTGTAGACATCACTGTGTCGACTTTTTCGACCATTGGCTTCCATGTTCGTGCTATTCTTGTGGGCGCACATCACTAGGTACTGACCTTTCTCTGCAGTGTCGGAGGAAGTTGTTCAAATTCGTATTCTGACATGATCGGGTCGTGAAGTCGCATTTTGGCCGCTACAAAGGGCTCGGATTTTGTGACCTAAATGCTTGGCTCTAATCTTCAGTACGCCTTAGCAACGCGTTCAGCAGAACGACTCGGACGTGGCCGACAATTCCAACAGAAGCAGCCAAACTCTAAAGATTGCAAAGAAATATAAAAGTGTTTGGTGGAAGGGCACAAGAGGACCAGGTTAAGACTTTCTCGAGGCATACCACTAGACACACTCTCCTGCGACTGTGAAGCTACGAGAACGACTTCCGTGTCACTTGCTGAGATGCACAGACGTATATAAGCATCTCACACCCATGTACAGTCCCTCACGAACCACCGTCTATCGAAGACACCGAATCAGGAGAGACCATGTGCATTTTGACTTGACAAAGATCGTTCGTTTCTGCATGCTTGTCGATCACGTCAAACCAGCAAATTGCACGGAATACCGCAGACGTTCGTAGTAAACTGGACCTAGAAACGCGTCTGCCCGTCGTTCTTTCTCCTGGCCGGCACAAGGCCTGGAGCTGACGTGCATACAAACCGTACTAACGACTGATGACTGCCAAGCCATGGATCCGTTGGTCGAAGAGGCGGGTGCCTCTTTCGGAAGAGTCCCGCAAGATCGTCACTCTACAGGGTAACTACATGGCTTGACGAAGTCAACAGCAGCGAAATCTCTGCTGAGGAACTCGACTTTGCGGGTGTATGGTCAGTGACAAGGACGAGTCTACCTTTGTACCTTGATGGGTGAGAGATGAATTTGCTGTGAGCTTCGCAGAGACATGGCCGCTCATCAGAGCATGGATGGGACCTTCTGGAATTTGATACTTGCAGGCCTTGTCCCTCGCCTATCACACGTCCCTGATCCTTCAAGCTTGGACTAAAACAGATCTTCAAGTGTAAACTAAACTCGCTAACGTATAGAGCTCGGATGTGATGTGCCAGCACTAGCAGTGAACATGGTGTATGGACCCTTGAGCTTTGATATGTTGCACGGATGCACCCTGAAACAAATTCCCGCTCGGTCAAGCACGTGAATTTGGACCCACCAACCTCACAAGTAGTTGCAGTTCTCTGGCAGAAGAGTCTTGACGTGCACGCGAAGCACCGTGGCACAAGAGGTAGAAGTCGTTCGATGCATTTTGATCGGGGCGCGGATCCGAATTGTCACCCCGGACGTGGCACACCTGTCGACCGGAACGTTTCAGTTTGTACTGCAGTGTGCTCAGGAAGTTCGTGACCAAGACAGTGGGAAAATTTGGATGTTGCCTGCATATTCAGGAGAACCAGAACACCTCCTGTGAAGGATTCTTGCGAACATGCATTGGGAACTTCCGACTTGAATCGGGCACTTGAGCTTCTCAGTCGGAGCGAGATGTTGTGCTTCGTCTTTGGTTTACAGTCTCAATGCTTGTGTCGTGCCAGTTGCTTCATGTCGAGCACATTAGACTTGTTGCACAGACTCTCGTGCGTTCGTGGCCAAGTCCAGGTCCAGTGGCTGCCAAGCACATCAATGGTAGTCGAGTAGTGTTCAACCATTACGTTATTTGTTCTGAGGGCCGACCATACATTAGTTGAACTTCACTTCTGTCGATTCATATAGAGGTGATCATGTCCTTCAGAACGAGCTTGAACTTTCAAGTTATCCGAGCTGGAGAATTGTGGGTGTCCTCCCGAGTAGCGTATGCATGCACTTCCTTCCTTCGATACAGCACAATCCGCGTTCTCCAGGTCATACCAACTTTGTGGCAATACTACAGTCTGCGGACAAGTCATGAATACAAGTACATCGCGGACTCTGGCCACCACAAGGTAACAACGATGATGTGTGCAAGTGCAGCACTGAATATCGCCTTCGTGGAAGAGGACCGAAGCTTTAGGCTAATCGGACATACTCTGACAAGGCGGAGACACATTGACTTATCAGCAGACACTCTCCTCTATAGCGCTGTAGGCTAAGCCGGTTCCTACTTCTCTGGCGAATGAACTCACTCACCCGCAATTTCACAGGCCTTTCAAGCATCAAACAAGCGCGTTCGATCGACCGAGATCAGCTTGATGGCGTCGAAGGAGGGCGCAGCTACGGCAAAAGAGAGGCGCTTCACTCAGAGATCAATCTGCGGCTCGATCGCGCACTTGACACGTTCCAAATACAGTACAAGTTCAGGTCCGTGCCATTGTGATCTTCTTCGATGTTTCTGTATACAACACGACTTTGATCTTCTCTTCCGCTCGTTCAATTTTATTCCAAACCGCAGTCTTCTTTTCCGACTTCCTCGCAACTGTCAGACAAGATGCGATTCTACGGCTTGATCTTCGCCTTGCTGGCCGCCATCACGTTTGCGCAGCAGAATGTAATTAACAATCCTGTGACTGGTTGGGATGTCAGTACAGGTTCTTCAGTTACCATCACCTGGACCATGCCTTCCTCTGGAACTGTCTCCATCCGTTTGACTCAAGGTGGAAACATCGAGCCAGGCTCTGGCGACTTGTTGATCTGTAAGTCTCACTCCTGAAAGTGGCGTGGTATGTCTCTGACAACTTGCGCAGCCAACATTCCCGCATCGGCCGGTAGAGCTACAGTCACCATCCCTGAAGGCGTCAACGCCGCTGCATACAACTTCCAGATTGTCGACGACACAAACTCCAACAACGTCAACTTTTCCAGTCCATTCACAATCGCAGGCGGTTCCGTAACTGTCACCAGCTCGGCCTCTGCAACCTCGGCTTCTGCTTCAATCTCGAGTTCAGTCTCCAGTGCCAGCAGTTCAGCTTCCTCTGCATCGAGCGCTAGTTCGCGATCCAGTGCCAGTTCCATGTCCAGCGCAAGCTCGAGCGCCAGTTCCAGTTCATCTGCTAGCTCGGCCTCGTCTGCCAGCTCGGCTTCCTCCTCTGCTTCGTCCGCGTCGTCGTCAGCCAGTCGGTCTTCATCTTCCTCAGCGTCTTCGACCTCCGCATCGGCTAGCGCCACTAGCGTCTCGAGCACAAACGCAGGTGCTTACGTTAAGGTTGGTGGTCCTCTCGCCGTCATGGCCGGTATGATCGCTGTCTTTTAGAGATAGGAGACAAGTGTCATCTTCCAGTATAATATTGTTGTGTTGGTTTTGTTGTAAATGGTTGTGGATATAGGAAAAGATCTTGTGGAAATACGACCGTGGAATTGTGCTGTGTGGCAGGACCAGGGCAATTTGAGGACTATGAACATCATTGGCCTCATCTACTTCATGTACTATATTGTCATTTGAACTGTGTTGGTACCTGCGATATATGCACAAAAGCTATGGTTGAATTAGAAGCTAAATCTTCTCACAAGCAATTCGGTTTCGGACAAGGAGTGTACGATCGACGCAAAGCACTCTATGTTTTGACCTTTCGCCTAGCATGCGTGTCAGCCCTCCATTTCCGATACGTTGTGAAGCTTCCATCAAGCAGCAGATCGAAACGCACATCGACTCACAGCTCTTACTTCACGTCTTAAACAGCAAGCAGCAATTACCGTATCGCATCCTTTCCTTCTTGCATATGAGTAGTGCAACTATCGAACAAGCACAACCAAGCATCAGCTTGAAGAGCATAGAGTTGCACAATAACAATCTTGAGCCAATAGCGGGTATGTACGGACTTTGCAATCATGATAACTTATATGTAAGATCGTCATCCTTCCATGAGGACTTTCGTCAATTACCAGACCATGGGCACACGTGTTTTGATCTATGATGGAATCTGACGGGATCCATATGGCACAATCGTGATGTTGGAACAGGTTTGCGTGGTAGGCGAAAGTAATACACAAATATCTCATAGGCAGTATCTCATTTCAGACTATTTCACTAACATTTCGCGATATCCATCTTTCATTGTGCAATAACTTCTTTAAAAGCTCGTCATTCTAATCAAACGGCCACATAACTACACCAGCAAGATGGGCCTCGTCAACAACATCAAGCAGAAAATCTCGGATCACCACGCGAATGCTGATGTTGATCACAGCCACAATGATGGTACAAATCCGAGAAAGTCAGACGCCCAGAATTGGATTGAAAAAGGTCAAGGCGGAGAGCGTAACGATGATCAGGGGCACCAGGGTGGGAGCCTCACGTCTGCGGACACTCAGCCGGCCGTCAGCAATCCTAAGGTACAGGAAGCTATCATGAATGATAAGAGTAGAGTGGGCTCTGTTGCGAAATAGGCCCGTTGTGATTATTGGAAGACGTATGGGCGATGTAGAGTTGGAGATGTGATGGGAGATGGGAGTAGAACAACTATCTGTGCGACAATAAAAGAGGATATCGAAGGTGATCTATCTCAATGCTGGAAATATATTGCCACTTTCCACTTTGCTCCTGGGACGGGCTGTTGGCGATGTTCTCGAGGAAGGTGAATAAAGTTCCGACGAAATGAAGCCGACAATCATTAAATCTGATACGTGCATTCGACCATGAGTGTTTCTTGTTGTACTCCATCCTAAGATCTGACCGAGCGAGATGAGTCGTTCCAGCCCTACAGGCCACAACTCCGAGGCGACATCAGACATGCTTCTCAGGCCAGAATCGCTCTGCTGGCTGGGGCTCTATCTCTGACATAAGCCAACAAAAGAAGAGATGTCGTTATTAGCGAACCAGACAGTTTTGCGTGAAGTGCTGCAAGCAATTCGGACACATCCTCTCACACCTCCTATTTCCACTGTCGCAACGGTCAGTGCTTTGGAACACCATCACGCCGATCAGCTAATTTTCGTGGGAAGAGGCTGAGATGTGTCTTATTGCCGATGACTTGCTTGCCTAACTATTGAATCCTCCCTCTCCTCTGGGGTCACATCCGTTGTACGAACAGGCTACATAGCCATGGCTCGCCCAAGGAGCTTATCTGTTCTACGACATAATCCTACCGACCAGCAATAACCTTGGACATATTCAAGTATTTGCCCGTGCACGAAACGACGTGACAATAGCGATATGACGTCCTCGAGCCTGCCCCTATACATCGCCATCGGTCTCCTGATGGTCGACAGCACGATCGAGCTCTCCTTGATCTCATCCGTGGTAGCTTGGCTGCATCGTCGAGCAGGTGGTTCCTGGGAAGTCGCCTACAACAACAGCAGCTTCTCCCTTCACGGCAAACCCCTACACGAGCTCGTGGACCAAGGCCACTTAAGCAATGGTGCAGCAGGCACAGCATTTGTTCTGGTAGGCACGACTGGCACCCTCGTCTTATTGATGCGTAACCGTTCCAACCTCTGGAGAAAAGGCTTCACCAAGACGCTCTACATGTTCTGGCTCATTGCGACCGTTCTATCCGCCATCTTGACTCTATGTGCGTTAATCTTCACCTTCCTCGTAACCAACACCAACAGCGGACTGTCTATCAATCTCAGGTACGCCTCAATATTGAAAAATCAACCATATCCCAACCAAGTCCCATACGACCTAGGGCAATGGACACCAGAAGATTGGTTCCATGCGGTCCTGCGATTGGACCTAGTTCATCAATCAGAAAGGGATGTTATTTCAACCTGGATAGCTGTAATGAGGGGGTCAAGATATAATCTGATTCCAATGTTTGTCATTGGCGTTGCGGTTGTCGTTCTAGCGCTCTGGGATGCAAACAATCGACGCCGGAAAACAACAGATTACAGAGGAACCATGCAGGTCAAGGAAATTCAGGCTGTATGAAGTTGAAGTACGTGGAGAAATTGAAAGAGCTTCGATTTTCAGCAGGAAAATAACCTTCTACTCATTGGATAGCATGTTCAGCACAGTGTCAGCAGGAGTGGGGGTCGTCGCGGAATATTTATTGTAGATACTCGCAGTCAGACGACCGCGTCTCTACAGGCAATTCAACAATTCCTGACCACTTTAAGCATGAACATTCCCTTCTACCTCGAACGAATGGCCATTGCCAAAGGTGGTCTTGTACAGTCTTCTGCTCTCGAGTCGCACATATTCAGGTAGAATAGTCAAAGACTCAATGATCAGAACCCATCCTATCTTTAATAAATCACACAAATTTATTCATTCGTTCATGCATGGGTAGGTAAATACACATCATTACTTCATTATGTCCTCTCGGTATTATGTCTTGCTCTATACAGACTGTATACACACCAAAATACCTAGGATTCTCACTAAATCACATCCCCCGAACTCGCATCCTCCGAACTAGCCAATTTGGCCTCCGAGGGTAGTCAATAGTATTTATTCCCTCCTCTCCCCCCACCACCAGCACTATCGCCAATCCCCTCCTCCTCCTCCTCAGCAGCCATATCTGCTCGCCGATTATTCCCTCTATTCGACCCCATCCTCATCATGCCCTTGAAGCGTTGACTCAGTCCACGTTTCGGCTTGGTATCGATTGGCTCCTCCTCGTCGGAGAAGTAGCTTGGTTCGTCGCTGTAGCGGTCTTGTTCGTCGTCCATGTTGTCGTCGTCTTGGTCGTGGTGATATGCGTTTTGGTGCTGATGTTGGTGTTGGTGGTGGTCTGCCTGGCCGGATTGTCCGAGTTGTCTGGGCTGTGTCTCTCCGACATCGTCACTGTATGGGTATTGGCCGTCGTCGTAATCGTCTTCGCGTTTATTGCGGCCTTCGACACGGTCGATGAAGTTTCTGGCACGGTCGCGGAGGCTGAGGCCGCGTTTTGGCTTTTCGCGGTATGCTTCGACGCCATTATAGCCTTGGCTCGTTGTACGTGTCGGCGTGGGGAAGTCTTCGCGTGCTCCAGAGCTTGTATGAGCCTCTGTATACTGTGGTTGCGATTGCGGTTGTGGTTGCGATTGTGGTTGTTGTACTTGAGGGACCTGTTCTGCACTTGGTGGGAACCTACTTAGTCCAAAGCGGCCAAGTATGCTGTTTCTTCTTTGGGAGCGCTGCTGTGGACGATCTGGAAACACGTCTTGATCAGTCGTACGTCCAAGAATACCATTCCCACGGAGAGAGCGTTGCTGCGGATTTCCTGAGTAGGCGTCGTGGTCTGTACCTATGCCTAGAACTTGCTCTTGCTTGCTGAGACGTTGATTACCTGCCATTCCACTGCTTGGCCCGCGCAGGGATGAGCTGCGTGGAAGAGAATCCGCGCTGACTCCAGTACCCTGAGCTGGGTACGATGAAGGTGGCCCTGTGGGAGTTGAAACGGCTCGAGGTGCTTGTCGTTGTTGCTGATTTGCATACGATGATTCAGTGCCGGAAGGTTGACGAAGCGAGCTAGATCTATTCGTACCGATCGTGTATGAACCTCTTCGAACTGGATTTGCAGGGATGGATTCGATAGTTGAGAACGAAGACTGTGGATAGCCTTGAGCTTGTCCGGCTGTCCTTTGAGCTTGAGTCTGAGGCTGAGGTCGTGAATCGTATGTTTGATATTGCGGTTGCGATGGCGAAGTCATTTGCTGACGGTCACGACCAACGGCTGTTGGGGCCTTCTGACTTTTCTTTCGCAGCACATTCCCCTTGCCTGAGGATATGCGTTGAGGTACAGCCGCCATCATGTCACGAGGTTGGCTTGGAGGTTGATTGAACGACCCTTTACCTCGTCCCTGTAGGTCTTCGAAAGTATCAGAAGGCATTTCGTAAGCAATGGGAGCTGCCTGAGATGTCATTTTAGCTGGCGTGTCATTTGGCACGCTAGTTGCAGGACCTGTTACTTGATCGTGAAACGAGAGTCGATGTGCGTCTGTAAAGTAGTCGTTTGGCTCCGAGGAAGTACCAGCAGCGGTAGGATGATCAGGCACACTACGATCAAGGTCGTCGTTGTTTTCCGGACGTTTCTTACTGAGACTCCTGAAAAGCCCAAGTCTTGCCTTTGGCTTGGCTTCCGCGCCTTCTTCACTACCTGTATAACTCTCTGCATCGCTCATTTCCTGACCCCAATTGCCGGCACCCTGACTTTGTGCAGATTTCTGGCCACGCTTCCCTCCGAACCCTAGCTTGTTCATGAGCGTGGGCTTGCGCTGGAGGCCTTCAGCACCCTCTAGCTTTTCTCGGTCAGAACTTCCATCATACCACAAAGCTGGAACAAGCAAACGGTATGGCTCGGTCGCACCGCATGGATCTCTTCGATCGATTTCGCAATTGAGCACAACATCAAGCGCACCGTCCAGGTTGACATGATCGTTGAGGTCAAATTCGTTGCCTTCAGCATCCATGGCAGGCATGTTACCTTTTTTAGCAGCTTTTTCAGAAAGGTTCGTGGGACGACGGTGGAAACCGGGTCGAAATGGTGGTGGACCACGACGTGCAAACTCATCGTCCCCTAATGCATAATCGCCCTGAGTAGATATATCTCGGGTCTCGGATGCAGCACGTTGATTCATGCCCAATCTTCCATTCTGACGTGTAGCCGGGTTGCGCCCAGACTGGACATCGTCAAGAGATCCATATCTTTGTTCTTCGCCAGCATGGCCATCTTCGCGATAGGCTGTAGGTGGTGCGTTGCGCGAACTCAGTCTTCTGAATAACATTCTAGGGTTGATGTCGTCGCGAGAAAGCGAAAAACGTCGCTTGGGCTGGGGCATTGCCGGATCGTCGTCTCCCGCGATGAAACTCGACTGACTTGGTGAGGTTGATCGTGAACTCGATGGTGTTATACCTGGTCTATACTCAGCAATAGAGCACCAGTTTCTTCGAGGTAGAAGGTGTTTATTATTTCTTTTCTTCCTGTCGACGTCGTGTGTGAACATAGGTATCATCGATTCGTCGGTATAGCCGTCGAGGTGATGAACCTTATTGCGCTTGTTGAGCACATCCGCTAGCATCTCGGGTGGTGGAGTGTTGACAATGGCGGACGAGATAACGTTCGGCATATATCTGTGGTCACGGTCCTTGGGTATCTTGAGTCTAGGATTCGAGTAGAACTGCCCAATTGCTCCCAGATGAACATCGCCTCCTAGGATGGTCACACGGACTGACCTCTCTGCAGCAAGATCTTGAAGTTCTTTGATCAGCTCGTTTCGCTCTTCTTTGTGGTGGTGTGCTGTCCAGTGATCATCAAGGTCGTCCAGCACTTCGACACCACCATCAAACTTATTAAGCAGACCACCTTTGATCATACCATATCGACCTAGAGCTTTGACAGGATCCATAGCACGACTGGTTAGTATGGTCTCCAGCCAGTTCATTCTTGGATATGCGATAGGTACACCAAGCAGTACGATCAGGTGTTTTGTCTCACCTTCGATGATCTCCTTTCGACATCGCTCGAGGGCAATATCACACGTATCGAGTGACAAGACCTGGTTTTTCATCCTCTCTGTCCTACAGTCCAACGCTAAGAAAGCAATAGGTCGACCAAGGTTCAGGAAAATGCTCCTGCTCAATTGCTTGATATAGGGACCAGGTTTGTATCCTAATACCCAGCTCGGCTCATCGGTCGAAGTCATACCTTCGACACTGTGCTGCTGGAAGAGCATATAGTATTTGTATGCGATGTTGCCGACACCACTGAACACAGGTGAAATCATAAAGGGGTGTGGATAAGAGCCAAATCCATCAATAATATCGTGGTCGTCCCACATGTTCACCATCGGAATCTGAGAGCCGGCCATTGCAAAGAGACCTTGCGAAAACCACTGGCTATAGTTATCCAGGTAGAAAGTCTCCAATTCTTCTTTCATTTCAGTTGTGAAAGGGGCGTTGTGTTTATACTGCGGATTCTTGCTAGCAGTCCAATCTCCAAAAAGCTGAGTATCACGCATGACCCTATCGTTGTATATCTGGTCTCCTCCACCTATCATGACATGGAATGGCCGACGCTGATGCGCGATAAGAACGTCTCTCCACAAAGGGTCAGGTCCGGAAAACTCATGAGGATTAACGGACAAGCTGAACCCGTTACAGGAATGAAACATGATATTCATAGTTTGGCCTTCGGAAGGAACCCAAAAGCCCGAAGCAGCGCCACCATTGATCCTGTACCCCAGATGTTGCTGTTCTTTACCAAGCTGGACTTCAATCTTGAAGAGCCAAAAAGTCACATCACGATCTGGATCAGCGTACAAGCGGACTCCTCGAATCTCCTTGTAACGTCCATTGCGCTCGCCATTGTTGTCACTCAGTCGAGAGTCGATCGGAGTGACAGCTACAGACTGCTCATTCGTATTTGCAATAGGTGGTGAGGTATCGAACAGGCCATCGTCTGTCTCGATGTGAGACAAATCTCTCCCTGACGGCAAGCTGTGAGCTGGTTTTACATATAGCGCTCTGCCTATGCGTGACATTTTGATGCTACCGGCCAATGGATCGTGCTCTTCGCGGTCGAGTGTAGTCTCGTCGTCGAGGTGGGGGTCATCGTATAAAGATTTTGGTTGAGAGAACAGCCGAAGTGTCGGTGGCTTTTCATAAGAAGATTGTTGATCCTGTGTGACAATCATCACCGTACCTCGCCAGTATTCTTTGGCACCTTCACCGATAGTGCGCTTGATGCCAGTGTACCGAAGGAGTGGACCACATTTGAGCAACAATCTCGGTCTGAACTCTGCATTACGATCGTCTATAGCTGCGCTTTCATTAACGGCGTGTGTTCTGCTTCTGTTGCTCGTCCTGCGGAATTTGGGATCCTCTTCCCACCATGCCTTGTTGCTCTCTGGATTCTGTTTCGGCTCCAGCACGAAGTCGTCTGCACTTAGTCGTGCAGTTTCTGCAGCCTTCCACTCGTCAAGAGGCCTGCGACGATCATAGGGATCCTTGAAGGATACGCTAGAACGACGCTTATGTCTTTGTACTGGATTGGCCATATTATCGGCAGGAGTTGCCGAGTCAACGGAGCGTACACCAGGGGAGTCTTGGAAACCCAGGCCAGCAGGATTAGATTGCCCTTGCGGCGTTGCGGTTCGCATCACTGCTGGAGCCTGCTGCGTGGATTGAAAACGTGCGGAATTGGACAAGTTCAAATTGTCCAGATTTCTGGACGGTCCAGTAGGTTCATTACGCTCAGTGTATGAAGGATCACGAGTTCTTCTAGGATCACTGTCCAATTTGGCGGTCAAAGCGTGGCCAGTCAATGACTCTAGTGCTGCACGATGCGACGCGTTCCTCTCTTGTGCTGTCGGTATACGATCCGAGTCGTAGACCGGCTTCGCCCTGTACTTCTGACCTTGCTGAGTTGTTATCGTACTTGCTGGATTCGGATTGGCTGTGAAGTGAGCCAGTGAGACGCTTCGTGTTTGAGGAGTAGCTGAGACAGTATCTTGTGGGGAGTAGGTATGAGACGAAGAAGCAGCTCTTTGAGGCTGGCCAGTGGGTTGACCAACACCAGCCCCTCGAGATCTTCTTGTGATGGTGACCGAACGTGGGAGGGACGTGGCATTCTGGTAGTCGAAGCCTGGTCGATCTGTGGACAAGCGGGCAGCATCTGGTTGTCGTGACTCGATGACAGTACTGTGGTGCAAGCGATCCCTTTGAGTATTGCTCAGAGATCGGACTATACCTGCATCTTCGATCGTGGAAGGGTTAGGCTGACGATCAGGAGGCCGTTGTGAGCGTGTCTTCTCACGATGTAACATCTCAGCCTCTTGCACACGAGCTCGCTTTTCCTCCTTGCTAATATTGTCCAGAGTGGCCTCTAACTTCTGCAAAGGAGAACGGTCCGGGGCCCAGTCTCTTGATTCGGCCTGGTTGGTAACAGTTTTTAAGGTTGGTGCTTTTGTAAGGCCAGGCACTTCGTGTCGAGACTCGTCGTAAGTACTTGTGTCAGCCATATCTCTGGGTGAGCGGACCAATTGGGCAGCCGAGCGAATGTTGTCTTGAATTATCTGCTGCCTACGTACTGCTTGGCCAGGATCTGGTTGTGTGACCGGATGTGAAGGTACAGGAGCAACACGTGTAGTCTGAGGATCTTGCGCCGTCACCTGGCGAAGCTGTTGCTGTGCATTTTCGAGTCTATCTCTAGCAGTATCTGCCAGGTCTTCATCAGCGAAAGCTTCGTCTGCATATGGACGGCCTCTTGCTCTTTGTGAGAAGGATCTTTGTAGGCCTTGTCCAGACAGATCTGCGCCAGGATAAGCTATAGGAGCACCGCCGGACGTTCCAGCGTCGTATTGCGAGTTTGTGGGAGCATAGACATCGCGGGCAGCGCTTGAAGGCTGCCGAGAATGGCGACTGGTCTTTCTAGTAGTTGTAGACGGTTGAGGTCCGAGCAATCCATCCAGACCAGGGTCGCGATAGGACTCGATCGGGTTCATCTTGCGCTGAGTCGCTAAATAGTTTGGTATGGGTTCAGGTTCGGAGTCCTATTTATGTCTTATCAGATACAGGCAATCACCACTTTTACCAAGTCATTGTAACTCTGATCCAATTTTGAAAACAAGCTTGCGGTCTATTTATCGCGAGCTGGAAAAGTGAAATCGATCGAGAACGCGCAAAAGCTATATGGTCTAGCATTAGTCGCGGTCGTTAGCAGAATACAGCTATGGTGCAAGGAGAAGCCATGATGGACAGATGCCAGAAGCACCAGCAAAGAAATCGTTGTAGCGACTGCGACAAGGTACAAGGTGAATATCGAGTGGCTGGACAGCGTGGTGCAGCGTGCAGTTTGGAACCAAGTGGTGATGCCTGTACATGCCCGACAAGCTTCCGTTTGATGTCCACCGGGCCCGGAGGCTCAAGCCACGATCCAGCTCCACCAGCAGCGCTAAGCACGGTCAGCCTAAAGACAAAGGAGTTAGGCGTCGACAGGGCCCCGGTTCCAGAAAGTTGAGACAGATCGCAGGGCCGACAACAGACAACACTGAAGAAAGCCAGATCCTTACCAATTCAATCCCTCCTACACTGACTGTCACCATCCTTCGTTTTAACGCGCATTTGATTTGTGAGGACACGATCTGCGGCAATAGCTACGTAATACTGAGACTACCTCCTGACCTCATACCGAGCAGCATTACGACGAACAAATCCCTTTGTTCAGCCTCTTGTTACACTATTCGAAGACGGCACGCACTGCATATTGCGTTCTAGAGAACATGTGTTGCTAAGACGAAGTCCGTCTTGTATCTGTGAAGATGCGACTACTTGCCTGGTGGCTGCCTGTTGTAGCGTCCGCTATTGTTCAAACACGAAACTATGATAGTTTCGACTACTTTGTCGTGCAGCTACAGCAATCCACCGATCCTCAGACTTTAGCCTCCAAGCTCAATGCTACGTTCGAAGGACCGCTGGGAGAGTTGCCCAACCACTTTACCTTCTCTTGCCCGAAAGCCCAAAGCGCAGATGTGGAAGCAACCTTAGAAGAATTGAGACACAAACGGTTGCTTCGGAAGAGGGGCTTGAGTATTGAGGACGACCCAGAAGAGTTACAAGGTCTACAATGGCATCAAAAGCAGGAGCTTAAACAGCGTCACGTAAAAAGAGTGCCGGCACCACCAACAGGCTGGCAGAAACCACGACAGGCAAACAATGCTGGTCAACTGGATCAACAGCAGCAAGCCGACAAGGCGCGCCTCGAGGAAATTGCATCTTCTCTGGATATTCACGATCCTGTCTTTCTGGAACAATGGCATCTGCTGAATTACATACAGAAAGGTATTGATGTGAATGTAACAGGGGTCTGGCAGAATGGTGTTACTGGTCAAGGAGTCACAGCATGCGTTATTGACGATGGTCTTGACTTTACCAGTAACGACCTCAAACCCAACTACTATGCCAATGGATCCTGGGATTTCAACGACAAAGGTCCTGAACCCAAGCCAAGATTGTCCGATGATCGTCATGGCACTCGTTGCGCCGGTGAAATTGCTGCCGCAAGGAACGACGTCTGTGGTGTTGGCATGGCATATGACAGCCAGATCTCCGGTGTCCGCATTTTGTCCGCTCCCATCTCGGATGAGGACGAAGCTCTATCAATCAACTACCATTATCAGGAAAATGACATATACTCGTGCTCATGGGGTCCGCCCGACGATGGACAGACCATGGAGGCTCCTGGTTTGCTCATCAAAAAGGCCATGGTCAATGGTGTGCAACAGGGTCGAGATGGTCGAGGTTCGGTCTTCGTCTTCGCCGCAGGAAATGGTGCCGCCAAAGATGACAACTGTAATTTTGATGGATACACGAACAGCATCTATTCTATCACAACCGGAGCCATCGACAGAGCTGGCGACCATCCTTACTACTCAGAGAAATGCTCGGCTCTTCTAGTAGTCACTCCCAGCTCGGGTCACTCAGACGCCATACATACAACTGACGTAGGGTTCAATACCTGCTACAATGGTCACGGAGGCACGTCTGCAGCTGGGCCTTTGATGGTTGGTGCCGTCGCCCTTGCCCTGAGCGCACGGCCTGAGTTGACCTGGCGAGATCTGCAATATCTCACCATCGACACTTCCGTGCCTATACATCTCGACGATGCCGAATGGCAGGACACTGCTACTGGCAAGAAATTCAGCCATACTTATGGCTACGGCAAGCTAGATACTTATAGCTTTGTTGAGGCGGCTAAAACTTTTGAGCTTGTGAAGCCCCAGGCCTGGTATCATTCACCGTGGATCGCGGTTGCACACGACATTCCTGAGGGCGACAAGGGGCTAGCTGCATCTTTCGATGTTACGCCAGAGATGCTCGAGAACGCGAACCTGGCACGGCTGGAACACGTCACGGTCACTATGAATGTCAATCATACTCGCAGAGGTGACCTAAGTGTCGAGTTGAAGAGCCCACAAAACACCGTTAGTCGTCTGTCCACTTCGAGGAAAAACGACAATGCGAGGTCTGGGTACACTGACTGGACCTTCATGTCCGTTGTGCATTGGGGTGAAAGCGGGGTGGGTACCTGGACTGTGATCGTGAAAGACACTATTGCAAATGAGCATCAGGGTCAATTCTCGGACTGGAGGCTGAACTTGTGGGGAGAATCCATCGATGGCTCTAAGCAGGAATTACATCCCCTCCCTGACGAGCACGATGACGACCATGAAATTGCTACGGCTAGTGTGACGACCACATCTGTCGAACCTACCAGTCCACCTACAGACCTGCCCGAGCATCCGACTGATCACCCAGAACGACCAACTAAACCCAAACCTACTTCTGCAGATACCACAGCTTTTACTACGCCTGCCACGACGACGACCCCGACAGCGCCTTCTGTCACATCAGAAGTGGCCGAAGCAACTCACACCACTTCCGAAAGTTATCTTGCCGGTTTCCTGCCAACCTTCGGCGTCTCCAAGAAGACACAGATTTGGATTTATGGATCGATCGTGCTAATGGCAATCTTCGGTATCTGCTTGTTTGCTTACTTTTGGCAGCAAAAGCGCAAGCGACAAAGAAACAGTCGCGAGAATTACGAGTTTGAAATGGTTAATGACGAAGACCTAGATGATGCACGACAAGGCTTGACCGGCTCGCGTCGTCGTAAACGTGGTGGGGAGCTGTACGACGCTTTCGCTGGCGAAAGTGACGAAGAAGTATTTAGCGACGAGGACGATGACGATGGGTACCATGATCGAGATACTCCCGATCACGATACTGGCTCAGGGTCAGGGTCGGCATCGCAGGACGAGAAAAGATAGCATTTGCCGTGTTAGCCTATGTAACAATGTATCACAAATCGCAAACGACTTTTAGTTCATTTGGCCATGTTGTTTACTTCTACCCTGCTGTAAACATCTCCAGGTTCGAAGAGTCAACCACTTCTTGTGTAGATTTCCTGCGACAGCTTCAACTCGATTATTTGATACACGTCCACCCGACTCCGAGAAAGCACCAGGCATTCGAGCATTTAGTGGGCTGGGGAGGCTACAAGCGGGCCTATCGCGGCCAATTGGCAAGTGCTCTGGGCGGCCTTTCACCGCGAAATCAGCTGCATTTGCCCGCACTTGACGCTGCAGACGCACCCATGATCTCAGTGTTTCGAACAACTGAGCTGACGCTGACGAGGCGCCAACAGCCATCCTCGAACAGGAAACATGATCCGATTACAACAGACAGTAATATGGTGGTCAGCTCGAGGTCACGAGGGCGTGTTAACCTTCGCAGCGACCAAGAACTGCTGCAGTCACCATCACAGCCTGAATCCAGCAGTCCAGTGACACCAAATACTATCAATGACCACAATACCGACACGTCTCTTTCCCGGCAGCACGATGATGCTGGCTCATCGCGTGCGAAAAGGAACAGGATAGCTTCAGTCTCGGATCGTGAGAGTGTACAGAAACGTCGACGGCTGAGTAAAGGGAGTGTTACAGGTCCTTCCCCAGTGCACATCCCTTTGCGTGGTAGAGCCGTGCCAGACGTCCAACCTGCGAACCACGGCAAGGTGTCGTATAACCATACCACCGTACAGCCACCATCACTTCTCACACACGATAGCAGCGTCAGTAACAGTCCGCTCAACTCTCCGCCTTATGGGCCTCAATACGATCAGTTTAGGAGAATAGAAGAAAAGGCTCAGAGGGTTGTCAAAAAGCATCTACAACAGGAAGAGAAGAGGATCCTCAGGTCGGAACATGGCAGTACTAGGTCCAAGACCGAGTTGGCTCAATACTTCCCGAATTTTGATGATATGCTGAGCCTTGAACCCGTTGATCCGAGTAAGCACAAGCCCGCAACATCACTTAGTTCAAGCTCTGACAGCCATAGACCTTCTTACTGCCAAGACACCCATCGTGCTCGTCGACGATACACCAAATTTCGTGCCTGCGCCGCCACGGCCCGACTATTTCAGATCTCTTCAAGCTCCTCATAACGCCGAAACGATTGATCTCGAGGAGCACCTGACATCCACGAGACCACTTGTGGATCCACTTTCGGATGCCATATACCTTAAAGCACATCAGAAAGCAGAGAGACACGAGAAGCAGATGAAGAATGGCGACAAGGAGCGTGCACAACATGAGAAATATCAGCTGGAACGTCTTCTGGAAGAGCTGCGTGGTCCTGAGTGGCTGAAAACACTTGGAATTAGCGGCATAACAGACACGGAAAAGAAACGATTCGAGGCTAAACGTAAACTATTCATACGAGAAACTCAAGCTCTGATCGCCAAATTCAAGCGATGGAAAGAAGAAGAAAAGCGCCGAAAACTTGAGAAACTTCAACTCCAGCTTGAGGGCGCCGAAGCAGCATCTGAATCGGCTGACGGCAGTCGAGGAGACGACAAAGCTTCGTCTTCCACCGCTGCTACCAGGACAAGAGTACGAATCAAGAACGGCCTGGCCAGCAAGAGTCGCAGCAGTCGGGCGAACAGTAGGCCGTCGTCTGTGTCTGCTCAAGTTCCTGACTCCAGCGAAATCGACGCCTTGGCCTCTCAGCAGCTTCTTGAAGAGGCTAAATCAGCCAGTGTGCACCGTCACAAGGCAAATGCTGTTCCGACCAGTTTGCCAATCCCGCTACTACCAGAATTTTCCAGGAAACCATTCACGTCCTTCTTCGAGAAGCGTCATATTCGCGACGCTGCTGTCTCTGGTCGGAATCGTGGACGGAAGATCTATGCCTTTGGACAGGAACTCCCGGAATTTGAGGAAACGGAGTTTGAGTTACCAGAGTCCATATTGACACATGATGCTATCAAGGCTAGTCAAAGGAGTCGTAGGAGGCGCATGCGCAGTATTGACGATGGGAGTTGAAGCTGTGATCCTGGATATTGGTTATGGGCTGTTGAAACATCAAGTCCCGCGATGATTACTAGTACGGCGCAAAGGTGGTGGAGCACATTCTTCTTCGCTACTCAAAGCTTTATCATTAATTGAGCTGCTTCTCGGATTCTACCCTTGCATTACAAGGTGTCGTAGCATCGACAGATGGTTGTTACTTTGCTGTGTGCTATGTTCTACAAGTTTATTCGACAGGCAGGATCGGAAAAAGTTTCGTCCGAACGCACTACTCCTCATGCTCTTCAACTTTCACCTATGAAGAGACACTCATTATTCCTCCATCACATCGAAGGCGTCCTGGATGCAATGATTCGTCAGGTACCTCGCATGCACACCAATTCTCGCACTGTCGTTTGAACATATAGTCAAACGATGTCGGTTGTCAGATGCCTCGTTCGATGATTCGTCCGGGTGACGTCTTTCTACAGTGAATGCTTGTCACTCTTCACACCATGTCTAAATACTAACAGTAGCACCGTCGTCGTGTGGCGCAACACTTCGAACTGGCTGCACAGTTATTGTCCAGCCATGTTGCTCTACAAGTATGACCAATACGGCTTTCCTTATGTCTGGAATGTCTCCGTGATTGTGCCCTGAGACGTGTTATCAAGTTAAGCTCTAGACTTTCGATCTGAAAGCGATTTTTTCCTGCTTCGGGTCTCACTGACTGCTAGATTCGCAAACATGGCATACCCCGTTCGTTTTCACGAAGCCAAACGGTGGCGGTCAAACTGTCGAACGGATGCCGAAATGGGAGTGTTGGGTCAAACAAGCTATACACATGCAGACGAGCGAAGGCCCAGGTTCAAGTACTTAATTCCTGTCGAAAATCCATCTCTTGTCAAGCCTGGCCATCTATACATTCATCGATACGGCAAGGCCAAGGAGTTTGTGCGAAACCGTGAGAAAGAAGTCAAAGTCGAAGTTATGTGTTCGCGATGTGCCAGACGGTGCAACGGTCAACGAGACACGAAATTCGGACAAGCAGAGGCCGCGCTAGACGCACGCATTGCTCAACTGAAGGCAGAGCTCGAAGAGGTTGAGGAAAGAGAACAGCGAGAACGAATTGGGTTTCGACAGCCTCGACGTTACCATTACGGAAAGAGGCAGGGGGAGAGCGCTACACCGCCACCGAAGATCATCGATGCTGAACCTCAGAAACGGCGAGGAAGCTTTGTGAGACCAGAGGGTGTTGAGCATCGGGACCACGCTTGCAACTGCCATCATCACAAGCAACATCACCATAAAGCTCGTCGACCTCCAATTCATAACCACCACGTCCACTACGAGGACCGTCGACCAGATTATTCGATTCCACATTCGGATCACTACAGGCACTATGTCTACTCGCCTACTTCTGACTGCCACAGTAGAAGACGTCCATCCTATCCCAGAGTCGTGTGGCATCATGAATACAACGAGGACATACCGCTATTGTTCCAGCGCATATTCCTCAGTGGTCGGAGGAGGAAAAGCAGCACTCCTGGTTGTCGGCGGACTCATATCGTTGAGTATCCCTATGCACGTTACGAGTCAAGAGCTCCTGAAGATTACTACTATTAGCTGGGCCAGAGGTTGAACAGTGTGACCCATGCTTTTCAGCAGCTCCATCAGGAAGGTTTTGCAAAGGATTGCGTTGCTTCGTGTGTTTAGATTCTCATAGATCTGATGTCTTCCTGCAGCAATTAAAGGGAAGCCGATTTATGAACCGTTTCGTGCATCCTTATCTTCTATCTCTAGACTGCTACAAGTTGCCTTACATAGGGCCTTGACAACCTTGTGAGTGGCAAGTAATTATTTCGTGCGCATTCTTCTAGTGCCTCGGCTCGCATTTCGTGGGGAAAGCACGACCGGCACAAGCCTGAGCACATGCAGATGTCATTCCTTTCTTCCACGAGTCCAGGACTGTGTCCATGACTATTGCACATGTTCTTCCTGTCGATCTCGTTGTTGTCTGCTACTGAAAGATATAGAATTGCTTCACACCATCGTCTTGTCCTTCACGTCACTTGCTAAGCTGGACCATCTCCTCCCGTGTCATTTACAACGAGTAGCTGAGCATTGCGCAAGCCCTTCTGATCCCTTGGACGTGTCGTGCTCGTGTCATTCTCAGCGACTGCAAAGATGGAGGCTATAGAGGTCAGTCTACAGAAGCTTATCGCAGGGTTGACTGACTGACTTGTGTTCAGGCAAAGCTCAACGAGCTTGTCATGAATCCGTCCTTGTACCCTCTTCTCGCGATCCTGAAGTCTGCAAGGAATGGCGCTGTGTACGGAGCAAAAGTCCGATTCCCTCACGCTCTAGTGATGGTATTCATGTTCCGGTCTGGCAGCTTCCGTGAGAAGGTTGGCCTTGTGCTCAAGGCAACTCGACAGCATGCCATGAACCTTGCCAGATTTGCAACAATATACAAGACAGCTATGCTGGTGTTGTCCCTCATCAACCCCAACAACCCAGGAAAGGAAGGACCGTATGATACATTCTTCGCTGGTGGTCTGGGAGGTTATTATGTTTTCGGACGAAATTACAACAGCATCAAGCAACAGATCGTCATCTACGTCTTTGCGAGAGTCGTGCTAGCTTTGGCCCAGCTCTCCATAGAATCGCCCGCATACACATCTACTACTCCTACACCAACTCTCTTTACCCAGAGGTTCAGTCCAGCTACGAAAGAGTTGATCCAGAGGAACGCCTGGCCAGTTTTTGCCAGTTTGAGCTGGGCCCTCGTCATGTACGTGTTCAGGTGGCAGCCCGAGAGTATACAATCGAGTCTCAAGAGCAGTATGAAGTACATGTGAGTAATGGCCTTGTTGTGGGTGATCCGTGCTAATGTGCCACAGCTATGTCAACTGTGACCACTGGGACAACTTTAGGAATTTTCTGGTCTACAACACCTGATTCAACTCGCTTCAAATAAAACCGAATATATGCGAAAACAGCATTTCGACAATGCCGCTAAGTGCATCGTTGGTACATGAGATAAGTCTATTGAGCTACCAATACACCTCGGTACCTCATTTTGCCATCCTCCAAGGCCTGGAAGGCGTCCTCGATGCCCTGCTTGCTCATTGGAAATAGTTGAACAATTGGCTTAATGTTCTGAGCAGCAGCAAATTCCAACATCTCCCGATGAATACCTCTGCTGCCTACTACACTGCCTTGTACTCGGATGCCGTTCAAGATCAGCGGCATATACGGCATTCGCAGGTCATCTGATGACACACTCAGAGGATAGACTGCGCCTCGAGGGTTGATGACACTCAGATATAGGTTCCAATCAACTTGCGCTGAGCTGGTCACGAGGAGCCTGTCGATGCCTTTGCCATCCTTCAACTTCAATTCAGTCGCTCCCTTTGTCGCATAAAACTCCTTGGCACCAAGTTTTATCGCCTCCTCCTCCTTCGAGTCCGAGCCTGAAAAGACCACAACCTCACAGCCCATCTTAGCTGCGAACTGGATAGCCAGATGACCCAGACCACCTACGCCTAGCACACCAACTCGTTCGCCCGCTTTGACAGGATACAGCTGCAAGGCAGTGTAGACAGTGATGCCACCGCATTGCAACGGTGCCGCATCCTCACTTGAAATGCTCTCCGGTATCTTGAACAAGAACGATTCTTTCCATACTGCGTGGCTGGCCATGCTGCCTTGATCGAGATCCGCCTCACCATACAGCTGGCGCTGAGGGCAAAAGATATCGTTGCCAGAAAGACATTGGGCACAAGAAAGACAACTGGAATGGTTGTAGCCGAAGCCTGCTCGATCGCCTTTCTTAAGAAGCGTCACATTCGAGCCTATTTCCTGAACCTCACCAACACCTTCGTGGCCAAGCACCATCGGAACATTTTTATAGTGGACGTCAGTTCCACACAGACCAGAATGAGTGATCTTCAGCAGAACCTCATCTGGTTGCAGATCACGCTTGTCAACACTGGCCTCCACAATTTGCCCCTCATCAGAACCCTTGAATGCTGTGATGGACGGCATGGTGTTTCTGCTCGAAGGTTGTCGTTGAACTTTGGTGCTATGTGTTGAGTTGTGAGATATGCAGCTGTTGACGATTGAGGTTGATGTATAAAGAACAGAATCATGAATCACGAAGGCTTTATAGAGCCACACCCGCCGCTGTCACCAAGGTAACACCAGAACACAAGATAATCAAGAGTGGCTATGACGCTACATGGAATCGTATAGTATTTCATCCAGGGATTGTTATGCCATGCATGAATTTTTCGCCTACTTGAGATATCTGCCTGTTTAGTGGATGCCCGGCTGAGAGATTTCAAAGCCTATACCGAGCTCTATGTAGTTCTATACGAGAATGCGCAAGGATGTTTTCAGCATAAGAAGCATAAGCAAGTATATTCGCAGTGGCGCGTACTTCATACGCCTTATACAGACTACAAAGCGAGGAGAACAATTTCACGATTACTTACTTGCAAACTGCCAACTTTGCATAACCCATGTCGTATGCATCTTTTATGTCCATAATTAAGGGTTGGTGTGGTTACACAACTGACATGGATCACGTAAAATCCCAGGCAGTACAGGGTATGCAATGCTTTCAAGCTGAGTAATGCTCGCTTACTATCTACGATATGCACTGTCATATTTTCATCTTGCCACTAGTATATAAACAGTAATCGAGGACATAATTTGTGAAATGGATGCTTGCTATGGCGTCAGGCAGTATGCATTTGAGTTTATAAGAATGCCCCGGAGCACGCCGGAGAGACGTCTTACAGGATGTGCGGTTTGAGGTGGAGTGAAACGCGAAACGAACGTGGTCTTATGAGGACTTGCTTGACTTCAGTTCGTGGTTCCTTCTGCTGCACATCCTCCTCTTCATGCTTACGGACCAGCATGCTCTTCCTATCGCGGCGCTTGCAGCCTCTTCGAATCTGCAAGGATGACACGTTGCTCGAGTTCTTCCCTCAAGAACTTACTATCATCGAGGTAGTGCAAATCATCGTGATCTTTGTGGCTCGTCAGATACTTGCTGTACTTGGACGGGAAACCAAGTTCGAGGTCGGGAAGACTGCTGATAACGACATAGAATATGTCCTGCCTGAACTGCGATTGTCGATGCCGATGCGCATCGCAGAACGTGATTTACGGAAATATGCTACGGCCGTGGGACAGACTGATTACAAAGAGATTTTCCAGCGTCATGAGCAGTTGTGCTTGATCTTATCGGCGTTTAGTGAGCCTGCATTTCTGTTGTTGCTTGCGCATCACAGGAGTCCTGTTCGGCCTGTAGGTTCTGTTAATGTCAAAAACAGATTTGAGTTGTTGAGGTTTGATATGTGCAGTATGGAGAGGATGCTTGATCGCGTGGGATACGAGGCACGAGCGAGAATGGTACCTGTGGCTCGCAGGGTGAAAAGAGGGCTGGAGATTGATCTGGAAGTTGAGGTGGTGGATGTAGAGGAGGATGTTGTGATTTTCAGGCAAGTTTTCACAACTTTGCAGTTCATGAGATTCAAGAGGGGTGTTGACCAGTCGAGAGCTAGCGATTTGTCCGCGTCTCAAGATTCTTGGCCAGATGACTGTCCTAGTAAGTCTTTCAGCATTGCCAGAGAGCTGACTATGATGTGGGCGTATGTGTGCAAGGACTATAACCCGATTCATAGCTCGAGACTTGCAGCTAAAGTTCTGGGCTTTCCTGATCGATTGCTACATGGTAATCATGCCTTTGCTTGGGCATTGCAAGCAATACCGTCTTCTGCCGAGCATGAGGTGAAGGAGGTAAAGAGTTCAGTTTTGGTAGTAGAGGTGCAATTCAAGAGGCCGATAGTTGGCTCTAGCAAGTTGGTTGCCGAAGCATATCAGGCAGAGAATGGAGATTCATGGCTGATCAGAGTGTGCAAGGCAGGAGACAGCAAGGTGTATATCACAGGTTCTAGAAAAAGACTGGAGTAAATACCACACTCTGGATAGCACAGTGAAGCAGAAGTGAGGGTTTGCTAACTTGAAAAGGATGCAGCAAGTCAGGTTGTTGGGAACCTGAAGCGTGCCTTCTTTACATGTTCAGCCCAAGCACACCTGCCTTCCAACTCGAGATCCTCAATGACAACTTCAATCGCCTACTACCGCACGTCAATTTCTCCGCATATATCGCCTTTGTACTAAGTCACAGCGACTCGAAGAACAACCAACCGCAAGCTGTGTGTGGCTCAACCGTTGTTCACGATGACTACTTGGTATGGTATGTGGTTTCAAGATCTGATATATTAGCGAAGGTGCTCCACTAACCGTCTGCATAGACCTCCCGGCAGAGATGAGGCAGAATATCCTCGAGTACCTTTTCAGCGACTCGACAATTAAATTTATTCCTCGACATGCTGCCACACGAACCACTAAGACAAAACAAAATAAGGAGAAAGAAGCAGAAGGCTCAGGCTCAGTCGATGCGATCACATCATTACTGCTTGTATCGAAACACTTTTTAAAATACAGGGAACTTGAATCTGTGCTGTTGAGTGGTGCGACAATCGGACTGGACGAGCCAAGAGCCTTGCACAAGATAGAGAAGCGCTTCACTGTTGAAGGTTTGGCGTGTATTCGAAGTCTTCTCATCTTTTACAACCTGAAACATTGGAGACGTCACGCGCCAGGTGCCCTCCCCACCGGGGCTTCTATCAAGACCAAACTGAAGGGTTTGCAGAAACTTACGATATACCTTTCCGATGTGCCATATCACTTGCCTTCTTGTCCCTTCACTGTTCTGGAGACGGCCAGAGTGGCAATGGGAGGCTCGATTGACGCGACAGAACGCGATGTAATGTTCGCCTATGGCATGGTGTGCCGTCTTTCAGGCACCCAGGAAGGGTTGACCAAGCGAGCACAACGAGCGACGCAAGGACTACTGGCGCGTTATCTGGACTTCTATAGTTACATTCTGTCGAAGCCGTTGTTCATTCTGATGCATCCCGAAGTCGGCCCAAAAAAATACGAGCGCGTTTTGCAGTGGAATGTCGACTTCGTATCGCCAGATCAGGAGAAAATGCAACAGCAGGTAAGTCGTAAAACCTACGGCTACCAGCACAGGTACTAAGGACTTCTCAGACAATCAAGTTTAGTACTAAGAACTGGTGTGTCGAACCTGAAGCAGGCGAGCGCTCCTTTTACCCTCCGCAACGTTTACGGCGTCCCGAATATGGAAAAGCATATCCCTTGTGGGATAGTGAGACTAAAGCTGTTGCACTGGACAAGTACTACACTGTTAGGTCTTGAGCAGCCGTTAGTGTGATAATCAAGTGGCCTGAAGGAACCATATGTCATCCTGGAAAATCTAGAACATATGAGCATATTACAAGCAGAAAGAACAACGGTGGCGAGGTTACAGCAACCGGCTGAGTCTTCGTAGACGAACAACAATTGCTTCGACCAGGAATGCCAGCTATGAGCTCAAGACACAGATTAGTCGAGAAGTATGAGCACTGTAGGTGGCTCTTGCCACACACCCAAGAACGCAACAATTTCTACATTTGACAATCGAGGTGGGCAACCTCGATGAAATTGAACGCACCATTGAACAATGCTCCTGGTTATTCTCGAATGGTTGCAAATTTTAAGCCTGCTCGTTGACCTTCTTGAGCTTTCACTCGAATGCAGAGGAGTGCAATCTACCACAACGAGTTGAATCAATTCTCAAGAAGAGCCGAGCTTTACCTGCCGCTTGCTGACCTCTCATCAGGTAGAGCGAAACACCATATTAGCCGGAGCTGGTCTCCTCGCACAGACACCACAGAAAGCAATATCGCATACGTAGGATATTCAGCAGCTTACGTTGAGGGTGCTGAGTCTACCTTGTGAGGCGAAGTTGATGACTACACTGAGCCAACAGACGTTTCATCAGCTCCCGAGCCGAAGAGCTCACTTCTGAACTGTTGGCATGCTAGTGACTTCCCACTTTTGCTCGAGTCAGAGCTCAAATTCACCATCAAGTGATCACGCTCTGAGGCACACCAACGAACACTCTTTTACAGAGTTATTTTGCGACCGATCTGCCTTTGCCTTTCTTCGTACGAGTTCAAAGCCTTGATTGAGGTCCAATCCACCGAGTATAGAAAATTGGACGCTGCACCTTTCCACTTTCATAGCGTACATCACCAGAAGACGTCAAGAGAATTGGACGTGGTGTGTATACCGTCAAAGCATTCAAAATGTCCTTCAGAACCCAAGAGCGTGTCATAAACCCAAGAGAAAAAGAAACACTGTTTCCCAAGATCACAGGCAAGCACGTCGACTTCCTTCATCAGCTTCGACGGCTCAAAGAACGGAATAAGCTTCCTCGGATACTCAATATAGAGGGGACTGTCAAACTGCACGGAATGCATGCGGATATCTTGTTCGATTTAAACGATACAGCGACTTCGAACGACCGAGCACCACTTTCTGTGCGCTTTCAGTCGCGTAACCGGTTGTGCACTCCGGACGAGGATCAGCAAGGATGGCCTAGAGAAGTGGCACAGTATCCGGGTGCCCTCGCCTTCATCAGAGATTGGGCTCTCGATACATTCCGCCAGCATAATCCAACTACCTCGATCGACACCACTTGCCCGATGATAATAGCCGGAGAATGGATTGGAGAGAGAGTACAACGCGATGTAGGTATTGCACAGCTCTCGAAAAGATTCGTTGTCCTCTCTGCGTCTGTGAATGGTGTGTGGCAACAGGATGCTCAGTACAAAGACTTGCAAGCAGTGAATGCTGGTATTCACAACATCTTCATCTGTGGGAGTCTTGGTGTCAAGTTCGATACCGCCGACCTGAGCGAATCAAATCCTGCCTTACTTGAAATGCAAATGCATGCTGATATGGTTGAGACATCCTGCCCTTTCGCAGCCAAGTTTGGCGTTTTAGACTCTGGTGGAGAAGGTATCGTGTGGAAGCCTGGTGTACCGGAAGGCCGAGCGGACCCGAAATGCTGGCTGAAAACGAAGGGGCCTATCCATGGTAAAGAGAATCGAATCGACCCTCGGAACATCGCCAAAGAACAAGAGATAGAACTAAATGTGGACCAAATCGTACAGAGATGGGTGACACCTCGAAGAGTTAAGCAGGGGTTTGAGTACTTGCTGGAGATGAACATGTACCCTACACAAGCGAGTCTGAAAGAGTACATGAACTGGATGGTGCATGATATTGTGGTGGAGGAGAAAGATGAGATCATGGAGCTGAAGAGAAGATGGCCAGATATAGAGAAGATTGTGAAGAGCAAAGTTATGCATGCAGCAAGGGAGGCCTATATGAAAGAACTGGATATCAGTGGTGAGGAATTGGGCTGGGCAGCTTGGTACCATCGTTCAAGAAGGAACGGAGAGCCCTTCAAGGTCGTGGAATGACTGGCGTGCAGGAGATCACCCCTTTCCAGCATCTCTACGCTTCTCGATAATCTATGGAACACGACAAGGACTTAGGAGGAGATCCTTGTTGGGGTCTGGAATGGAGAAAACCTTTAAAACTGGCTGTTGAGATACTAGTAAGGTGAGGATTTCTTTGGTGACATTCCTAGAGACGATTCAAGCTGCCCAGATGAGAAGGTTAGGCAGCGCTCTTCGGCTCTCCGCCCAAGGAGCGACAATATATGATACCTCATATGGTGTTTGAGACTGCATACCGGCTTGGTGCTTTCAATGAGTGACCTGCACTTGACATTAAGGCTTTCTCGCTGTTTGCCTAAACGTATCAAGGAGATTGTAAGTGATGCTCGCGTGCTTGGTTCTGCGAAAACAATCACAAGGCTTCAGGCGAACAAACTCGTGCGTCTTCTTTGAATGACTCGACAGAGTCAAGTTACTGCCTTGCAATGAATAGATTGAAGCCTGAAAAGGGGAACAAACGAGGAGTAGTTATGCGCCGGTGGGGCCAAGACCAGCTATCGATAGGCACCGCATACCCCTCTGACGTCGAACAGGGTAAACAGCGCAGGCAAACATTTGGTATCATTCAAGGTCACAGGACGTGACTACCTATTCACTTGGAATTGTTCGTGAGCAAACGGGCTCGATCTGTTACCTTCGATCTATGTCTCGACTCTAGAGCTTTGCTGGTCCTTTGTCTTTCAATATTTGCACAAGGGGTATACCTTGAAACGGCCTTTCAGTTAACACGTCTACTCTCATCCAGTTTCCTACAACTCCGCCTCGAACCCTCTATACAACCAATACTTTCGGCAGCAGGATGTTTGCTGCAAAGCGTTTAGGCAAGGTAAGACTCGGCCACTCCAAAGACCCTCATTGATGCTCATATATTGCTCAGGAACTCCAAAAAGCCCGCCAGAAACTACCACCAGGCATAACCCTCGTCAAAGCTGAAGACCTAAAGACATGGGAAGTCGATATCAAAGTCTTGGATAGCAACCCCATATACGCGAACCAGACCTACAGACTCGTCTTCATCTTCAGCCAGAACTATCCTATCGAGCCACCAGAAGTCACGTTCCTCTATGTGCCCGCGAACACACAGTCCTCGTCCTCTTCCTCTACGGCCTTGCAACTACAGTCGCAAACAATAGATTTGACCTCTGAAGACCCCAAACCACAGTCGCAAGCCGATAACGGCCACCGCCCGATACCAATACATCCGCACATCTACAGCAATGGAATAATATGCCTGGATCTACTTGGTACGGCAGGGTGGTCGCCCGTACAATCTGTGGAGTCGGTTTGCATGTCTCTGCAGTCGATGTTAACAGGGAATACCAAGAACGAGCGACCTGAGGGTGATAGGGAGTTCTGTGCTAGTATGGGTCCACGAGGGAAGGATGGCTGGAGCAGTAAGGGTGGTTGGGGTCGGAGAGGGTTGAAAGATGTGCGGTTCACTTATGAGGACGATACTGTTTGATATATTCTGTTGATCTACGGGACAATTATGCATGATTATCAGGAGACAAGGCGTCGAGGTGTTGGAGTATGTTCTTCGCAAGGCGATAGAGCTGTCGCATAGGGAGGTTATCTGGGTATTATTGGTACGACTATTCGGCAGCATTACAGATAAGAAGGGGAGTTTGGTAACCCTCGTACAAAGGGGTCAAGTTGGCGTTGCGTTCAACAACAACATTCCTAGAGCATGAGTTAAATCTGCCTGCACGGCAATCCTACCGACAAGCATAACCTCTCAATCATCCATGGCTCAGGATCATTCCTGCTCCTTCATATCGACCTCCCAAACAAACACCTTCCGATCAAACCCCCCACTAATCACAACCTCACGCCGCTCACCATCCCCACTCTCAACATAACCGGCCCACAGCGTCCGCACTTTGCTCCCAACCTCATGCGCCCGAAGCAGCGCCACAACCTTCCCAGACCTAGCCTCCACCCCCCTCACAACCCCGTCATCCCCATTAACCCAAACACCACTCCCGTCCGGCCTCCACACAACCTGCGGCGTCGAGTACGGCGTCTGCGGCGCCTGCGTACTCACCTGCAGCGTTATAGCGGCGTCTTCGCGATCCTGTAATGCGAGATCTGCGCGAGCGACTGCGGCGGCTGTTTGTGGGGCGATGCCTGAGCGGAGAGTTGTGTCTTCTGGGAATAGGAGGCGGACGATGATGACTTTTAGGTGGGGGAGGTGAGAGGTTGCGATTGCTAGGAGGGTTGGGTCTGTGGGGTGGAGGGCGAGGGCGGAGGGGGTGAAGGCGACCCAGGCGTTTGAATGGGGGGCGAGGTTTTGGCGGCCTGCTGGGGTCATTGTGATATGGGGTTTGGGTGGTTGTTGAGTATTTGATGGCTCGGTGGCAGAGTCGATGCGGTAGTAGTAGAGGAAGGTGGAGTCTCGCCGTGAAATGATTAGGTAGAGATTGTTCGTGTCTGGGTTGGTGACAAATGCTAGAGACTCTGGGTTGCTAGGTAGCTCTATACTGTGAGCTGGCGGGTCCAGGTTGGATAGTGTCTGACTGGCATCACATTGTAGAGCGTACAGATTGACCTTTTGATCCCAGCCAGCAGTAGCAATCAGAAATCTGCTCGAATCAGTAGGATCCTGCCAACTGGCAATGTGAACTGCCCATTTGCCGTGATCACGACGTTCCCCAACCAGCTGACCTGAATTCACGTTGTGAATTACGACTTTCCCGGACATGCCCGTCGAAGCCACGTAGTTTCCAGCGAAGAAGACGGTGGACAAAATAGGACTGTCAATCTTGAAGGATCGCTCATCTTGAGCTGCATATGGTTGTCGAGTCTGGATGAAATTGCAAGTGTTATTGGCTGTGGAAATGGCGACTGTTGTCGCTAAGGGATGACTGCCTTTGATGCACAGGACATTGCTCGTGACTGATATCTCAGGCTCTCGCGGTATTGAAGGTGCAGGTTTAGTCCATCCCTGGTTGTTGTCCTGATCTCGTCTCTCGAAGTTAAGACTCGTGTCGAATTGTATCTTTTCCTCTAACAGCTTTTCCAAGGTCCAGTCGCCGGGCTTTGTGATGGCATCTTTGTCGTCGAGATTTGTCTCCAAGAGGAACGCTGCCAATGTCTGGGTCGTCGTTAGCATGAGCTGGTGCGGCCGTGCTGAAGACACACTTTGTTGTAGTGATTCGCTTTCAGATAGCGCGCCACGAGTATTGCTAATGTTTGATTACTAGCCATTATTTGCTCAACAGTATGGATTTTCTGGTCCTACCTCTCTGTTGATGTTTTGTTAGTGGTACAAGCACGATGGTAGTCAACGAGTGGATGATGTTCCAGTAATGCGTAGACAAAGGATGGAGGCGATAAGAGAGGTGGAAAGTTCATCTTGTTTGATCACGTAATTCGAGTGAGTTGCCATTATGTCTACGTTACAAGGACGTTGACGTGAATGGAGATTTTCCAGAGAAACAGAGACATTCATACGTTTACACCATATTCAGAGACATGGAAAAACAATGGTATACGTGAAGTGCATAAACAAAATTGTTCAGGCTGTTGGCGCCAAAGCGGCCCGTCTGTTCACATGGTGGCTGCACAAACTTTCATAGCACTTTCTAAACAATACATGCCGGCATCTTCTGGCCTATTTGATAGCACTACGAGTAGCAAAACTAGTGCATCGAAGTTGGGTGAGTTCCAGGACCATGCAGAGCCAAGCACTCGGGTCAATAGTTGACGAAGTGTCGAGTCTACCCACTGTATACAATTGTATTGCACATATCTTGTGATATCGTTCTACATAGTAATAGTTGTCCCTATGCTCTGAGCAGCATGTACAGCTGTGTCAATGTCTTGCTGCACAGTTCCGCCACTCACACCAACAGCTCCAATGAAATAGCCATTTGGATCGAAGATGGGTTGTCCGCCGCCAAAGACGACAAGGCCTCCATTCGTTTGCTCGATGCCAAAGAGATCACCGCCTGGTTGAGATCGGTTGAAAAGACCATAGGACGGGAATAGACCATTGAAATATGTCACAGTCTTAGCCTTCTTCATACTGATATCGACGCTACCCAGATATGCATTGTCCATTCTCAAGAATGCCACGAGTTGTGAAGAAGGATCGAAGACTGCGATATCGTTGGGAACACTACCATATTAGCACATAAAGCTTGTGTCAAAGGTTGATGTATTCTCACTTGATCGAATTAGAGAAATTGACTGCGGCATTGATAACAGTCAGTGCCTGTTGAGCATTGATATAGTGACGCTGAGCTGGTGTACTGCCCCATCCGTTGGTCTGGGTGCGATTGACCTGCTGAGCAGCAGCAGAGAAGACGAACAGCGCGAAGGCGGGTATCGAGAACTTCATCTTGAGATGGTGGAACGAAAATTTCCGAAAACAGAGCTGATTTGTATCGAAAATGTACTTATTGTGTCTAAACGAGCTGTCGCAATACTATGCTCGAGATAATGTCTGCCACCAAACTGGTAGTGAGCAGGTATTTATACCCATTTTCGTCAAGATTCTCATCAGACTTCGCTCTAACCCGAGGAGGTCTGGAGCTACCTCCTCATCAGAGACAGATGTCAAATAGTTACGACATCGAGACGTTGTCTTGATCGATTTGAAGGTAGGTACCTGCAGGCATAGCAAGAGCTACCCCAGTACCTGCAGCACAAAACGCGGGGAGTCGGGGTTACGCTAGGTCTAGATGCCAATTGAGTTCCGAATTGCACGACCTGAGGTTTTCGAGGCTTTGAGCATTCCGAGGTTTCGAGAGCTGTTGCCAGTGGGTGTACGGAGCTTCTCGGAAATCATAGCGGGTTCGGAGATACCACTCCCAACGGTGCAGCAAACATCGATGTGCTTGTCATGCTCGAAATCTGATCTGAACAACCTAGAAGGCTAGATTCTCACCACATTGTGACAGGTTAAGCTTTCAGTAAAGGTGGTTGGCAGGAAGTTAGAGCTCTATAAAGCAGTCATACTTTTATGGCGTAGTGAGTCGAGCTTCGCATTGGCTAGGGACCTGGCTTGATGGTCATTTCCAGATCCTCAAGTTCCAGTATGGAAAGAATGCCGGGAATGTCCTGTTTCTGTTTCGAGACACGTCCTAGTACCCAATGACACCTTTCGCGAGCATTTACTGCGTCTGATCAGTAGTGAACTTCGTGTCCAGGTGGGTGTGTTCGTAGAAGGAGAAAGCGTGTAGCTGAGTAAGGAAGCGGAAGGAGGAGCAAATTTACCCCAGGCCACAACACGTGCTCAGAGGCCAAGCACGGAGAGCAAGTGCTCCAAGTCCGTGCTAATGACGAATGCCTGATACACAACTGCGGCAGAGCCCGCAGAGACAAGCAACAGCGCAACAGCGACACTCCCATAGCCAGCCGTTCCTTGCGTTCTCAACACTAAACGAGCAGCCAGTGGTAGAGACATGGCCGCACAAGTTCCAGCATCGTTGAAGAAGTTGGACATCAGTCGATATGCGCTTCGAGCTGCACAGCTGGAGAATGTCAAGCCAGCAATAGCATATTGGTGCAACTACTGGATAGCTCAGCAAATCCTACAGAAAGAGGCACACAATGCCGATGATGCAGCTCTTCAGTACACTACAGCCCTCATGGACAGGCTCGAAAAGGTAGCGTGACGGGATCGTAGAGTGAAGCGCGGCTTGCTCACTTTTGTGCAGTTCAAGAATGAGCATTCCACAGACGACACCATAACCGACGACGTTGCTGGCAAAGCCTTCGTCGAACAATTTGGGCTCGACACGTTCAACAGAGCCGATAATGCCATGCGCACAGACAAAGTAACGAAACAGACAGCTGATACTCTTTTGGCTGCAGCTACCTTTCTGGAACTTCTCGCTATATGGGGACACTTGGACGCTGAGGTGACTCAAAAAATCAAATTCAGCAAGTATCACGCCTTGAGAATATTGAATGCATACAAAGCTGGAGAAGATCCGAACCTTAGCAATCCCAAGCCAGAGCCTACAGCTGAGCAGGCAGTACCACCACTTGACCCTAGTGATCCAGAGGTGCAAGCCTTAGATGGGAGCACGAAGCAGAGACAGCCATCCGTGATAGACGCACCAGACGAAACCGATCTGTTGCAGGCCAGACAGGCCAGGCAATCCAACTTGGACGAATCCTTACACCCCTCTCGAACATCCTCTGTACCTCCACCGAAAGAGTCTCTTCACCCGAAGGGTGTCAGTGCTGGCGTTTCACCATTAGCAAGAGATGCAGCAAGCTTCTATACAAATAATCGGGAACATTCACCCATAAGCCCAGATCGACGGTCGTCTGTTGGTGGAAACTATTTCCCACAAATGCCGTCTCCTACGTCTTCTCAAGCACAACCAAATCTACCACCAACTCTACCTTCGGCACCGACTGTACTGCACGACCCAGCTTCCTCGATTGATCTACCCTCCGCGCCAGCAGATTTGGATGACGAACCAAGCCTGCCTGCTGCACCAACGACTTTCGCACAAGCTCAACCACCAGCTCCAAAAACTCCGTTAGACTCTTTTCAAGCACCACCGACACCAGGTCAGGTGCCGTTCGCCTCCATACCTACCAACCTACCTCAGGCGCCTCCACAAATTCCACCACATACACTACGACCTGTATCAAGCCCTTATTCTCCTCCTCCGCTTGCACCATCCAATGCACCAGCCCACACGTCCGTCTTTCAGCCACCTTCAGCGCCCTCACAACCGGCGCGTGTTCCTGTGTCGTTACCAGCAGTTGTTCCGAATGCAGTCGTTGACGAAGAAGCAATGATGATGGCTCAAAAGCATGCTAGGTGGGCAATAAGTGCGCTCAATTTTGAAGACGTGTCCACCGCCATTAAAGAATTCGAGCTAGCTTTGCAATCATTGGGAGCACGATGATAGGTAGTATGTTTATAGACACGAATGTGATGCCCTTCATGCATTGTTCTCGCCCTGTTATCATCTGAATCTGGACGTGACACGTATAGAACCTCAAACAGCCAAAGAGCCGATTCGTCTCTAAACACCGATAGCTGATCCAGCGATTAGGTTTGACATGTTATGAAGGATGGCTAGTGATACGCTGCTGAACAATGGATCCAAACATTCAAGTAAGATATAGGGGTGACATTCACGTGAGAAAAGGATCCAGCGCGTCTTATCGGAAATGTGAGATCATCTTCCGAGCGTGCTTGCGGGCGTGGAAATGCCCATCTCGTTCATCCATCTTGAGACGTAACTCAGATATTCTTCAGTAAGCGCAAACAACCAAACGGAACTTCCAATCACTTCACCTCCATGTCTATTTGAACGTAGTGTACTCAACACATTCACTTCACGAGCTGTATCATCAACGAACGAACCTGCTAGTCTCGGTCTTGCGCTTTTACGAGTCAGCCTGAAGCTTCTACATTCGAAGCTGCCTACGACATAATCATGGCTCTTGCCGTGAACGCGAACGTGTCAGCACCCATCAATGACGACGCTATGGACCTCGACATCGATATGGACGTCGACGACCTCGGTCCCGTAGCCCCAGAGGATATACTCGAAGTATGCCCGCAACCAAGCAAGAAACTCTAGTATCGTGCCTGACGAACGTGACAGGAAGGAGAAGAGCCATCATTTGTGCCAACTGGGCACCCAGTGAACACGGGTGAGGTAGCAGCAATCTACCTGGAAGATCCATTGGAGGAGCCACAATGGGAGAAAGTCCACGTCAGAGGTGTTGACGACTTGTCCACAGACAACATTCGGACATTCGCCAGTGATTACTTTCCAGATGCCGATCCATATGTGCAATGGGTGGACGATACCTCCGTCAATCTGGTCTACAAGGACAAGACCCTTGCACGAAACGCATTGTTGAGCTTCGTGCAGCAGCCTATCACAATGGAGGATGTCCAGACTTATCCGTTCGAATCGCGGACTGCGAAACCGCTCGTGATAAATCCTGGCTCCATGTTGACCGTGCGAATAGCTAAGATGGCTGATCGGAAGAGGAAGAATGCACGAGACGCAAGCAGATACTACCTCCTCCACCCCGAAGCAGATCCCACCGAACGTATACGCAGAGAAAGACAAACCAAAGGCGATCAAGGAGACTACAAGAGAAGACGATTTGACGACAGAGAATTGAAGCGAAGGAGACACCAGGACGACAACGCCGACACTACGAATGACTTCGAGGCTAGTATGTATGACGATGCGCCCCCTGACAAGAAGGCCGTAAAAGAGCGCGGAAGGGGCGATCTTTTCTCTAGAATCACAAAACCACGAAACAGAAGTGCCAGTCCTGTCACAAACGCCGATTCAATACCAGTATCCGACTCCGAAGATGACAAGCAGTCACGTAAGCGGAGAAATGGCTATCGGAATCGCGAGAGTCCTCCTAGGCGTCAGAACAATGCAGGCCGAGAACTTTTCGACGGCTCCTCGGAAGGCAGGAACGGCACAGGCATGCGATCAGATAATCCAGACCTCTTCTCACGTCGCGAAAAGCACGCCCTAGCATCCAAACCCGCCAACATGACCAGCTACGAAGCCAACCAAGGTGTAGCACGTCAACTTCGAGCAGACCTGAAAGCCGCGCAAAGCCAATCTCCGGTTAGAAGCCATAGACGAAGTCGAGCAATCGACAGCAGAGTGAACGAGGATCTGGCAGAACGCTTTGGTCGAAAGAGCATAAGTCTCGATAGCACTAAGAGTGTTACTCAACAGACTCCAAATACTGGAAAGGAGCTATTCGGAAACGACCGAGACGTGGACATGAATGGTAACGGCAATGGCTTCAGCATTAAGGGTTCTGCAAGTCAAGGCATGAGTATCAAAGGAAGAGCAGATAATGTAAAGGAGTTATTTCCGGACCGATTCTCAACCGGTGCAGGAGGCGGAAGGAATGCAGGCAAAGAATTGTTTGATCAGCCTGTTCGTATTAGAGGTGCCAGGCAAAGGGCGGGTGATCTTTTCGATTAGAAATCTAAACCTTGTGCGGGTCTTCGAATACATTATGGAAGTGTTGATCACTGGGCCTTGAAGCGATGGCTGAGCAGCTACGATAGACACGAGGCGTTTTTGACGCGAGGGCATCGGACAGGGGCTGCCACCACGGATTAGGTCCAATAAATTCAGGATCACCACCTGCAATGCCATGAATATCGACACATCTGCCTATGGTTCCTTCTTTGTCGAGACCACTAACTTCTTATACTTTTAGAGATATGTTCACTAATACGATTTTTAAGGGGTGAAGTGATCAAGTTATCGCGGTCCTCGCTACACCTGCTCCACAATACATCCGTAGATAAAGGTCAATATGCCACCGACACCTGAATTCTTTCTCCTACTAATATTCGCCAAACTTCACATAATGTTATGAAATTCCATGTTCTGGACTTTCTGCATGTCCAACCAGACCAAGGCTTGGTACGGTCATCTCGTATTCAGTCAAGGTCGACGAATAACATGTAAACCGAGACGGTGGTACAGACTGGTGCATGAAGCCTGGATACCAAGGCTCTATGGCAGGAGTCGAGCCGCTGAGGCGAAGCCTGCCAATCGAGACCTGGTATGAATTCAGTACTCCTGCATGCTAACCACTTCTCAGCAGCGAGGTATTGGGCAGTACTGTAGCCTTTCCATCTGATGTGGTCGAGCAAACCCAGCCTCAATCTCCATTAGACTTACCCGAATCGGAAGTCTGAAATGGCTCCACATCCATTCATAGTACTTTAGGTGCCAAGTCAACACACTCTCCTGTCGCCGCGTACTTGGTCACGAGTCCAACACTATGAGCATGGTCTTATGTCATTTGAGTGCCATGTATTTCTCGTGGTGGCAGTCATGGCCAACATTGAGTGTTTTTCATGGACGCGAGGCATCAATAGCCAAAGAAGCCCTCGAAGTACTTCGACATTTCCAGCGTTCTCTTTGCATAGTGACACTGTGATACAAATTTGACAATCAACGCTGTGACAACAACGATGAGAGTGCGTCAATACAACCCTCAGAATCCAGGCTATGGCCAGAGGCTAAGTAAAGATGCATGGGAATACTACCGACCCATCCTCACCGAGCTCAATCGGCAAGGCTTGCCAAGACAAGAGATTGTAAAGGTAGCCCATGCGCAACATGGCTTTCAAGGAACTTATTCAGCATTGAACACACGCTTCAAAGCATGGGGTCTGACCGATAGCCAAAGCTACCAGTCTGAACAGCTACCTACAATACAACGGACAGATCAAGAGGATGCTCTTCCACCGACATCTGAGGCCTTAGAAATCAGTAGCATACGGCCCACTGCCACTGTTAAGGCTGTACTAACGACCGAGGATAACGATTTGCTTGAGCACAGTAATATAGACTCACCAGTTGAAGATCGTAATTCACTGCGTTTGACAACCACTCAGAATCGCTCCTCCGAAACAACGAATGTTGACACGACAAAGCGGTCGACACCTCCGGGTTGTGTCATGGAAATAACTCACAGCGAGGAGATGGGCCAGACAGGAGGGATTGAACTAGAGCGTGAACAATTGTCTACCGCTACTGCCCCATCAGATTTAGACCAGGTTGTGCCGCAGGGATATTTAGAAGTGTTGCGAACTGCACAAAAGAGGCCAAGATCGAAGGCAAGCTCCATCCATTCGTGGCAGTTCAGTGTCAGTAGCAGCACAAGGAACTTTGTGCGACTCGCCAAGCGACTTCGAGTAGATCCGGTCCGAATCAATACGCCTAGTCTTCGATCACTCCTCAGCCTGGGCACGCTGTCCGATAGTTGTACTTTCGGAGCTGTTACTGGGTTTCTACCTGAAGACAAAGAACTCTCTAAGGGGGATCAAATTTTGTTTCAAATGCTCAATCCTATTGGTATGCCAGAAGTTGAGCGACAACTAGGAGTCACCTCGTGGCGTGGAGGAAATTAGATCAGCATGACAAGCTTTTCTTGGAAAGAGAGGTGAGAGAGTATCTACTAAACTCACGAATACGCTGTTCGTTTAAACTGAGCCGATCACTTATCTTCGGCTGATGACACACTGGGAGATGGTGTCCTGGCACCCGAGCAAACGAGAGGAGATGGTGCCTTGGACATTCATCGAGCTAGGCTCGAGAGAGGCACGTTACAGGTACTTGAGGTTGACGGCTTCAATGCTTACAGTGTGGACTGACGGAGCTCTCCCACCACATCTGGTTGTCCAAAAAGCCATAGACAGGCACTGGGATTGGCCGAATATACCTAGTATCTTGCAGTCGAGTGCACAGGCAGTTTTCGATTAAAGTGGTAGGGAACACTTTGAAGTATATCATAGAAAGGTTCGCATTTAATGAAGAAGCGAGACTGTGTAAACTCCCAAAATGCCTTTCAGGTCGAACATCCAGTTTCTTCTCCAGACGACGACTGAATCCGATATCAAGGTCCTAGCTCGGGATGTAATCAAGAGTTGCGCCAGACTCTCTGCCATACAATAGCCCTTTCAGCAGTAACACTTTGGGTTTGCGCTCGAGTAGTATGACCCACGAACTAGTAGAGATAGCCACCTCGAAGTGATTCAGGCGTCTTTCCCAAACTCAAGATACCCCGTCGAGTGGCGGCAGTCATAGTTACGAACTCCTATTTATGCTCGACAAGGTTCCCTCAGGCCTGCGAGTACGGTTCAACTCAATGTACAGCTCGAACATTTTAGTGCATGGCCAGAAGCGAGATAGCAACCATCTATCTACAACATCTACAGGCAAGCTCGTTCACGCGTAAAGTGGCGTCGCGTCATCTAATCATCGCGCGTCATGAACGTGAACGGACCCACTTCTACAATATGAAGCTGCAGCGTACTCAACGATCAGTCTTGTTTCGTATACGACGAGTGCCTGTGTGTCAGCGCATGGTGTGCTGCTGATAGTATGCATCTGGGACAGGTTTCATCATGTTCCGCAATCCTCGGGAAAATGCTGCCTTGAGCAATACAGAACAAGTCTTGCCTTCGACAGGCCGACCTCCCACGCCTCCATCTGGTCGATCTACCAGTACCCAGTCGCCATTCTTCGCCGATAAGCCAAAGACAGATGTCAGATCAAACTCGAACCCCGTCAGTCGTATGCCAGTACTAGGTACAATACCGCAGACGAAGATCTCGACAGCGAAAAGAAATGCAGCAAAGCAGAATCAGAGCATCTTGAGCTTCTTTGGCAAGGCGGAAAGAAAAGGTTCGTCAGCAGAATCACCTTCGAAAGGTGCAGATCTGTTCTTCGAAGAGACTACTCCACATAAGCAGGAGACGACAAAACAGGAGTCGCAAGGCAGTATCAATTCACCAAGGTGGGATAATTGGTCTCAGGATGAGAGTAGATTCAACGAAATCGAAAGTCCTCTTAAGAGGCGCAGGATTGATCAAGACACCTCGCCAAATAGTCTGATCCATAGTCCTACCATTCAGCCAGTAGGAGACTCGACTCAAGCAAAAGCGGCAGCAGATAAAGAGGATGTACAGCAGAAAAAGCAGTTTAAGCAAAGAGGTGGGTTTATCGATGATTCAGATGATGACGAAGGTAGCATTCCTGGTCTACAGAGGCTCGACGACGTTTCGCAAGAGCAGACCACTGATCAGCTGCAAACTGAGGTAGACCAGGAAACACCACAAGATTCAGGGGTGCCCCAACTGCAGAAACAGCCAAGCTATATTGAAGTGACTGAGGAAACCAAGGTTCCGTTGAAGCCTCCGGACGAAGAAGGAGCCGAGACCCCGGAACGACCGCAATTGAAGAGACAAGGCACGAGCGGGTTCCAGGTTGATGAGTTTGGACCGGAAGACTTTGACGATGAATTCTTCCCAGAAGGTGAAGAGTTCATGGAACGGCAGTACATGGAAGAGCAACTGGCAATGGAGCGGGCTTTCGACGATGACTCGAAGTCTGAAAGTGGGACAGAAGGTGCTACGACGCCAAGGCTACAGGCAGATTCAGACGAGGTCGAGGAGGCAGACGCGGCAGTGGCAGCGTGTCCTATATGCAATGGACTTATGAAGGGCATGTCAGAAACGGAAGCATCTACTCACGTCAATGCATGTCTCGACGGCACTGCCAAACCACTTCCTCAGCCACCCACCACGAATGGCGATTCGACTGGTTCACCCAGCGTAGCTCCGCAACTAGGACAAAAACGTTTCCAACGAGCCGCGATCGCGAGACCAGGTCAGGCAAATCCACTTTCAGTCAATGAAAAAGGCGACAAGCAGTCAGCGTTCAGCCAGCTTATGTCAGGGCACGCTGAGGATCGAGCCTGGGCTGAAGCAGCCGTCAACGAAGCACAATCGCGAGGCAAGCAAGCCTATCAGCGTACTTGCCCGTTTTACAAGATCATGCCTGGTCTGTACATTTGTGTCGATGCATTTCGATACGGCAAGGTGGAGGGCCAGAATGCTTACTTTCTCAGTCACTTTCATAGCGACCACTACATCGGTCTCACCTCTCAGTGGTGTCACGGACCTATCTACGCCAGCAAGGTCACCTGTAACCTCATGGCGCAACAACTTCGGGTGAATCCAAAATGGCTGGTGCCACTCGAGTTTGAGAAAAAGGTCGAAGTCCCAAACACAAAAGGAGTACATGTGACGATGATTCCAGCCAACCACTGCCCTGGCTCATCCCTTTATCTTTTCGAGAAAGTGATAGGAAAGAATAAAGACGGATCTCCTAAGCTCAATCGCATCTTGCATTGTGGTGATTTTCGTGCTTGTCCGGCACACATACACCATCCGCAGCTCAGGCCAGACGTCTTAGATGCTATCTCAGGACAAACGAAGGAGCAAAAGATTGATACATGCTATTTGGACACGACATACCTAACGCCGAAGTACTCCTTCCCAAGCCAATCGGACGTTATTGACGCCTGCGCCCAAATGTGCATTAGTCTTTCGAAAGAGATCGTTGATACGAACGATTCATGGGAACAAGTTAAGCTCGAACGGCAAGGAAGCACGATGAAGAAATTTCTCGAAGCAGGTGTCGAGCAGTCACCACCTCGAATCAAGAAAGAGGCGGACGCAGAGGAAGAAGATGTCAAGCCCAAAAAGCGAGGTCGATTACTCGTCGTCGTAGGCACATACAGCATCGGCAAAGAACGCATCTGTCTCGGTATAGCACGTGCTCTCAATACTAAGATCTACTGCCCACCTCCCAAGATGCGCATATGTCGAGCGCTCGAAGACCAGGAACTCAATAGCCTGCTCACGAGCAACCCCACCGAAGCACAAGTACACATGCAGATGCTAATGGAAATCAGAGCCGAAACACTCCACGACTACCTCGTCGGCTTCCGAAGCCACTTCTCCCGCATAGTCGGCTTCCGACCCACCGGCTGGAGTTACCGACCACCCAGCTCACGAATGACAGACAACCCAGCCGTCAACACCGTTCTGCACTCGGAGAATTGGAAGAGTCGCTTCACGATGAAGGACCTGGTGCCTCAGCGTGGATCGACGAGGGAATCCAACTGCTTCGGCGTACCGTATTCTGAACATAGCAGTTTTCGCGAATTGACGATGTTTTGCTGTGCGTTGAGGATTGGACGGGTCATTCCCACGGTCAATGTGGGCAGTGCGAAAAGTAGGGAGAAGATGAAGGGGTGGATTGAGAGGTGGGATATTGAGAAGAGGAAGAATGGATTGTTTACGGTGCCGGAGGATAATATACAGGAGGGATGGGGGAGTGGAGATGGGAAGTTGAGGTATGGTGTTTGAGTTTTGAGTTGGAGGCTCTTGCCTTTATTGGTATGTATTGGATTTGCAGAGTGGTCAAAGCCATCTGATATGCGCATGCTTTCTGAAAAGTTGAGCATTCCCGAACATACTGTCGTAGTGCCCGTTTCTGAATGGTCGTATTCACTCAAGCAGTTCCTTGCGCCAGGACATCCAGTGATGATCAAAGCCGGTATCGAAGCTGCTCGAATACCTCGGGGTCCTTGGCATGCATTCTTGCAGCACCCAAAATTCTCACTCTAACGCCATCGAAGATGCTCTCAAATTTCGTTGTTTCGGTCTCCCGCGTGCCTATTGTTGAACGTGCTTATATCGACCGACACTGCTCGCTGGATGGTGGTCATGATGCGTACGATCCTCCTCTTGCCGCTAGATTGATTTCTTGCCCATTACTGTCCCGAACTGGGACATAGTGTTGGGGGTGTTCTCCTCTTAGTCTCATGAGCCTGATCGTTTCCTGCAGTCTATGCCGCGTGTCCAAGTATAAAGACACGTTCTTTATGTCGAATGAGTTGTGTTACCAAGTCAAGTCGTAGCTTTTCCCGTTGTTTTCTCCAGTCTATTTCATCCTCAGACTCTTCCCTGTCCTCCACCCTGCTTCGCCAGCCCCGCCTCCCTCCTACACGCATCCTCCAACAGCGACCGATCGACCTCCGAAGCAGGCAAGTGCACGTACCGCACCACAGATCCTCTGATAAAGACGTTCTTGACACTGCTCAAATGAGGATATTTATCCTCGTTGAGCACCTGGATATCATCGAGCTTGATGTTCAGGTATTGGTCAACGGATTTCAGTGTGCCACGTATCGAGATGTCGTTCTTGAGCTCGATGGTTACTGTGTGGTTGACGAGGGTTTTGAAGAAGGAGAAGAAGAGCATGATGATGATGACTTTGACAAGTGGTGAATAGAGGAGCTGGTGTCTAGGGATGCTGGCTCTCGGAATCAACGTCAATCTGGTTACTGCACGGTGAATTGTACTGGTAGTGGTGGTTGTGGAGGCAGGCGGGAGTGAATGTCTGCGGGAAGTCGCGACCCACTTTAAATTTCCTCCGCTCGAGACTTGAACTTTTTGTAGATGCGCTTATGTAGATTTACCACGAAGACATATTGTTTCTACAACAACATTATACGTGCCGGGAAAACAAAATACTTGCACACCATGGCAAAGACGAAAAACAAGCAAGAGTCTGCACACGACACGCCCTCGACCAGTACAAAGGTTGAGTCGAGCAGTTTCGACCCAACATTGGCGGCTCTTTTCGCTTCCAGCTCAGGTCCAGTGACTGTGCCCACGAGACCGACAAGAACTTTACATACAGTGCCAAAGTCTAAGCGGGAAGCTGAGACTGCTCCTGCAGAGGTCCTCGAACAGACAGAAACGAGCAGTAACGAGGACAGCGAAGAGTCTACCGACGATTCTGAAGAAGAAAGCTCAACTACAGAAGTCGAAGTTAAGGTGGAAGAGCCACAAGAGCGACCCAAGAAGCGAAGAAAGCTCGACCAGAACGATGACCTTGAGAGTAAGTATTTAGACAAATTAGCTCGTGAGGAGGAACAGGAACAGAAGCTGCGGAAGAAGTCAAAAACGAAACCCAAAACCGACAAGATCATAGAGGACGGCAATGAAGATGAGGACTCCAGCGACACTGACTTGAACAGCGGACTCGAAGATTTGAGTGATTCTGATGTGGAGGAAGGTGTGAAAATCAAAGATGCAAAAGACTCCATCCCAAAACACGAATCGTTGAGTAGCACAGCTCACGATCTTGAGGCTCAGAAACTCAAGCGTACTGTCTTTCTGGGCAACGTGTCTAACACAGTAATTACATCGAAATCTGACAAGAAAGCACTTGTCCTACACCTTCGTTCCGGTATAGATACCAAACACCACGAGAAGATTGAAAGTATACGCTTCCGATCCACGGCGTTCGTGCAAGATGCTGGACCAAAAAGAGCCGCATATGCCAAGAAAGAGCTTATGGATGAGACAATGAAAAGCACAAACGCTTACGTGGTTGCGAGCTCAGAAGCTGCTGCGCGGAAACTAGCTGCTCGATTGAATGGGACTGTGGTACTGAATCGTCATTTGAGAGTGGACAACCTTGGTGCTCCAAGCAAGATCGACAATAAGCGCTGTGTCTTTGTGGGCAACCTGTCATTTGTGGATGAAGATATTGCGAAGGAGGAGGATGCCAACGGAGAGACGAACAAGCGCAAGCGCTCCAGAGAACCGGCCGATGCTGAAGAGGGTCTTTGGCAAACCTTCGGAAAGGTTGGCAAGGTGGAAAGTGTCAGAGTCGTCAGGGACAAGGAGACACGAATAAGTAAGGGTTTTGCTTACGTCCAATTTCAGGACGAGAATGCAGTCGAGGCTGCCCTTCTGATGGATGGCAAAAAGTTCCCGCCTATGTTGCCAAGGACATTAAGGGTGATGAGGGCGAAGAAAGACGTTCGGAAGATCAGGAGCGAGACTAGACAACCCGCTATAAGGCGTGAGAACGGTATGGACAAGGGCAGATCTCAGAAACCGGGCCTCTCATCGCGTGAGAAGACAAACGGGAGTGGTGGCAAGGTCATCCTCGAGGGTCATAGAGCCAGCAGCAGTCATGCACTACCCAAGGGTCTGAAGAAGATGAAGAAGAGGCCCGCTGTGAAGCCAGACAACAGAGGTTCGAGGCGCGCTGCAGCGTTCAGAGCTGGAGGCGGTAAGAAGAAGCGTGACATTTCCACGTAACATACATAGTGAGCTGAACAAGTCAAACTTCTCCAAGCCTTTTCGCAACCAGTACACCTGGATGAAGTAGTACATAATAATATGCGACGTAGCTCATGGTACTCGAGTAAACGTCGGTCCTGGTCTCATACAGCCAGGCTTCGGCGAAGTTGCCCTTTCGATGAACACCTCACTGTCGCGTGGCCATATCTGAAACCACGAATCTTCGAGTTCGCATCACTCCGAGAATCCATCACATTTGCTTCTGGGTACCTCGAGCGGCAGACCTGTGTATCGTTGTGATATGGCGATGTGCTGATCTGATTGAACAAACATTGTTGGAAGTTTGCTGTTTACAATGGCAACCAAACGGAAACGGTATCACCATCATAGAGGAACTCCTCAGGATGAACCCTCCTCTGACCATAAGAAACGACGTCGGCTTTCTGATGATGCTATCGGGTACGACGAAAACTCACGAAAGACTCATCATCATAGTCGAGGCAAAAGGGACGAAATGGACGAAGACGGCTGGACCAAAGTTTCATCAAAAAGCTCCAAACGTGACAAATCGAACAAGCAACATGAAAGAGACCTGGAAGACTACCCTCGTTTGCGCATGCACCAGAACTATCAGGGCGAGATCAAATTGAAGGATCTTCGCGACCTAGCTTTGTATTTACTAGCTGATGAGGCAGCTCCCAAATGGCTTGCAGTGGCTAATTCGAGGCGCGTAAAAAAGGTTGTGGTCGTTATGCTTCCAGGCATGGACGAGGCACTTTTACGACAGATCGAAAAATTAGCGCATGTCAGTAAGGACCTTGGAACCACGAATGGAACTCATGGTCAGACTGAGGTTAATCCGAGCACGAAAACCGAGGACGTTGAGCAGTTGAAGACAGATGTGGCTCAAAACGATGAGAGTCAGGATGAGCCGCGTGACAAAGCCGCATCGTATTCTTGGTTGTTCGACAATATACTGCAGGTTAGAGGGCCTGGCGATGCGAAAACGTCAAAGGTGCATTCGCCTCTGCAGGCCATGCTGCTTTCTCAAGGTTCAGATAAGAGCCAACAGAACAACAACCGCGGCCATGCTGCAGAGCGAACCGCTCTAGCGGATTTCATACATTCGGCAGACGAACTGCGAGAAGCAGAATTCCCGATCCACCCAGCTGCGTTCACCTCTAAGCTGGATGCAGAGCTCGAAGCCAATCGACGCGAAAGGACAGGTCAATCAACGAAAGCCGGTTGGGTCGATAGCAACGTTTCCGTATCGCAGGTGCAGCTCGATGCGACGGCAAGTGATCAAACCTCGCAAGGACTCAATATATATTCCGTTGACTGTGAAATGGTGCAGACCTGTGATGACGCAACGTCACTTGCTCGTGTATCGATTGTGTCCTACCCAGACGGCAAGACTATCATTGACAAATACGTCAAACCGGCTCAGCCAATCACGAATTACTTCACCCAGTTTTCAGGCATCACTCCAGAAATTCTTGAGAACGTCACGACTACACTACAGGACGTCCAGAAGGAGATTCTCGAGTTGCTTACACCAGCAAGCGTCTTGCTTGGCCATTCTCTGGATTCTGATCTTAACGCTTTAAAGCTTACTCATCCATTCCTTGTCGACACCTCCATTATCTATCCTCATCCAAGAGGTCTTCCATTACGGTCATCCCTGAAATACCTGGCCAACAAATACCTTAAACGAGAAATACAGACAGGTGGTGCTAACGGCCATAACTCGGTCGAAGATGCACAAGCTGTCCTCGATCTCGTCAAGCTCAAATGTGAGAAAGGACCAAAATGGGGTACAATTGAGGCAAACGGTGAACCAGTATTCAGACGTCTCAAGCGCAATGGCAGAACGAGTGCAATGGTCGAGTATGGAACGCCTGAACGAGGTTATGGTAAAGATGCTACATACACAATCGGTTGTCAAAACGATGACGAGGTGGTTCAAGGTGTAGTACGAGCTGTCAAAGGCGACAATTTTTACGACTTTGAGATTCCTGCTGGAGGTGTTGACTTTGTTTGGGGTCGGTTGAGAGCTCTGGAATTCGTTCGAGGTTGGGTTAGTGGCGCATCCGTTCTACCTCGTGACGTCAAGAAGGATGATACCGGCTTACCAACTGAGTCTGGTAACCTTGCACAGGAAGAGAAGCACCAACTCGATGCTTTGGCCGTCCAAACACTCGAACGACTTCAAAGGATACACGAGGCACTTCCTGCAAAATCCCTGTTAATGGTATGTAGTGGAACCTCGGACGTTCGACCCGTAATACAACTACAAGCCCAACAGCAACAATACAGGAAGGAGTTTAAGGTCAAAAAGTGGGACGAGCTTACTATCAAATGGACCGACACCGAAGAGCAAGCATTGAGGAGAGCCTGTGAGGCAGCAAGAGCTGGATGGGGTGTTTGTACAATCAAATGAGGGACCCAATACAATGATTGAACTGCCAATGCGCGGACTGCAGAGGACATACCAGGTAAGTAAATTTTTGAGCTACTTGCAGCCTAGTAGCGTGGCAGTCACTGCGAGCATGAGTCGACCAAGCTCACTCAGCTCTTGTGAATCTGCCCAAGCATAGGTCACCTCGATTGTTCGTTACCTCGTCACATCTATACCTCATGAGCCTCATGTTCCTGTGATCATGCTTAGTCGCAATGCACTACTCCATCGCTGTGTGTGTGGCAGTTCTAGATCGGTAAGTCAGTATAAGATTTCTCGCTGGAAAACGCGGGAACTTACAGCTGGTGCGCTGGATGTCTGAGACGCTACCTGCGAAGCAGATGGTGATGCACTTGTGGCAGCTGGGACCGCCGGTACGGATGATGCTGACGATGCAGCACTTGCGCTTGGAGTTGCGCTCGTGCTCGACTGTGCCTGAGCTGGTGCAGCTGATTCAGAACCTGTGCATCCTCTACCTGGCACCGCGATGTCGTATGCATACGCGTCAAGCGCAAAATACTGCAACACATCACTGTCATGGGTATTGGTGGTACTGCCGTTGGTCGCAAAGGTAAGTGCGTCCTCGTATGTTTCAATCCAATGTTCAATATAGCCGCCGCCAACAGCAGGTATGTGATACAACCGATGCATGAGGTCAGAAGCCCAGAAGGTGTTTGTCGGGCTGTCCGCAACAGTGTATCCCAATCCACACATTGAGCTCAGCCATCTTCGACGTTGGTAGCTTAGGTCACAGATCACAGTCTCGCTGGTGGCATTCGAGCCTCGCCAATGGCCGGCCCAACCTAGACAATGGAATTAGTTTTTGTTGTCAACTTTTGCAGTGAAGACTACTTACCAGCTTGTTGACAATTGCCGTCAGGGTTATCGCATCTGAACAATACGCCACTTTTGTCTCCGTTGACAATGATGTCCAGGGCTCCTATGACTTCATATGGAGGCAACTCCCCGAAGTACTTCTGGTAGAGCTCCGAGCTGTTACCCCAACGAAGGACGTGCTGCTTTGCGTGGTCGGCAAGCAGGATAGTCTCGTTCAAACCAGCTGCAATTTGAGCTCGTTGGGTGGCATTACATGAGGAATGGATTGGGTAGGCCGAGACTGCGCCAGCATCCCATGCTGACATCTCCTGCTGGAAAGGTGCTGCTTGTCGTGTATCGAGCTGAGTCGGGGTTGGTATGGTAAGTGCAGGCACAGCTGCCGCAAGAAGAAGTGCCTTGTACATGGCTGGAAGTCTGATGAGCCTGATTTCGACGGAAGATAGAGAAATGCGACTACCTAAATGGGGAGATAGGACTCTGGAGGAGAAGGAAAGATGCAATCGCAAACTCAACGGGCATTATATACCAGGTCCAGGACAATTGTGTTCACTCGTCTATCGGCTATTCATCAATGCCAAGGAGGTACACCTGAGCTATTCAAAGACTTCCGCAAGGTTTTTTCACTACAGCAAGGAAGAAACTTCTCAACGACTTCAGCAACGTGCCTCAATTGCCGATTCATGCACGACCGCTCTATTCCGACGATGCTCTTCTGTACCGTGCCAAGCATCAAAAATGAGGACAACTGCATCGGTGCATTCGAGGCTCAGGACATGTGGGAGACGAGGCTGGCAATTCACCTGTAGTGGTCAAAGCTAATCAAAGCGGATCCTAGTGGTACGTTCAAAAGAGCTTCACTTGACGTGGAGTATCCACTGCCCGCTCCTCTTTGCCCAGCATCAGAGTGAGGACCTTAGCCTTGGCATACATACCTGTTACAATGTCGAATCGACAGATTCTAACTGTAGAGGAAGCTCATAACGATTGTCCGCGTGCAAGTCCTGCGGGTCCTCATCGTCTGTTCTCTGGCGACTGCCGCGATACCAGATCGGACAAGGCGCAGGGCTTGCACTTTCCACATCGGCGTCAAAGTCTGGAGCAGAGATGAAATCTTCCTGCACTGCATTGAGTTTTCCCGTAGAGACTTACTAGCCATGGTCACTCCTGGAACTCCTCCTCCTCCGTCTGTAGTAGGCCGTAGTCTTTAGAAACCATAGTGGCAATATCTGAAGCCATCCGCCTGTTCTTGTTGTTCTTTCTGGTCTCTCTCGTCTCGCTCCTCCTAATCCAGAAACCGACGCTTTGATTTACCTGCACCCAAAGGCCAAAATGCGCCAAACTATCGTTGTCGCCGTATTCGTAGAAGGCGTGAGGATGAGTCTTCTCGGGCGACAGATTGACGAAGGCTGTAACATCCTTTGCAGATCGCAATGCAGTTCCGAATCGATCCATGTAGAATTTGTCAATCCGTATATCCATGCCACGATAAAGCACAAATTTCTTGCCAGAATCATCGCGGCTAGAAAGTTTAGCAACTACTCCAGTAGTAACTAATCCCCTGAGCTTATCCCGCCGCTGTCGATTCTCCTTGGTAACCATGTGCTTCGTTGGCTTCACGATTCCTGCAACAGTCGTTGCAGTTGGTAGAGTAGGAGGCAGAGCAGGCACTGCACTAGCCGGAATCACCAATGGTGATTGAGCATTCGCTCTAATGGCTTGCGTCGAACTCGCCTTGGTCTTTTCGAGTGGATGTAGCGCGTATAAAGCGCATCCAGAAGAGACATCCTTGAAGTGGGCATACTTGAATCCCGGATCTCGATTTAGGCCAATACACGGTTCGTGTACTCCATTAATACACATAGGAACCCCACAACCTTTCAAAGTCTTGTAGAAAGCGTCGTCTTCGTAAAGGCCATTCACGCTGATCATGACACCTTCGTTGACAACGATCTCAGGGATGTACGAAGATTCATTCATGCCGCGAGGATATGTCGCGAAATAGTAGAAGTCATTCTGGGTATCTGGCAATTCGAGCATCGCGTAATGTAAGCTGCTGTGGCTCTGACGCCAATGAGGGTTATCATGGTTATCGAACACACGATAATCGAATCCATCCAGGCATGCTGTCATGCCACCATATGCTTTCTCGTGTACCGGAAGCATGCCATCCAGCCCACGAAGTTGTTTGACGTCTAGAACGTCAATGTAGAGTCCCTAACTCTTGTTGCCACGATAGATACGCGGGAGTCTGTTGTCCTGCATACAAGAAGTCACGAAGTCCCAGGCATGGGGCACCCATCGCCGGATAAGTGATTCTCCTAGTAATTCCAATGGGTTTGTATTTGGCGTTTCTTTGCTTAATGCCTCGTACTCTGCCAGAAGCTGTCTCAGCTCAGGCACCAGCTGTGGCATCCACGAAGGCTGCTCCTGGATAAGGCGGAGCACATTGACCACCATCGAAAGCGCGCCAGGAGGTAGAGGTTCATCATGGTCGACAACAAGGATCTGTGGACCCATAGGATATTCTAGTCTTTTCGTGCTCCGCTGTGATCGGGAGCCGGATTTCGATGTTGATATCACTATCAGAACAATTAGTAAAAGAGTCAGTCAAACTGGCCGGGTGAATTCTTGCCTTCTGCAGCTATTTGTACTTGCTGCATACCACCACCATTTTCCTTCATCACAAACGTCGTGCCAGCAAGATCTGCTTGTAGCCGTTGACGTTTGTCTCGCCATCTTTCACCACTATTCTCATCACTCTCAGCATTATTGACGGGTTCACCTGAACGCCTGGCTGTATCAACCGAAGCAGTAGCAGCTCGCTTGAATGGCCGAGCTCCAAAGAACTGAAAGAGATTTGGTTGTGAATTGGCCATTGCCGTTCACTGCAATGAGGATGCGAGCAAGTATGCTTTCAGGTCGATTTGCCGTGATGACCTTGCTATGGACGACAGCAGTGGCACAGACAACCTTGACGGGATGCCATATAGACGGCTCCATCTCATATTGCTTCGATTCCCTGGGTACCGTAACGGCAGTAGCGACACTATCAGCACCAGCCTCGACAAGCACAACCCTGGCGTCGGTTTCGGCAAGCACTACCACAGCAGCACAGACAACAGCAGTGACAGATTGCCATCTACGTGGCACGGACGTGTTCTGTTTGGATGGTGGGGGTGATGAGGTTTCAGTCGCACTGACTGGCACACTCACTGGCAGTGTACTACCAGCGCAGTACACAGACTGTCACGCTCATGGTATCGAGCAATACTGCGTTGATCCGCAAGGCAACGATGTCGCCATCATTTCGTCCAGTGAAGCTGATTATAATCACGCAGACGATGAAGAGAGCGCTGAGGCTTCCGATGGTGAGATGGATTGTCACTTTCACGCCGGCGTTGAGTAAGCTAAGGTCACAATATGCTCACAACCAAGCTAATGAATCACTTAGACATTGCGTGGATGCAGGGGGGTCTGAGGGATCTTCTGAAGCCAGTGCCACCTGCGATGCTGCACCCTCTCGCGACTATAACATCGGCTTACGAATTGGGAGCATCTTCATCATTCTCGCGACGTCGAGTTTGGCAGTATTCTTTCCCCTATCTCTGCACAAACTTCCATTCGGCAAAATTAACTTCGTTCTCTTCACTATCGTTAAGCAGTTCGGCACAGGTATTATCATCTCGACAGCCTTTGTCCACCTTTACACTCATGCCAATCTTATGTTTACCAATGACTGTCTGGCTGGGATCAATTACGAAGCCACAACTTCTGCAGTCGTCATGGCAGGTCTCTTCGTGGCTTTCCTTGTCGAGTATGTTAGTCATCGCTTCGTCCGCACTAGAAGCCCGAAAAGGACAGACGACGAGACCAACATTAATAACAGCGGTGGTAGCCAGGGAGGGTCGATAAGTGGCACAGACAGTAAGCAGGTCCGACGAACCACAGCAGCCAGCACTACGCTACAGAACATATCTCACTCGCATGCTCCGGCAGATTTCGACCCTAACACAACGCTAGCAGTATTGGTGATGGAAGCAGGAATACTCTTTCACAGCGTTCTGATCGGCCTCACGCTTGTCGTTGCACCGGATTCAAGTGGTAACACATCTGGTTATTACAATACTCTTCTAGCAGTCATCGTCTTCCACCAGTTCTTCGAGGGTCTAGCACTAGGCGCACGGATCGCACTTCTTCAGAACCAGAACATGCGATGGGGAATCCGGAGCAAGCTGTTGATGGCCCTCGCATTCGCGCTCATTACACCGCTAGGCATGGCGATCGGCATAGGTGTCTTGAACCAGTTTAATGGCAATGATCAGAGCACAATCTTGACGATTGCGGTGCTTGACGCCTTGAGTGCGGGTGTGCTCCTTTGGGTAGGTGTGGTCGATATGTGGGCAAGAGATTGGGCTTTCAGTGGTGGAGAAATGGTCGATGCCGGCGTTGGCAAGGTTTTTGTGGGGATGTCGAGTTTGATAGTAGGAATGATTTTGATGAGTGTTCTGGGGAAATGGGCATAAGCTAGGTGCTGGGGGAGGATAGTAGTTGGTAGACTGAATCAGTCGCACTAAGTGCATAAACCGTTACCGGTGGTGTGGTGTGTCGTGGTGTGCGTAGATGTGGATTAAGTCTTGGAAGTACAACTTTGAGCTTCGGAGCCGGTACCTCAGGCCTCACTACGTACTCAGTCCAAGTGCCCGCTCTATCCTCCTCAATCCTTCATTAAGATTCAGCTGATCCTGACTATACACAATCCTAAACCAACCAGGCTTCTCACTACCAAAAGCTGTTCCAGCAGCAAGGAAAATCTTCTGATCAATCAACGCAGCCATGGTGCGCTCATCGACCTTACTCGCGTCGACAGTAACAGTAGCGTCCGATGTCGCGGGTGGATCTTGTGGGACTTGTACCTCCTCCTCTTTCGTGGAATCTTGCCCTGCGCTTCTAATCCTCTGCTGGTTAGCTAAGTAGACATCACCAAGGTTAAACCACAGGAAGAACGCCGCGTTAACACCCTTTGCATATTCGATGCTGTGTTTCGTAGCCCAGGCTGTAACTAGCTCGTAATTTGCTTTTAATCTCTTTTGGTTCTTGGTGATATACCAGTCTACGAACCTGTCATCTGAGAGGATTGTTGCGGTAATTGATTCTGCTAGGGAAGAGGCATATGAGTGGATTGATAGGGGTATGAGTGCCTTGAGGAGTTCGGGGTTATGTTGGGAGACGATACAGCCAATGCGTAGACCGTTTGCGCCGAAGTCTTTAGATATGCCGTAGAGGAGATGTGTTAATGACGGATTTATTAGGCCTTCGGTGGGGATGGAGGAAAGGGAGGTGAAGGGTATTACTGATGGGTCGGATGGGTCGGTGCTGCGGAAGACGGACATGGCGTATATCTCGTCGCTGATGAGGTGGACCTCGTACTTTTGACAGAGCTTCATTAGCTCGATGATGAAGTCTCGAGGGTAACAGCGGCCTAGGGGGTTGTGTGGATTGCAGAGCATAATTGCAGCGACTCTCTGGTTGTTTGCTTGGCAGGACTTGATGGCTGCTTCATATGCTGCGATTGCACCTAGAGATAGAGGATCGACATCGTGAAATGAGATCCGGACGACTTCAGTTCCAGGCCGAAGCTGCATGTCGTCGATGAAGGCGACGTAATGAGGCTGTCCTAACAGGATTGCATCTCCTGGATTAGCCAAGACGTTGCTTAAATGCTCTATTGCGCTTGTGACACCATTGGTGATGCATATATGGGACGGCTCAATCTGTACAGTAGCTGAAAATTTGCGTGTCAGAAATCGGGCCATTGCTTGCTGTAGTCTCTTAGAACCCATGCCACCATCACCATATGTCAGTCCATTTTTCGGTACTTTGGTATTCTCGTGTATAAACTTGGTAAGCTCCTCGTGCATCAAGCTGTTCTCTGCTACACCAAGGCTCACATATCCGCCAGGGTTTGTTTCAGGATCCCAAAGGTCTCTTATTATCTTCCAGATGAGCAAATCTCCAGACATGTCTGCCCACTCTTGTCCACGTTTGGAGAGTGCCATTATTGGTTTGCAGTTTTTGCAGTTTCAAATTTTGCTGGGGTTTTTCTTTTTCCAGATATTCACAATACTTTCACCCCGCCAGTAAATTAGTTGCGCTATTGTCAGTATCAAATGAAGTGCTGAATGTGACGATATGTATCCTGCCCTCCACGAGCGGCCCACATTGACTGGGACCGAAATCGGAAAGTCACGCGTCGCGCCTTTTTACAGAAAAGGAAAGCAATGATGTAGGAACGAAGTTGCTCAGCTTATTTGACGTGATTGATCAGGCAGGTAACACCGAATCATTTCGAGACTGACAAGCAGTCGTGCAGAACAGACATCTTTCGGCGACTCGCATTGAAACAACTCTTCGTGTGGGTTATGCTGATAAGAATTAGTATGGAAATTCAGCGCATGATGAAGCTGGACAAAACAAGAAGAGAATAGAAGTCAGCAAATACCGACAACACTAGGAAGTGCTTCGAGTGCTTGGAATGCTTATATTCGCTCTAGGCAAACGCTCCCACGATAGCCATCAATAGTCCGCCACACGCCACGGCGAGATTCGCTTCGATACGTCTTTTGCCTTTCAAGGCCTTGTAACTGGAGTCTGTTAGAAAGTCTTCGGCCACGAGCTGTACAAGTCCAGCGAACAGAAGGAGACCGCTGCTGATAGCGTTAGTGATGCCGACAGTAAGCAATCCTGCCTCAGAGTTAGGGTCGTATAGTCGATGTAGTACCAGGCCCAAAATCTGTCCAATCGGTGTGGTGGTTCCATATGCAAAACACATTATCCAGGGTTTGGGTGATCGAGCATCAAAAAGTGCTGGAATCAGGTTGGCAATTCTAGCGCCAAGAGCGAATCCTTCAAAAGTCTGATGGAAGCATATTGCAATGAGTAGTACTACAAATGCGGTACCTGTGGCTACTGAGACTGCCATACCAATAAAAATGCTGTGGAAGAGAATGCCAGCTTCGAGAAGCAGACACTGTAGCAACATTTTCTGAGGGTCCTGGGTACCGGGAACTGAACTGTGACCCATTGTTGGATGTCTGTTCTGCATGTCAGGCTTGTTCAACATTGCAGACTCATCGGCTGTAGCGTCTAAAGTGTCAAGCCTATCTTCATCGTCGCCATCTCCTTGAAAGCTCTCGGACTGAGCCATGGGTGAGCTCACGTTGGGGCTATCGATCACAGCTCTATTGACCCCAGTCAACGGGATGTGGTCGTTAGCAAAGATTGTAGATCTTTCGTGAGCTCCTTCCCATCGACCTGCAAAGGGGCCATTATGACTGTGTTTTGCTCCCCTCACGGCGAAGAACTGCTCTACACTTACCACGACAAATACAGCAAGCATGGCTACAAAGCCAGGCATTGGTGGGTAGATTTCGTTCCAGAACCTTGGCAGACACGGATCGGTCATGGATATAAAGGCCGTGGGTAACAGGTGAATGAATGCGGTTGCAATGAGGACGCCAGTTCCGAAATGTTTGGAAAGAAAAATGAACCGATGAGGTATCGGCAACGCAGGAAATGTTCGTGCTATAACAGGAAAGGAGCATGCTAGATTTCGTAAGCGAAGAAAGAGAGAGAACAACCAGCATGTCCTACCCAAAGTGCTAATCACGAAGATCACAAACACTGCTATGACATGAGCTGGAACATTGTATGGTCCTTGCCTGCCTGTCGACCCACAGGCGGGTTTGAATGCGACATCGTTCTGTCTTTGCAGCAATGTTGCAGTCCAATCTTGTCCCATGCCTCAGGAACTCAGACCTTGAAGCCAACCGCAAGTCCTTGAAACTGAGGACCTAGCTAGTGGATGTGGATCGAAGGAATGTTGAACAGAACGACGATAGAGGTCAGGACAAGGGTCAGCAGCTGCGGTTGGTCTTGTGAGCGCGACATTTGTGTGTGTGTGTGTGTGTGTGTGAGAGAGAGAGAGAAATAGAGAGGAAATATATAGTACGCAGCAAATGCAATGCAGCGAGCACAAAGATCGATAGTAATTGGAGGTTGTCGGATCGGCCCGGTCGGCGTTGGTGCAGCTGAGCAACAGTGTTATCGACTATTCTGTAAAAATCATTGGCGTTGACGTCTGGATTCTCAAAAGTTCTCCGCCCCATTTTTGTTGAGCAACATATGTTTGATTTCTGAAAATTTAGCTTCAAGTCATCCAATCTGTCATAACCAGTTCACTGGTTAGCACTCCTGATGGTGTAGTTGGTTCATCACGTTGTGAGTCTTCCATAATTGAGCCTTGACACCATAATACTCATACTTCTCCAGCGGCTGTAATTGACTCCTCAACTATTGGAATAGTTGTAACCGAAAGGTCCCTAGTTCGATTCTGGGTCAGGAGAATTTCCTTTTTGCTTTTGCTGTTGAAGGCTGGCTGGTTAATCTCCACTTCCTTTAACAAGTAGAACGTATGCTTGGTCACAATCAACTGAAGCTAACGCAACCTACACAGACTGTGTATACAGTGGTTCACGACAGAGGATGCCATGGCCCTTCTCCTGGCCATCCTATCCTCAAGATGCCTCCTCCTTGACCACCTCTGAAGCTATCAATTCAGCTCGACAACAAGCCCAGACCATCCAGGCCCAAGCGCAAGAGACAGCAACCAGCATCAAAGACAAAGCCTCTGCTGTTACGAATGATGCAAGCACGCGCAGTCGTCTCTTCCATTCCTTCACCCAACCTAGCACCCTCATCTCAACAGCCATCCTAACCACAACCGTCCTCTCGCTCTTCGCTCTCCAACGACGCTACCTCCGCCGCTACCCAACAGCAACATCTCTCCCACAAACCTACATCCTCCCCTCAACCCGCCGCTTCACCCGCTCAATCTTCGGCCACGTGACCTCCGTCGGCGACGCCGACAACTTCCGTCTCTTCCACACCCCCTTCGGCCATCTAGGCCTCTGGGGCATCCTGCGCAAAGTCCCAGAAGACACAAAAGCCCTCAAGAACAACACCATCCATATCCGCCTGGCGGGGATCGACGCGCCGGAACTCGCGCACTTCGGGCGGCCGGCGCAGCTTTACAGTAAAGAGGCGCTGGAGTGGTTGACGAGCTACCTACGAGGACGACGGGTACGGTGTTATGTGCACAAGGCGGATCAATATTCGCGAGTCGTTGCTACGGTCTATATCTGGAAGGGTCTGTTGAGAAGGGATGTAGGGCTGCAGATGCTGCGGGCGGGGTTTGCGACGGTGTATGAGAGTAAGAGTGGAGCTGAGTTTGGTGGGAAGGAGCTGGAGCAGAGGTATAAAGATGCGGAGGAAATGGCGAAGAGGAGGAGGAGAGGTATGTGGAAGGATGGAGAGAAGCTGGAGTCGCCCAGGGAGTATAAGAATAAGTATAGAGAGGGTGGTGAGGGCAAAGGATGAAGAGTTCCTGCTATGTTTGCTGATTATAGCATAAGAAAACAAGCAGGAGCCCGGAGCATACGAGCTCTCTCAGGCTCAGTATCTTTGCATACTGAGGACTGAATGCGCCTTACAGCATGAAGCCGCGACCTGGGACATCGTACCAGCTTTAATGTAGTGCTTTGAGCACTGCAGAACCTGGCCCTTTTTAGCAGCACGTTGATTCATGAACTGGGAAAGACGGAAATTGCAAAGCCCAGCGAAGTACATGTTTTCATTTGCTTGTAGAGAACGCAGTCCTGGAACGTCAGAGCTACTGCACAAATTACAAGCAACAAAAGATGGGCCGCGCCAGTGAAGAGACCGGCAGTGTCTATGATAGAGGAGGAATTGGCTACGTATAGAACGACAGCCAGGTGCTTCTTGTCTGCGCCTTCTCAAGCAATCCGAAGCTTCTGTCAGAGAATGCAGTTGACAGGCTTCCATAGTACTGCTACCATGAGAAGGCGGTCTGGCAGGGTTGCACTAAGCCTTTTCTGACACGTTCCAAAATATCTTTCGATAGTTCTTCCAGATCCTTTTACGTCCAATCATATTGAAGGAAGACTCCCATTTAGCCCTACCATGTAAAGTACACAGGCGACGGTTACCTTCCACAGCACGCCGCGGAACTCATGGCCAGTTTCGAGATCTACTGGTTTAAGAGCGTTGCAAAATGTGGTCCGAGAACTCTAGAGGCATTGTCTTGCCATTGGCAGAAGGTGACTCGTGCTCGCGGAACCGGAAGTGGTCAATCTGCGTGGCTGTCTTGCCGAGTACACCGCTAGACCAGTTGACCATCAACAATAACAGGTTTGCGCGAACAAGAAAGCTCTCTATGATTCAAGAGTGCAATACCATGGTGTAGTGCACAATGGTGCTGATGTAGCATTCCGTGTAACAGTTCAAAGACTTGGCAGAAGCATAAAGCACATCCGCGGGGACGATTGAGCCCCATAATCATGCCAAACCAGGTCGTGGAACAGTTTAGCGCTTCCGGATGCAAGAGCCTCTATCTGCCGAAGCACGAAAGGCTGATCCGTGACATGTTGAAGTGATCAAGAAGTCGATGTTGTGTCCATCACATGGCGTCTGGCTTAGGGATCTGTAGTAGTGACAGCGTTTTTGCAGCTCACGAGACGACCCATGTACATGTGCATATTACCAAGACTCTCACTACTAGCACCATAGGAACAGTCCATCTCCTATCGATATCTTAGTACATGCGACATCAGATTCTTTGCAAGTGCCCTGCAGGTGATTGTGGTTCATGAGTCTCCGTCTGGTTCGCCTGATATGCTTGTCGTTATATCTCCCAGTCGTGCAAGCTGGCAAATGACCCATGGTGTTGAGGTGGAACAATGATCGAGACTCATCCTTGAAAGGTGAAGAGAGAAGTAATGATCTTGCAGCAAACATTGTAAGAACCTTGGACGCTTCGGACGTCGATGTGCAGGTGATAGCATAAATACCACCGTTCCTCCAGACTTGCTTCAAAAGCATTGTCTCGTAACATACACTGCATACTCGAAATGTCTGAGCCAAGTTCTCGACGCTCGGATCCATCCCAGGACTTTAACAACAGAGTACGCGACTGGTGGAAGCAGCAATGCGAGGCTGTTGCTAAGAACGAAGAGGTTTCTCCAACCATGCTGAACGGCAATTCGACGACGACTTATGACATACAACCTGGACGCGTTGACAGTTGTCGAAACGACGAAATAGTGGTATCTGAGCGAACACAGCGCAGGCAAGAAGGTGTTCCTGAGCCGACAAAAACTGATTACAACCAACTAGGATCTCAATTCGATGACCATGTGGATCATGAGGCTGCTGTACCGATATGTGACCAAATTCCCGGCGGTACGAGGCCTGAGAGGCGAGATGTGACTGCTTCGACCACGGGGTCTATCGACCCACAAGACACTTCGAGTGCAGCAACTGCGAATAACGACGAGACGATATCGGATGTGTCTTCATTGGTTCTTGAGGCGGAGGAGGGCGGAGACATGTCGAGGCAAGGGACACCTAGATAAGATCTCGGTGAGTTTATGCACAAACAGTACTGGGAGAACATGCTGAACTCATCTACCATCAGAGAGAAGATTACGCTCGACACAAGCCATCAACAACAGCGACCATCGGAGGAAGCCCGAGGCTGCTGTGAAGGCGGCATATATTCAGGCTAAGGATGATACAAATATATTCATCAAGCAAGCGTGGGATATCAAATCGAGGAAGGCTTTTGCTTACCGGCTGCAATCATTCGTGCGAGTATGTTGGTCGTACGCTTTCAACAATCGTACCTGCTTCTCTTCACGATGACCAAACCAATGTATTCTGATTTGCCATGTTACGATGGCAGAATAGGCCATTGGAATTGCTTCGCTTGCTTTATGTCGGCAGAGTTTTCTCCTGCAGCATCGTCATCGTAGCTCAGTTCTTTAATCTCAGGTCTACCATGAACAGTCTCATCATCATCAAATCGGGACAAGTCGCTTTTTTCGAAGTTGGATCTTTGGTTTTCGTTCTTCGCGCGTACCTGTTTTGTTTGCTGTTTCTTGTCGTCTTCGGTTTCCTTCTTGCGTCTTCGTTCTGCAAGAAGACGCTGTATCTCGGAATGGCGAAACATGGCAATTTGCTCATCAGTCAAAGTTCTCCGCACACCATCGGGATAGAGACCGAGGCCAGCTATTGCTGGCTCGTTTTCAGTCTCGTCATTCTGGTTGGTGAGCTGTATATCTGGGACAACTTGTCCTACAAAATGGTCGATGTGAAAACTTCGAAGCCTGGCCACTTCTACCTGTAAAATGTTATTGACCACAGTAAAACCTTATCGTGGATGTAATGACCTTGGATATGGATGCGATGTTTGCATTGTTCATCTCAACGACTTGAACTAGGAAATCAGCAAAGAACGCGTGAAGTGAAAATAGCAATCACGCGTGCTGCTAGTAGGGTGAAACGGAAAGCCGATTTGGCACGATTGATTGAAGCATCGATGATTTGCCTTGATACTCGATTTAGCCGCGGTCATCGGCGGTCACTTCTCGTCTTATCTTTGGCATATTGAGTGAACCTCGGCTCATCGTGATGTCGAAGCGACGACAATATCGATTGAAGGACACCGAGCCCAAGGACCTCAAGTTTGTGCATAGTCAAAAGTGTCGCAGCTGGAAGACAACAGTGACGGGTACTATTGAGCTTGTAACGATCTCATCATAGTCGAAAGCTGTTCCATTCCTTATCTCTCGGTACAACTTTGAATAAATTTACCATTGACTTTGCGTTTGGCCTGTTATACTCAGCCTCCAAGTAGACCTGAATGAAAATGTCCAACAAACCGACATCGAAGTTCCCAACTCTCGAGGGCGCTTCAGCTACCTTCCCAGCATCGGGCATTCTACTTGTTACAATCAATCGTCCTGCACAGCGAAACTCAATTCCATCCAAATTACATTGGCAGCTACACGCTCTGTTCCATTGGTTCGACAATGAACCTTCGCTCAATGTGGCAGTCATCACTGGCGAAGGAGATAAGAGTTTCTGTGCAGGGCAGGATTTGATTGAGTTGGGTACGTGGTTTCAGGTCAAAGTAACGTGGATGTGAGGACTAAGTACAGATCATTTACAGGCAAACGAGACCCAAGTAAAGCACGAGATGAACCGTGGCTTGGAATCCACCCAAGCACGGGCTTTGCTGGAATTAGCAGACGGCTAGGCAAGAAACCTATCATCGCTGCCGTTAATGGATTTGCTTTGGGTGGTGGATTCGAGATTGTGCTGAACTGGTGAGTTCCTCTTGACAGCTGGTGATGTCAGATGCTAATCTTGGTAAGTGACATGGTCGTCGCAGCACCAGAAGCAACATTTGGTCTTCCCGAAGCCCTCCGTGGTATTTATGCCGCTGCTGGTGGTCTTCCACGCCTGGTTCGAAACGTCGGCATGCCTATAGCATCAGAAATCGCAATGACGGGTCGCACGCTCACCGCCCAAGAAGCTCTGCAGTATCAGCTCATCAACAAAGTCAGCAAATCAAGATCAAGTGTTGTCGACGAAGCGATTGAGCTAGCTAAGAAGATTTCAAATCTAAGCCCGGATGCAGTGATTGTGACAAGGCTTGCGTTGAGAGAGGCTTGGGAAAATTCAAGCGTGGAACGAGCTTTCCAACTGGCAGATGAGAGATTGAAAGAGAAGCTGCATTCAGGAGAGAATGCTAGAGAAGGGTTGGCGGCTTTTGCACAAAAGAGGAAACCAAACTGGACACCTAGCAAGCTCTGAAAAAACTAGTGGTTGCTCTCGTAATATTGCTGACTCTGCGGTGCGGACAAGGAATATTCGCCAGTATCGTACAATAACCTCTGCAGTAGTAGAAGGTGTTGTTCATTCCTGAATTTTCTGGTTGTGAGAAGGACATCATCAGCACTCGCCCGTGAAAGACTCGCTGTTGAATTTCAGCACCCATACATTCTGTTTTCACGGGATCCGTCCAGCATGATGTAGATGTTTGGTGGGTTTTGAGAAGGACGTGCTCGACGCGGCGGGCTGCTTTTGCAAACTGTGCTGCTTTATGCTTAAACCTCGGCAAGAACGCTCCAGAGCAATCTTGTGATAGAGCAGGAGACAATAAGTATCGGCGCAACCTCTGTCGAAGAAACTGTATATCAACCTTCGAAATAGTGAACAGAATCTAAAGAGCGTGCCAGCGGACGGAATACAAATATGCCTGGGCATATTCTTGCTCACGTCGACTGTGCCTCACCTTATTCCTACTTCGCCATCATTCATCTCAAACGTATTCGGCCTGTCTTAGCGACGTACAACATCAAAGTGACCTTTGTGCCAGTATTCTTAGGAGGCATTAATCACGCCACTGGTAATAAGCCTCCATCCACACTGCCAGCTCGTGGAAGATATGGTCCTTATGACATGCGTCGAGCTCTTGAGCAATTCAACACGGTGCCACTGAGCGCCCCCGACTTCTTCCCGATGGTGAGCTTGTTGCCACAGCGGTGTATGTGCGTTCTGCAGCGAGATTACGACCAGGATGTGTACGAAGCAATTTTTGAGAGTTTGTGGATAGCAGTGTTCAACAAGCATATCGACCTCGCAAAGCCAGAGAATATGAGAGCGGCTCTATTCGAGGGCGGAAAACTGAGGGAAGATCAATGTGATGAGATACTCAAGTTGGCAAGCACAAAGGAGGTGAAGGACTTGCTGAACGCCAACACAAAAAGAGCGATCGAAGAGTTTGGAGCATTCGGGTGTCCTTGGTTATGGATTATTAAGACTGATAGGTCGGGACAGGAGGTGCTAAAGGAGCCAATCTTTGGGAGTGATCGGTGGACATATATGTACCGACTATTGGACTTGAAGTTCGAAGATGTGAAATTGGCTCCGGCGGATGGACCAAAGCAAAAAGAGATCAAGCTTTGAAACTACACCTATAACCTGGGATACTGGAACATGGGTAAGATCTAGCCTACTAGTCAATACAGCAGACCAGTATTCATATATCACGTGATCAGACGCAAAAGAACGTTGGCAGGCAATTGAATAAAGTTCGGAGATGGATCTCCGACGTCTGGGGTAACGTGGGTTGACGTCGATCTTGCTAGGAACCGAGAGCCTGAAAGAGCATGTCTACAAATCTGAGAGCAGCGTTTATCACCTAGATGGAGGTGCGAAGGCTAGGAAAACTAGAGTAGTGTTGTCGCATCATCATCTTCGACCGAATGAGCCAACGGATGTAGCTCACCAGTGTCAGATGGGTTGATGGCTATAGAATTGCAAAACATCGTGTTCTTGAAGCTCGCATTGGAGACGAGAATTCAATAAGAAGCACAAACGGTGATTGGGTGGTAGCCTGATGTTTGCACTGTGGAGTCGTGGTTAGCGTGGCTTGGCGATATACTTCTGACTGCGCTCTACCTCGACAAGCCGGAGGCATCTCTATCAACACTCTTCTCCCTGCACGAAAACCATCAATTGAATCTCGCGATCGTGTCGCATACCGTATGCGATTGCAAAGTGCATTCCATGATATTGCAACCACCAAAGTTACTACGGCTGCGCCTCAAATTACAGCTGCCGCTGAGTGCTTAACACCATCACCACCTACTTTGTAAACAACATGCAATGATAACCAGCATCAAAAATCTGCAAGCAACTCCTGTACAACCATACTACCATGTTATTATCTCCAAATAGTCGTGATACACCAACATAGTCCTAGCCTGGCCTGAATCACATTGCGACAAAAGTTACCGCGGTGCCCGAAACACTCGAGAGCTCCTGCCACAATGCCCTTCAGACCCTCTAGGTACACCACTGATCGAGAGCTAGCAGCCATTGTTGATGCTGAGGACTCGAATGACGACGATTACGACGACCACGAACGACGGAGTAAACCTCGCCAGAAACCTCGTGCCCGCGGTGGTAGCGCTGTGCCGCGAAAGAAGTCAAAGAAGAATCGCTATGGGGGTTCCGACATAAGTGACGACGACGACGAACTCTCAGAAGAGGCAGAAGATTGGACAGATGAGGATGTGAAAGAAGAAGTTGAGTTCAACGAAGCGACTGGTAGACCTAAACGTCGAGCCGCTAAACCAGCCCGAACGTACAAAGAAAGTGACGAAGAAGAAGCTCATGATTACTCGCTTCCTTCCGAGGAAGAAGCTCCTGTAACTCCATCGAAGCCTCGAGCGATCGGTCCTAAATCGAAAATCGTGACGCTTAAGATACGCACGCCTCTTCCCCGTAGCCCTCGCATCCTGCGTGACAGGCGCCCAAGCGTCCCAGCTGCGAGAGCCGAACCATCTGGTACCACACGCCGAACCCGTCGTATGTCTGAGGAGGAGGGCGAGACCTTGATTGAACTCTCCAATTCAGGCAGACATACCGTACTCGTTAGAGCCGGTTCTCGAGATCCAGATATACCCCAGTCGCGTGCCACAAGAGGCTCAAAGAGTATCATGTATCCATCCAAAAGCACCATTGATGAGGTCGACGAGCCCCAATCAGTGCCAAAAGAGCAGGAAGAGATTGTGATCCCGCCATCGCAGGAGACAGTACAGTTCTTCGCCTCACAGGACGAGTTGCCAGACATGGTCCCCCACATCGGTTCAGATTTACATGCTTCAGTCTTGAAGGAGCCTGTACCTCTGCTTCCGAGTGACGACCCTCTACATGGTTCTCCTCACGTTGAGTCCATTCGACCTGAGATTGAACCTCTGTCAGAGGAAGGCGAAGCCGAGGGTGCTGAAGAGGACGACGAAGGCCCGGTCTCAAATCGAGGTAGAACCACGAGAGCCAGCCAAAAGCGAAAAGCAGATTCTCCTGCTCCAGACGAGCCGATGCCTTCCAGACGTAGATTGCGTCCTCGTGAGTCTGCTAGTCGGGCACATTCGAGCACAAGACATCACAAAGATATCGATAAGACCAGTGACTTTGACCCTGAGGCGGAAGCCGATGAGGCGGGCGACGTCTCAATGTCAGAAGAATCTGATGGATCACCTCAGAAACGAACGCGACAAAGGGTCGATGCCGATGAGGATAGTAATGGTGGTCGACGCTCAACACGGTTGCAGAAAAAGAACGCTTCTCAACAAGCTTCTGCATCGGACGAAGACTATGAGTTGCAAGAAGAAATAGCCGAGCTTCAAAAAGACGACCGCGCGACCAAGCGAAGACGACGTGCTCAGGAAGAGCTTGTGTTCGAGTCAAGAGGCAAACGGAATACCACAAGAAAAGACTACAATTTAATGCGTAACATACCCCAGCTAGACGACGATGACGAGACTGCTGTCCCTACCCTTTCACAAAAGGCGAAGAAAACAGGAGGTGGGCAGTCTTATTATACAATGCACGATTATGCTGGTCCTTTCGGTGGTGTTCGTGGTCGCCCTCTTCTTGGTGGTCCTCAACGTGCGCCAGATGCAGATACAGACAGTAGCGATGACGAGGTCATGAAGCAGCCGAAGCAAATCGCTGGTGTCGCTGGTATGACACCTACCATTGCCACGAATCCCTTCAATCCCTTCGCAATGAATGCCTTGATTTCCGATCCGGCTCAAGGCCCAACAGGTACACCGGCTAATCTGGGCAAGGTAAAGGACAAACAAGCTCTAGCCGACGCTGATCCTCTGGGCGTGGACCAGAATATCGACTTCGACAGCGTCGGTGGTTTGCAAGGACACATTGATCAGCTCAAAGAGATGGTTGCATTGCCCTTACTGTATCCTGAAATCTTCTTGCGATTCAAGATCACTCCACCACGTGGTGTTCTCTTCCACGGTCCACCTGGTACTGGTAAAACACTATTGGCTCGTGCTCTCGCAAGCAGTGTCAGCTCTCAAGGCCGCAAAGTCACCTTCTACATGCGAAAGGGCGCTGATGCACTCAGCAAATGGGTTGGAGAAGCTGAAAGACAGCTCAGACTGTTATTTGAGGAAGCGAGAAAGAACCAGCCATCCATCATCTTCTTCGACGAGATCGATGGTTTGGCTCCAGTGCGTTCCAGTAAGCAGGAACAGATTCATGCTTCGATCGTGTCTACTCTACTAGCTCTGATGGATGGTATGGATGGAAGAGGACAGGTCATCGTCATTGGTGCGACCAACAGGCCTGACTCTATTGACCCTGCCTTGCGGCGTCCGGGACGCTTCGATCGTGAGTTCTATTTCCCACTTCCTGACAAAGATGCTCGAAGATCCATTATCAACATTCACACTCGCGGTTGGGATCCGCCACTTGACGACCATATCAAAGATGAGTTGGCCACTCTGACGAAGGGTTATGGCGGAGCCGACCTCAGAGCCTTGTGCACCGAAGCCGCCTTGAACGCTGTGCAAAGACGATATCCACAAATCTACTCCTCAAAGGAGAAGTTGCTAATCGATCCGAAGAGTATAACAGTGACGCCCAAGGACTTCATGATCTCGATCAAGAAAATGACGCCCTCATCAGAGAGGTCAGCGTCGTCAGGAGCTGCGCCACTACCACAGAATGTTGAGCCGCTACTGAGAAGGCAGCTCAAAGACCTGGAAGTTAGAATTGAAGAAATGTTACCACGGCAGAAAAAGACCACAGCGCTGGAGGAGGCGATGTACGAGGATGTGGCCGACGGCAGAGGATTTGGTAGAGAGCGTATGCAGCAGGCTTTTGAGTCCTCTCGCGTCTTTCGCCCAAGACTGCTTGTTCATGGTAGGCTTGGGATGGGTCAGCAGTACATCGCTGCAGCACTACTCAACCACTTTCAAGGCGTGCATGTGCAGTCACTGGACTTGTCCATTCTTCTCGGGGATACGACCAGCTCACCCGAAGCTACTGTCATTCGGCTTTTTGCGGAGGCTAAGATGCACAAACCGAGCGTGATATATATTCCAAACGTGCAAGAATGGTTCGGCACTGTCGGACAAACAGTGTTGACCACATTCCATGGACTCTTGAGGTCAATCAAGCCAACTGATCCTATCTTGGTCCTCGCTTTCTTGGAGGCTGAGCCCGACGATGAAGACGAAGGGATGAAACGAGAATTTTTTGGTTACTCACATCGCAACCAATATCGTCTCGCATCACCGAGTCACAAAGAACGAAGCGAGTTCTTCAGACCATTGAAGGATTACATCAAGACGAGACCGAGTGATTTTCCCGATCCAGCTCACCGGAAGAGGCGACAGATGGAGATCTTACCTCCAGCTCCTGCGGAACCGGAGAAGGAGGCGCCTCCCCCAACTAAAGAAGAGCTCAAGGCCCAGAAGAAAAGAGATCGAATGACACTGAACGTGCTCAAGCAACGGCTGCAGCCGATCATGGATCAAATCAGAACCAAATACAGAAGGTTTCGAACCGGTATCATCGAAGATCACCTTATCAGCTACCTGTACAAAGAGGCTGACCTAGAGACTGTGACATCTGACGTTCATGATAACAACCAAGTACAAGAAACACGACCATATCGTCTTGCGAAAGATCCACATGGTGTAGGCGGGCTGGTCGATATCGATGGCATCTTTTTCTACAACCTCGATGCTGTAACTATAGAGAAGCGGCTGAGCAACGGCTACTACAAACGGCCTAAGGATTTTCTGACAGACATCAAGAGATTGGCTAAAGATGCAAAGGCTGCCAAAGACGAAGACCGAATGTTCAAGGCTAATGAGTTGCAATCTAATGTTGAGGTGGACATTGCTAACATTGAGATGCTTGAGCCCCAACTAGTCGCTGAGTGTGAAAAAGTATATCAGCGGGAGCTTCAAAGGCTCAAAGAAGAGGAGGAAAAAGCACAAGCAGCTGAGGAAATGCAGCCACCACAATTGACCGCGGTTCAGATCTCTGATACAGCAGCCACCACAACAACGGAAGGTGCAGGTCCGATAACTCTAGGCGAGAACTTCAATAACCCGAAGGACATGCTGGTCAATGCGATAGTTCCGGCTGGGTCTCGGGCTTCGACTGACAGTATCATGACGAATGGCTTTCACGATGTTATCAACAATCGTTCACACGATCGGAATTCGAATAACGTTTCCAATGCATCAGAAGCCAATGCTGGTGAAGATGCTCATCTGCACAATTCTAGCAACGAAAGTGGCTCGAAGCAGAGATCGAATGGGGAAACTCAAAGCAGTGAAAGCACGACAGCTTTATCAGTACTTGGCAGGACCGCCTCAGCCCAGCCGAAACCGTTTTCGCAATACTCTGCACCCTCACAGCGACTGCGCCAACAATATGGACTGGAGCCATTACCTAACCAGGCATCATTTATGACGCCTATGGAAGAGGAGTCTCAATTCAAGGACTATACCAATGATGCAAGCACGACTCAAACGAATAGTGGTCAGAAAGCTCCGTCGGTGTCAACCTCTGGTTACCACGACCCGAGACATAGTTACTCAGGCGTAGGCTCAGATTACCACGATCAACGGAATAGTCAGGATACTGGAGCACCGGACCTCTTTGGGTGGGACGAGCGAACGACAGGTGATATTCCTGATACACAAGGTACGATTGCTTCCATTGCATTTATAACATAATCTTACCAATATACGAACTCCTGAACTGACTAGATGATTTGTTATAGATACATCGGCGTCGCAGTCCTCGACGAACGGAGCATCTGCAGGAAACGGCGAACCATCAAGTTATTTCGTCAGTGCGGCCTCGAAAAGTGCCTACCCATCACACGATCAATCACGACTACAATCATCATTTCCACCCGTTCCACGTTTCGATGCTCCCTCCGTCGCCGCACACACACATACCGGCCCCGCAGCATCCAGTACTTCCGCCCCAGCACGCGCAGGAGCAGGTCTCTTCGCAGAACTAACCGCAGCCGCAACTCCAACCTCCCGCCTAGGCGCAAACGCACCACCACACGCCATGAAAAGCCTCCTCAACCCACCCTCTCCCCCACCCACCTCCCAACCCCAAACCCAGACCCAAACACTCGAATACGCCGAACCCAATCTCGCCCTGCCCGACGAGTCCAGAATCGATAATACCGTCCTGGATATCGTCGACAAAACCTCGGGCCTCTCCGTCGAACAAATGGAACAAGTCAACAGCGTCCTCATGGACATTCTCTGGCAGACAAGAGGCGAATGGAACCGGACGATTGTTCTGGACTGCATAACTGATGGCTTTAATAATACCATTGCGGATATGCGGGATACAGGACAGGAGTTTGGAAATTTGAGTTGGGAGAGGGTGGATACTGCTGGTGAGCGAGCGACGGGGAGGAGGAGGGCGGCGATCGGGATGCGTACGGGTTAGGAGCCGGGTAGATCGAAGGGGGTGAAGATGAAGGAGATACCTGTGTTTGTGAAGCGTGGTGGTGCTTGGTGTAAGGATGATGATAGGGAGGAGGAAATGGTTATTAATGATTCTGAGAGTGATGGGAATGATCTGTGAAATAGACAGGATGAATGACAAGACGCCTTTGAGGCGCAAGCGAATGATTGTTTGCTTGATTACAAGTTGTGCTTGCTGGGGAGTTTGGATGCATTGTCGGATTGCAGATAGCAAGCAATACATGGATACAGTTTCGGCACAAATGTTGGACAAACGTGAATGCTCATTCCTTGCTGGGTATGTTGCTGTGTCTGCCTGTCTGCTTACTCTTTCTATCGAGTCATCTGTACAGTGCTAAGCCCGATACACACCGTATTGACATGGAAGTAAGACCTTAGATGTCAGGGAAAATGGGTAGAACACGGGAGTATACGATTATTATCTCGATCAATGAGCACCGTTTTGCTAATCCACTACTGCTAGATGAACAGGCTGTACAATGTGTAGCAAGCTTGAAAAATAATTCAGAAAGAATAGTCATTTAAAGATAGCGCGCTGGTCCTTTGATCAAAGCCTCCCAAAAGTCAAGACGCCATGATTGTGAACTCCTTAGGGTATTAGGTGGGTATACTGTAGTGCTGCGCATAATTGACCAATAGCTCTTTAGGTCAGTGTAGTGTCGTAGTGTAATATGGGGAGGAGGACAGCCTTCATATACGTTCGTCCTCAGACTCGGTATGCCCCCCACTGCGAAACAAGGGTAAACTCTTCGTACTTTTACCTCCGCCAAGAGCTCTGAGCTTAGTAAAGAAATCTCTGTTTCGGCTGACCTTCTCCGGTGTGTCGTGAGTCGCATGATCTGAGCTTATATATCGACAAAAGCGATGGTCCTCTCTGCTTTGGACCTCTGGTGAAAGTGGAGAGGAAACAACTTCGTGACGAGGAGTTGCAAGGTAGGGTGTCAGCACCCGGTTGTCAGCCGACTCCTAGTGGCTTCTCTGTGGTTGTGTATTTGAAGCTCTGCCAGTGATGTCTTCCCATGTTGCGCCCATCCTGCGGCCGGTGCTAGCGATCAGGCCCTCTTCCTCCTCTTCAATGATATCGGAGTCACTGTCCTCTGCAAGCTTAGGTGTCCTGAAGAGAAGCAGAATAAAGGCAACCAGGAAGACACCGAGGAAAGCAAATTGAGCCCAGAAATCGAAAACGCCAAAGAAGGGGAAGTTGACCATGATACGGTTGAGGAAGGTGCTGGCGACAGAGGGCGTGCAGATACTTCTCGCAACTTCGTTCTTGGCAATCTCGGTGCATGCAATTATCTTGCTGTTATCATGGCTGCAATCTGGTTGCTCGCCAGGATGTCTAGGCGGAAGATCGCAGAAGGTCTGAGGACCGAAAGAAGCATATTGAGGCGCAACCATGAATGCTATTGCGTAGTTGATGGCAAGAGTCATAAGAACCAGCAAAACAGTTGCCATCAAGAGCGCTTGAGGAGAGGTCTGAGCTTTCTTAATTCTGAAGATGGTAATCCAGAGTAATCGAATGCCAATGGTAGCAATGCCGATAACACTGGCACAAAAGAAGAGCATAGTGATCAGCAGGAAGATGACATAGTCGATTGGGAAGACCTTTGCGGCCTTAACGAGGACCCAATTGACCGGCTGGAAGATATTGATGTGGCCCAATAAGTAACCACACTGGTGCTTGCAGATTGAGTTTTTGGCCTTGTCAATGCCAGTGATGAGCATGCTGGCAAAGATGACAAGCACGACCCCGACCAGAAGGACTCCCAGAATCAGTTTGATAGGTCGCAGGACAGCCTCCAGCTTGATCCAGGCTCTGTAGAAGAAGTTTTGGCCTTCGCCCGAAGCTTCCTGGGCCAGACGCTGGCGTCTTTTGAGAGTTCTTTCTTCTCTGACCAGGGCATCTAATTCCCTCTGGTCTTTCGAGGACAAGCCGTCTGGACTGCCCTGAGCTCTACCTTCGAGCTGTCGTTGTCGTTCACGATTCGACTCGAGTTGAGCATCGGTCGAGGCAGTCAAAGCAGGAGCAGATATGGATGGAGCAGACTTGATCATGGTGATAGGCAGGAGCGCCAGACCTGAGGCAGTGTAGAAGCAGTATAGAACGACACCAACGGTGATAAGCAAGCCGAGAGCAAAAGTGAGGGCTCGTTCGCCATGGTTCTCTGATAGCAGGTTCTTGAAGAAGTCCAAGTCGAAATGAGCGCCCTCTCTGTTCTTTGTGACAGGAATGAAGAAGCCGACCAAGAAGATAGCGATGCAGATGACGAGGAAGATCAGTGTAAATCTTGCAGCAGACCAGAACCTCTTGCCAAATGTCTGACGTCCTTCTTCAGCAGCAACCTCATCGTATTCTTCGTACCAGAAATATGTAAAGGGCACTACCAACAGGCAGAGAAGGGCATCGAGGGAGTAGAGGACATAGTAGACGATCTCTAGGGTTTTGACAATGTTGTCGACTTTCTCCTGTGTAGCCCAGTCTTTGCGTTGACCACGTTTAGAGCTGGTGGTGCTGGACACAAGTGCGACATCGACGGGCAGAAGCAGGACCGTAGCCAGCAAAGTGGTGATAGTGATGATGCAGATGATAGTGACGAAAACGGATCGGTCGCGATGTGTCTGGTATAGGTAGACAAAGGCCACAGAGATGGCGAGCAGGAGAGCTATAGCAACGGCATATACCACCCAGATAAGAGTAATCTGAATGTAGCCCTGAGTTGCTGTCGCTCCCATCTCGTTGCTTAAAGCACTGATCAAATCCATCGTGAAGCTCTGATCGGTTCTGATGGCCTGCTTCGATGGTCGATCTCTCTGCTTAGAGTTGGTGAAGAGAGAACGAAGGACACACCTGCTTTACTAAGGTTCTCTTACCACCTCGAAAGCAGGATCTGGCAGGCGCCTTGGAGTCGCAGACGTGCTATGACATAGGGCATCATAGGCATGTGCAACCCCCAGCGAACCCCACCCGAGCTCTCGCGTTGCAGCCACCCTAATGTCGAAACAGTCACTTCTACATCACGTGAACTTTTCTCGTCCATCGTCGCCCTTCATTTCTCCTTCCAGCTTATGGCCTCCGCAAGGTCTTCCGCAGGGCAAATCGCCTTAGACCAGAAGACCTGATAGTCAGTACGGTCGTCCCGCTATCTCGCTCGAGGCATTTGTGCTGCCAGATGCAATGAAGGGGAGTGCGCTTTCTCAAAGACTGAAGTAATCAGGATGCAGTGCTACTCAGAACTCATTCCGCCAACAGGTGTGACTGAGAGCCTACAACTGTCTTTTACTACAGCGAGAGCCAACAATCTCATCGTTGCTAAAACCTCACTTCTCCAAGTATTCGACCTTAGGACTTCCGACATATCGAGTGAAGCAAGGCTCGTATTACTTGCCGAGTATGCTTTGCAGGGCACAATTAGTGCTTTGGCCAGAGTCACTCTGGTCAAATCGAAAAGTGGCGGTGATGCAGTCTTGATAGCATTCCGCGATGCCAAACTCAGTTTGGTTGAGTGGGAGCCGAGCCAACATAGCATCTCTACAATCTCAATACATTATTATGAGAACAATGACATGCTTTTATCTCCATGGTCTCCTGACCTCAAGGATTGTCTTACACGTCTTACTGTCGATCCAAGTAGTCGGTGTGCTGCCTTCAACTTCAATGAAAACAGTCTTGCAATCATTCCTTTCCATCAGGCACAAGATGACCTGGCCATGGATGACGACGATCTGGACGACGTCGACGAAGACAAATCCCCCACAAAGCAGACAAATGGAGAGTCACACCACGACGACAAGCTTTACTTTCCCTCCTTTGTCCTTCCAATGACAGCTTTGGATCCTGGCTTACTTCATCCCATCGCCATAACCTTCTTGTACGAGTATCGGGAGCCCACTCTCGGCGTCCTATTCTCGACTTCTGCCCCATCCGTGAATATGGCTCCCATCAGGACAGATATCTTGACCTATGCTGTCTATACTCTAGACATTGAGCAGAAAGCATCTACCACGTTGATCTCCGTTACAAAACTGCCTAACGATCTTTATCAAGTCATGGCCCTCCCTGCTCCCATAGGCGGTACATTGTTGGTAGGTGGCAATGAGCTAGTACACATCGACCAGAGCGGAAGGTCAAATGCTGTCGCTGTGAACGAGTTCTCTAAACAAGCCTCGTCATTTGCGATGGCTGACCAGTCCGACCTAGAGCTTCGACTCGAAGGCTGTCAGGTACAATCGATAGGGGCAATTTCCAACGAAGTACTTTTCGTCCTCAATGATGGTCAATTTGCCGTTCTTACTTTTCGCACAGATGGTCGATCTGTATCCGGACTGCATCTGCAATCAATAGATCCCTATTCAACTGCCACTATATTTCAGTCTCGTTGCTCCACAATTGTTCAGATGGAAAATCGCTATCTGTTCCTAGGCAGCGAAGAGGCAGATTCTGTCCTGATTAGTACTAGTAACAAATCTAACCAGTTGAAGCGCATCCCGTCCCGTGCGTACCTGGACGACGCAAACGGTGATTTCAAGCCAGATGATGATATGGACGACGAAGATGACGAGGATGATTTATATGCTGACAGCAAAACCAACGGTGCCATGCAGCAGGGAACTTTTGAGCCAAGCAGTATCGTTCTGGAAGATACTCTTCGTTCAATCGCCCCACTAGGTCATCCCGTCCTCGGAAGACCGCCCAAGCGGAAACGAGAGGAAGATGGCGAGGATATCCTGGACGTACAGCAGTCAGACCGCCTTGATCTAGTAGCCTCGTGCAATCGCGGCACCAGAGCAAGCTTGGCTTTTCTGTCACGATCACTACAGCCAAACATTGTGAAAAGGCACAAGCTGGCGCAAGGATCGTTAGTCTGGGCAATGAGCAGTGAACCTTCCGAGCTCGAAGTGGATGCACGTCCCTTCGACGATATGCTGGTTGTTTCGCAAGGATCGCAATCCCCTGTCCCACAATCGACGCTGTTGTCTCTGACATCGACGGTGCAAGAAAGGACGAACAACGATTTCGAAACTGGAGACAAGGTCATTGCAACTGGACGACTAAACACAGGTTCTCACGTTGTTGTCTATTCCAGGGATGTTCGTGCCTACAACAAGTATTTCGGACTCGATCAGATTTATGCGATCGTCGAAGAAGAGGCTGGTGCTACTGCTGAAGTCGTTGCTGCATCAGTTACGGACACTCATATCCTCATTCTGAAAAGTGATAACACTATAATAATCTTGAAAGTGGATAAGAGTGGCGATCTAGACGAGGTCGACCTACCAGACAGTATTTCGTCAGAGGACATATTATCTGCCTGTCTATTCGACGACCATTACGACTTTTTCAATACGAAGCAATTTAGTGGCAAAAAGGCCAGTGCAAAGCCATTGGTCTTGGCTGTGCTTACTGGAAGTGGTGTTTTTAGTCTCCATCCTCTGTCCAACCTTGACGTACAAATCTTTAGCTATGCAGGACTGGACTTCCTACCAACTCAGCTGTCCCCCGAGCTCGATATTCCAAAGCATTGGCGGACGAAGGACTCCCTGCTACAGATCAGCCTTCACACCCTAGGGTCTAACATATATGGCAAGCCGTACCTGATCGTAAGGAACAGCTCATCTGACATCACAATCTACGAACCATATCGCGATCCTGAAGTCCAGGGCGTCTATCGCTTTGTCAAAACGTCCTGCCACAATGGCGACCCTCGTGATGCATACAATGAGAAGGGTGAAGAACACTCAGATCATATCTCTCGATGTTCGTTGATCCCACTCCACGACGTGGGCGGCGCAAGTGTCATCTTTGCTGCTGGGAAATATCCTCGGATCATAACGAAGCCAAATGCAGGCATGCCAAGACTGCACTGGCTCGACATTGGACCTGTCGAACATATCAGCAGCTTCCACGACTCCTCCTGCAACCGTGGATTTGTATACATTGACTCGCAGAATTGCTTAACCTTTTGCGAAATACCTGCCGACATCATTCTCGACCACGCCGATTGGGTCATCAGAAAGATCGGCATTGGCGAGGAAGTCTCAGAACTCACCTACCATCCACGAACTGGTGCTTATGTTGTTGCCGCGTCCACGCCGGCGCCTTTCCATCTACCTCGTGACGATGAATGGCACCCAGAGTGGGACGCGAAAAATGAAAGCGCGACACCAAACTTCCTTCCGACCACAAGATCTCATGCTCTGAAATTGATCAGCGCTGTTACGCACTCCATAATCAGCCAGCATACTTTTGCTGAGGACGAACAAGTTCTGTGTGTCAAATGCTTGAACATCGAAATCAGTGAACAAACCCACGAACGCAAGGACGTCATCGTCGTTGGTACAGGGATAGTAAGAGGAGAGAATGTAGTTTCCCGAGGCTATCTCTATCTTTTTGACGTTGTCGACGTTGTACCGCATCCCGAAATTCCTGAGACAGACTTGAAGCTCAAACTAATGACACGAGAAGATGTGCGCGGTGCAGTTACAGCCATTTCCTCAATTGGATCTCAAGGGTTCATCCTCGCAGCACAAGGGCAAAAATGCATGGTCCGAGGACTAAGAGAAGACAACGCCATCCTACCAGTCGCATTCCTCGACTTGAGATACTACGTCTCAGTCGCCAAAGAACTGCCCGGAACAGGCCTGACCATCCTAGCCGATGCCTTCTCTGGTCTCTGGCTCACAGGCTACTCGGAGGAACCCTACAAAATGCAACTTCTCGGCAAAGACCTCGAAAACCCATCGATTGTCGCAGCCGAATTCATGCCCCAGGACAAACAGCTCTTCATCATCGCAGCCGACGGAAACGGTGACCTCCGGATCCTCCAATACGACCCCTGGAACCCGAAAACCGAACGAGGCAGCATCCTCCTCCACCGATCAACATTCAATACCGGCTACCTTCCCACAATGATGACCCTCCTTCCACGCACACCCACTCCCTCCGAGGCCCTCGTCGCCGCTTCCGCCTCCACCTCCTCCCCAGACGACAACACACAACTTGACCCTGCCCCCTCCCCCCTCCAAAACACCCATCAAATCCTCATCACAACCCGCGAAGGCGCACTAACCCTCATCACCCCCCTCTCAGAACAAGCTTACCGCCGCCTAAGCACATTACAGACTACCCTAACAACACAACTCGATCAGCCGTGTGGGTTGAATCCGCGTGCTCATCGGCAGATCGAGACGGATGGTGTGGGAGGGAGAGCGATGATTGATGGGATGGTTGTGAGGAGGTGGTTGGAGCAGAGTAGTCAGCATAAGTATCAGTTGGCCGATCGGGTAGGGGGGACGGTTTGGGATGTTAGGAGTGATTTGGAGGGGTTGGTGGGTGGGGGGTTGGGGTATTTGTGAGATGACCGGAGGAGGGAGATGGGAGAAGGGGTTGTTGGGTGTTTCGTAGTTTTAAGCTTATTCCGTTGAACCAAAACATGAGTTGAAGACAAGTCATTCTGGTACACTCGGATTGCTTAGCAGTCCGACGGCAAGTCATGTATGTTATAGACACTATTTAGACACCTCAATACCCATTTCCAACTTCCCAAGGTCTTCCAGCAACAGCAGCACGTATCTGCGGATCAGTCCCATTCTTCAGCGCCTCAGTCCTCAAGTGCACAAGTAACCGAAACCGCTCGTCAATTTCCTGTTTCAGCTCGATATTCCTTCCTGGCACAGGAATATCAAGTTTCATTTGCTCGACCTTCTTCCAATTGCCGACGCTATTAACAACAGTAGCTCTTTCTTCCCATTGTTCCAGCTCTTTAGTCGCACGTCTCCAGTGATGGTGGTTGTCAAACCATGTCTCGAAGAGGTCGGGAGTCTGAAAGCAGATGCCGTAGCCATCGCAGTAGCAGGCCCTTGCGTCAGGACAAAGGGTCGCTTGATTTGTGAAGATTTTGTGCCACAAATACTCAAATACACGGCCACTGATCCAATCTGTCTCCTCGGTTCGGAGGAGCCAGTCTCTGTACCTCTCGTAACTAGCTTTGGGGATGGCACGTATCCGTTCTCGAGACACGGCAAATTGTGCACAGCAGGGTGCGCCTATCGAGTCAGGGACGGGTTCACCTGGAAACATCTCGGCCCAGGCATGTGCGATGGCTATTTCCTCTCTCTTCAAGTTGTCTCGGTAGCTTGTACCGGGATGGAGTCGTTCTGGACAGCCAGGATCCCAGTGACAACGTAGGTTCATGTATCCTTCTCTCGTCACTCTTGCTGAACTCAGCCTTTTGAGGGTTTCCGCGGCATCGTGATTGAGGAGCTCGGGGGTATGCCAGGCTAGCTGGTGGGGATGCATGAAGATGCTGATATCTGGCAGGGAGGGTGAATCGTAGTGGTCCAGGATGTAGGTCAGGTAGACCATGGCTTCGTGACCTTTGTTTATTGGAGTATGCAGGGCTGCAGTATGGTCATCGACGATATACAAGTAGGGTACGAGATAGGCATCGCTAGGGAGGTAGGAATCGAGCCAGGTTGTGTTTTCGCTGGACAAACGACCAATGACCAGAGCGCGAGTATATGGCTCTCCTGCTGGCTTCAAGGTCCCAGTAGGATAGGAAGACTCTGAGCTGTTGTGTGTAACATAATTGTTGTTTGTAAATGGTCCTTTCTGCCTGTTCAGCTGTTCCTGAAAATCCTCTTCCTCATCATCGGCCAGGTCTCCGAGGCCAACTCTTTGTGAAAGTCTTTGTAGTGTGGAGTGGTAGTCTTGGGTTCGCGCTCTAAAATACAGTATCAGAAGTACTGCAGTGAGTAGGAGGACAGCTATGCGTTTTGCGAAGATCATATCAGAGACTGGCGATATTGATGCTGGACTGAATGTGCACAAATGCACTCAATTCTTGGGATTAGCATTCACAGCTTCTGCTGCCTTCATATCTTGCACGTAGGTAGTGTCATTGAGGTATGACTATCAGGAGGTGAGTACGAGCCACCATACTGCTCTATACCCTTCTCAATGTAACCGCAAAGGAGTGGATATATAGCAGCATGATTTTGAAGCTTTCGTGCTTTACACGGGACGCGCAGGCACGTGTCAATGGGCATTTGGACATCTTTAGAACCCTAAGCTGTCGCGTGGGTGGCTCTTGGAGCGCCCAAAACACAAAGGGCCTACGTCATCTACCAATGAAGACGATACAAGGACATGAAGAGCAGGCTTTACCTTGCTTCAGACTTCCAATCTCAGGCGATCGCACCACTTCGTCTCTAGGAAATGGCTGAAATCGAAGAGCAGCGCCTCGCTAACCTCAGAAATAAGGAGAAACTGCTAGCTGAATTAAACCTCAACTCGAGAGTGATCAAGTCAGCCAAAGCACAGACAGTAAAGCGCGAGGATGGCTTGATCACTAAAAAGCGCAAGATTGAGGTTCCTGCCGTACCTACCAGGTCATCAACTAGACTGCAGCAGGCCAGTGAGAGGCCTTCTTACAAGGAGGAGCCAGACGATGAAAGTCGGCCTGGTAGGACGAAAAACAGGTCAAAAGCACCTGCCAAGGTCGATGTTGTGGTCGAAGAAGTCCAGCTACAGCCTGCTCCAGATGTCGACACCATTCGAGACAACTGGTCAAAGTGGGAGGCTGTAGGGCCGCCGCCGACTCGCGATGAGGTTGGCACTTTTCATTTTGAGGACTATCTGTTGTTTCTACCAAATAAGTCCCCAGACGAAATGATGCGAGAAGGCTGCTTCGGTGGCTCTTACTGGCGCCCTTTAAAATCGCGCAGACTGGGCATTCTCATAGAAGAAGACTGGAGGGAACTACCAGCTGCCTGGATTCAAGGTCTGGAAGTGGAGAGATACTTGACTGACCCAGACTACAATGCTGATGTGAACAAATACAAAGTCGCGTGCGGGCAGAGTATCGAAGAATGGGAGGCAAGTGGGTGGATCATGCACGAATACGACGTGCGAGGCTGGTTCCAATGGTACTGTCGCTTCTTCCAAGGTCGTCGATGCCCAGACGATGATCGACAAGTGTCGAGATGGAGGAAGTGTGTAGGTCCGACAGGCCGATGGAAGCGCATGTTATTGAAAGCCTATCTCAAACAGGGTGTCCATGATGTCTTTGACGACGGCGAGGACGAGGATACAAAGGAGGTCAGTCCTGTCATGCATCAGACCTGCCACCACTGGGCATACGAGATAAAACAGCACGACTTGGACGAAGCATGGGCGTGAGACATGGGGCAGGAAATACTCCCCGCGCTGCTTGGCAAGTGCGACCCTCACGCACCCGACCATCTGGATATACTTCAATAATTCGTCCTATAGTTTCTGCAACTTGACAAGGATATTCTGACAATCATATGAAAACTGTCCGAGTAATGGACATGCTCAATATTCAGCAAGTCTTGCATATGCTCCTCTGGTTTGATATCTCCTTCCATGCCATTCTTGTTCGGACGCCTTCTTGGCTCGTTGTTCGCCTCATCTTCGCGTATCGTTCCAGCAGTGGTACCTGCAGGTATGGAGGAGCTTCCAAGGTCGATCCATGCAGAAGCGACGAAACTAACGAGAGCCCCAGAGCACACCCGCAACGCGCCCCAATCAAGTCCTGCTGGTCTCTTTGTTAGCGTGGATTTTCACACTTTGGCAGGCATGTGCTCGCTGAATACGGTGACTCGTTGATTGGTCTATTACCTCATGCTTTCCCATTACGGACATGCGACGCCAAACAGTCTCAGCTAGTAAAGAGCGACAGCGCATTCCTGATTACAGACAATTGTTGTCGAGTCAAGCACTCACAGAAGACGACAAGGATCTCGGACTAAATCGTGGTAATGATGGGCCCATCTTTTGACGATGTCCCTGCATCAGCTGCGCCAAACAAGCAGGTCGCAGCTTCGTACGCCTACGCTGATCACGACCGAAGCACTTCTCCCATCAGGTCCGATCGCAACAACAACCGCACAAGTGCTTCCGTCGCCTCCCCTCCACGCGCCAACCAAGACAATTGGTGGCAGGACGACGAGATGAATGGTCATTACACCCATGACTCAAATACCGATCTCCCTCGCCTCCAAGCACGAGGCCACCTCGATGCCAGCGAAGAAGACTCGTACAGACCAATATCCGCTGACGATGACCCAAATTCCTATGATCTCGTCGGTCCTGGTGAGATGGAGGAAGCCCAGAGAAAGACGTGGAATCTAGAGAAGCAATCTCAGGCCCTGTTCTCGAAAGAACATCTACAGGTCATCTTTGGTGACCCGAGTCACCTCCTCAAATTTACCTCTTTCTTGGGCTTGCATAGACCTCAGTCCGTTCCTATACTTGTGCACTATCTCGATTCGCTAAAGGCACTACGAGCACTGCATTACGCCAACGCCATTTTGGAGGGCTTAGACGAGGTTCCAGGCTTGGACTTCACAAAAGGTGCTGTCGATACAACCGTCAATGCCGCCTTGATGAAAAGAGCCAACGATGCCTTTGACTATCTCGTTCGAGAAGAACTACCTGCATACGTCACCTTTGAGTACATCCGTGTGGTCAGTGCGAGTATTACTGCCCGCATCACCGGCATGCTGGCTCCACATCTAAGAGAGGCAAGCGAGGGTCTGGCTGAAGTCTTTTGTCTCACTGACCCAAGCCGTCCGGACAATCCTATTGTCTTTGCATCTGAAGGTATGGACCTGGCCTGAGATATTTGCGCCAATGCTAATGTCTTGCAGAATTCAATCGCACTACTCAGTATGGCATGAATTATATTCTGGGTCGTAATTGCCGTTTCTTGCAAGGCCCTTTCACTAATCCTCTTTCTGTACGTCGTCTGAGAGACGCCGTCGTCGCCGGTAGGCAACACCAGGAGGTCTTCCTAAACTATCGTCGAGACGGTTCACCCTTTATGAATCTGCTCATGACCGCTCCTTTGTGCGATTCCAGGGGCTCCATCCGCTATTACATTGGTGCACAAGTTGACGTCTCTGGTTTAGTAAAAGACTGTGCAGAAATGGAATCCTTAGCTCGCCTGATGGATATGCAAGCCAATGGCGAGCCGATCTTAGATCATCAGAAACCCAATCCAGAAAAGAATGATGAGCTTCGAGAACTGAGTGAAATGCTGAATCAGAACGAGCTCACCACCATCCATAGGTTCGGTGGACGTATGCATAAAGAAAATGACTACCAGGATGCAGATGATGCCATGGGAGGCTCGACAGTATCCACCCAAGGTCGACTTCTTATCAAAGATCCCAATGCCTTAACACCTCCGTTTGACTTCAACGACCGCTTCCTTCAACATGAGCACATTACTAGCCGCGGCTCAGCAGCAGGTTCAACCACATCAGAAATCTCTCCTTCTCTTAGCGCAACAATATCTGGCCGCTTAAGTGGCATCTATAGCCACTATCTACTGATCCGTCCCTATCCCTCCCTCAGAATTCTCTTTGCCTCACCGTCTCTCCGCATTCCCGGCATCCTCCAGTCACCATTCATGAACAAAATCGGTGGTTCCAACCGTGTTCGCGAAGAGCTCACAGCTGCCCTCGCCGACGGTCGCGGCGTAACTGCCAAAGTCCGCTGGATCAGTAAACACGACGACGACGGACGAAACAAATGGATCCACTGCACCCCTCTAGTAGGTGTAAACGGCCAAATCGGCGTCTGGATGGTCATCATTGTCGACGACGAAAGACACCGTATCCAAAGAGAGCGCGGAGGCGGCCCAGCCGCAACAGGTGGACGAGTCGCCCCTCCCGTCGCAGCAGATCTACGAGGACGAGCCACACCTGACCGCCATAATCCCGCTGACCCTACCAAGACGGGACAGCAGGGATCAACCACGAGTCAACGAGTCGCACTCAATAGCAGAGGTATGCCCGTCAATCAGCGGTATGGCTACAGCGCAGGCGAAAGACCGATGAATTTACCTGACGGAAGCAGAGCTCCTAGCATGGATGGAGTGGGTAGTGGCAGCGTGCAGAGTTTCAGAATATAGTTTATTATGATGATATGCACGACATGGGGTGTTTGGGAAGGACTTGATTCAGGTACAGACTGGTTGGTGGTGTATGTGCATACATATGTGCTTGGTAGTATTGTCATATATTTCCAATTTTCTTGTATAGCACAAACAAAAGTAGTATCTAATTATTTGATCGAGGATATATTCCGAGGTGGTTTATTGAAGGATTTGTTGAAAGACACAAATTTCTCCTTGCACTTGTTCTCCAATTCTGTACTACATGGTATTGGATTGGATGGTTTTTTTACGCGCCGTCTTATCTCTTTTTGACCTATGACACGCCTACTATCGAAGCAAGGTTCAAGAAGAAAACAGGAGCGAAGCATCGCTTGGAGTGCATGTAACTTTGGCAGATATTATTCTGCTTCTCAGTCCACAGTCCGAAGAACCACTGTATAATTTCCACCTGGCAGATCAGATAGAGTCACCACTTTCGTCCCTGCCTCATCGCTCTGCATCTGTCTCTTAGCCATCTTCTGGCTAGTCATACCACTTTCCGCCTCCAGATTCATCACCGTTAGACTTGCCAACGTGCCGCTGTAGCTTAACCTGAGCGTGCCCGAGGTGTTCGTCGGCGTACTAAACGTGACATTCAAGCCTCCACCCTGTAGCGCTGTCGTTTGTGTCGAGAAGCTGCCTAGGTTCGTCTGAAACCCGGCCTCAATATTACTCAATCCACCGAGCTGCGGCTCAATCAGCCAGGTCTTGCCTGCTGCGGACGTGACTTGAAGTCCTGCACCGTAGAATGTCAGCGTTGAAGTCGGACCAGTTGCCCAGCCGTGGGCATGAGAGATTCTCGGATCATTGGCGTATGGTGCGTAGTGCAGGTCGCCGTTGGTCGAGTAGCCTTCGATGAAAGTCGAGTTCGTCATGCGAGGGTCGTCGAGCATGAAGCCCCACATGAGTTTGGTTAGATTGACGGCTGCAGCTGGTCGTCCAGCGCGGTAATGTGCTTGGAGTTCGAAGCCGCTGACGAAGGGGGACACTGTTTCGCCTGCTTCGGGTGCTGGTGCTCCGTATGGACCCCATCTTGCTTGGAGGGCTTCTGAGATGTTTCTTGCACGTTCACTGTTTAGTGTGAGGTTGCTGATGATAGCCCAAGCATTTCCGTCTTGAGGGTGTAAATCGGTGAGAGGCTGAGTATCGTTGTCACGGTAAAGATTTAGTTTAGGATCCCACAACTGATTGTTAGCTGCTGATTTGATGCCTTCTGCAAGTGCTGGCCATGATTGTACAAACATTGAGGTGTCGCCCAAAAGGTTAGCGAGGTTGGTGCCTAGATTGAGCACGAAGTAGAGGATAGCATTTGCCTCGATGTTGTGGCCTCCCATACCAAATCGAAGCCAATCAGCAGGGGTAGTGACATTTGCCATGCCACTGTCGTCGATAAAGGATAATGAGAAGTTGAGGGCCGACTTAAAAGTGTTCCAATTTTGTCTCAAATAGGTCTCGTTACCTGTGAACAGATAGTAGTCGTTTATGTCTGTTAAGCTGTGTAGATGATATGTGAAAGACCAAATAGGAAGTATTATACCAAATGGTCGACCAGCATAGGGGAGTGCTCCCGAGGCGTTCTGCAGAACGAGAAGCGAATCCAGCGAGTCTCGCAGCATCTCCATATCATAGGATGAGACAAAGATACCTGGTTGAGAAATAAGAATGTCTCCAGGCCAAACAAGACGGTCTCGCTTGGCACCATCTACAAGCACTGCCGAGCCGTTGGAGATTGTCGTGTTACTATACCATGGCAGAGGTGTGGTCACAACACTCGAGCTGTTGACAACGCCGAGATAGATAAGGCTGTTACCTGTTGTCGGATCGATTGTGCAAAGCTCGTTTGTGTAGGCCCCTGCATACCAGATTCTGTTTATTTGCTCATCTTCACAATGGAAATAGCCGGTTTGGATACCCTGTGCGAGCTGTTCCTCCGAGTAATGAGGTATAGCCGTGTAATAGACGGTCAAATCGGAAAGGGTGACGTTGCCTGTTGTGTTGTGGTAGACATTAAGATAACGGAAACCGCCTCGCTGAAACTGCTTCTGGGCAGTATAGGAACTGCCTGATGAGACTTGCCACCACAAAGCGGCATCAATACCAGCATCTGCTGTAGCGTCACAACCTTCAGGGTTGATCCAGATACTCGATTCAGTGAAGGAGATCCCAATATAGGCTCCAGAGGTAGTTACCTCTGATACATTGAAAGAGACCAAACCGCCGACATTTTTGCCAAAGTCGTATGTAACAGCTGATTGGCCAACGAAGACAGCATTTGCATTTCCTCCCACTAGGCTTTGAGCATTTTGTACAGTACCATTGATACTATATACAGAAGCTGGACGTAACGTTCTAGATTTAGGTGTCAGAACATATTGGCTGTAGGGCACGTGGGCTGAAGCCGCACATGCGAATGCAAGAAGGCGTATTGACTTCATGTTTCTTTCGGTGCGAGCTTAGGAGAGCTCTGATCACCAATTGCTGAGAATATGCTTTTATGTATCAAGAGCTTCGAGTTTAGGTCGCCAATTGTCAATGACGCTTTTCGGTGCAGTAAGGCCCGAACCTAGGATCGGCACTGGAATTGTGGGGAGTCTGGAGCCGGTACATGCAGGCACGGCAGGGTTAAGATGTTGCATCTGATGGGTCTCTATTAACTAGTAATATGATTGACCTTCGAGCATCAAGGCTTTGCACAGATGCCGGTACTTGAGTTGAACATGCTACCGACAGAGCTAACAGGGAGGCCCTGGTAGAAGCACCACGATGACCTCGTTTGCATCGTCATCAACATGAGGATGTTACGAAGTGTATAGAGAGCTAAATCGTGCCACGCTGCAAACAACAAGCACGGGCAAGAGCTCCGTTCGTGTGGGCCATGTACAATGTCCTTCCAGTGGTTCGAAATTCTGCCGCCTGCCGACGTTATAGCGGTCCTGTTAGATCAACGTTGCAGAGGCTCGGTTCGAAATGATGTGGCTAGTGCACAGATCAAAAGTATAGCGTTGAAACTTGCCATCATGTAGAAAGGCGCTGCTTTCGTGATACTGTCGAAGAGTGCGCCACCAACTTTCGTCAGCAGCAGAATTCCTGCGCCTCCGTAGAAAGAGTAAACACCAGCTATCGAACCTTTGAGCTCGGCAAGACTTGGTGCGGCCTTGGACGAGGAGACGGATTCACCTAGAAGTGGTGCAGCTTCAGTGTCTGTTGATCTTTCGTTAGTACTGCTATTTGGATTCGGAGCGTTGGTAGTGGTCTGCTTTAGTACACCGTTGGAAAGGATACTAAGACTTGAGACTATCGCACCAATCTGACTGATGCCGATGAGGCAGACGGAGACGAATGCCACGGCGCGAGCAGACTTATTGTCGTCGTGTGCGTCAAAGAAAGCCGCAAACACGGGGTAGCCGACAATACCAGCAACAGCAGCAACCATCAAGGGAATTGTCTTGTTAGTAAGTCGGGATGCCCAATAGCCAAATAGTGGCGCACACAAGAGAGCAATAAGTTGTGACACGCCAGTTAGCTCAGCAGCCACGACGTATGCTCTGGGACATCGTCGCTTGACGTCAGGTAATCCAGACGGTCTGTCCAGTGCTTTCTGAGGCTCGCATAGATCAGAGGATAGGAAGACGGCATTGACCAACAAGGGTATGAAGAGAGAAATTCCGACCGAAGATGCCCGTGCCACAAATCCACCCACATAACCAATGAATATGTCTCTTCGTGTGAAGCTAGCTAGAAATGCTTGGCGAATCGAAGCAGCCAGAGAGGAAGCAGTCTCTCGGATTGAAGGTTTTGGCTGATCACGCTTAGATCCTGGTCGAAGAGTAGCCCAGCCTTTATCTTTCTCACTCTGGAGCCCACGGAGGCCAAGCAAGGAGACAAGAAAGAGCAGCAATGCGACAGCCGCAACGACATAGTAGCTGTACTGGAGGGCACGAGCTGGATCGACTCCAGCCTTCTGAAAACGAGCTGGCAAAGGAAGGAAGACACTCAAAGCAATTAGTGCCCCACAGCCAGTCGCCATACCGACAAAGCCAGCGATTTTCGACGCGTGGTCAGGTTGCTGTGTCGGCTGCGATGCTGAGTTTGGTTCGGCCCGAACTGTAAGGTAATTTGACGGTGTTATTGTGAGCTCGGATGCGACGGACGGGGTATGGGCATGGCCATTTCTTGACTGCTGTCGACGCGGCAAAGGTGGTTTCTTTCCGGTCTCCTCGACAAAGGACATGCTCGGCAATATAGCTGTGACCATAGTCGAGATGTTGGCACTAGCAAGGCTGAAAAAGAGCCGTCCAAGAAGTAAATCGGGATAGACATTTTTGGCCTGGACGAATGCGAAGAGTGCTACACCGATGAGTATGTAGCCTAAGCAGCAGACCCAGCGGACCCCGATTCGATCGGAAAGGAGGCCCCAAATTGGACAAGCGACCAGAGCGACAAGCTCGTCAGCAAATCCCAGGTTGCCTACAGCATCACCGACGCCGTCGTGTTTACCAATGAGATCAGTGATGACGAACGATACCGATGAATTGAGGAAGACGAGAAAGGCAATAGAGAAAGGACAAACGCCAAGTAGATAAGTAGCCACTTGTGTTCGAGAAGCTGTGAACATAGCCATGGCGTGAAAGAGCAGGTACTACCACAAGCGACGAGAGGTTGAGCTGGTCAGTCGTCGATTCATCAAGACAGGGAATTTGCGACTTACATTCTGCAGTGTACTTTCACTCGTGCGAGGTCGAGTGCTTGATGATGATCACGATCACTCGCAATACTTTCCACCTTCAGAATCACCGCCGGAATTTAGGCCATGATGACGGCTAAACAGCGGCGTCACACCTGATCGCTTCGGTCGAGTCGCATCGAAGTTTCAATCATGTTTGGACCGTTTGAGCAGTTTGCTGGCAGTTCACAGCAGTTTGTTTTGGCCATGGCTTCCTACCCCGACGACATCCAGTTCGCAGGCCTAGTCGAAGCTGCAACTGCTGCTGCTGATGCGCATCAAGTCGACCTAGGCAAGAGGAAGAGAGGAGAAGAGAATGCCTACACTCCAGTGTCAGCCAACGCTGGCGTTTTCGTGGATCAACCCAAAGCTTCAACGTTGATCAATTCTGCCGCAGTTTTATTCCGCGAACCGTCCGAGAAGAGTAAGAAATATAGCCGGCCACCTCTCGGCAAGGTCTTCACCTCCTTGGAACTTAGTCCTGAGACGTTTCTGCAACTACAGAATGCGGCTAAAGATTACATGCTCAGTGAGGAGCACCCTGAACGGAAAGATGTAGTAGGCCATAAGAAGCAGAGCGGTAACAACGATAACGCCAAGCTGAAACTCTATCAATGTGTCGAAGGCTTCCTGCAACAGGACAACAATGGCGAGAACTACTTCGGCCACGCTTCCGGCGTCAACGAACCCGATGCCCCTCCTCGAACATTCTTCTGGCCAGAAGACCGTAATAGAATCATCAAGCTACTAATGCCATTGTTACGCAAAATGGTCACAAACGAGAGGCAACGCGTCTATGCTGCCGAGACCAGAAAGGGTGACTCAAGAAAGGTGGATAACAAGACTCAGCGAGTGCGGTCGGCGAAGCAAGAAGAAGCTGAAGACCTAGAAGACCACATTGTACCAGAAATCGATCCGTCTCTGCAACCTGACTTCCACACAAATGGTGTAGACTTGTCAGTCGAGGCCGAAACAGGGAATTCTCCTGATTTGAATGGAGGTACTAGTGCACTAACAATCCGGGTGAATATAATATCAAGGGAAAACGGCGCCAGCAGACGTATCATGCCTGAACTCGTGGTATCTCCTGAAGACGCTGGCTCCCTTGAACAGTTCGTCGACACTTTACGAAAGAACATTGATGTTCTGAGTGGTCACATCGAGGTCAAAGCACTACTGCCTTCAGGCCTGACACCGTTGAGTAGTGAGGATGATTGGATTGTCTCGCAGATGACGGTCATGGCAGAGGTCTGGATGAATGGTCAACTTATGATTGTAGTTGAGGTTTAAAACTCGCAGGACGATGAAAGCGTGGAATGTATGGCCTGGGCGGGTCTGGAACGCTGAAATTTTATCGGCGTGACGAGCCATCGCACATAACTGTGGCTTGAGGTTTACTGCACTACCCGTGAATAATAGCTTTGGGACAACCGGATACTGTCTCTCCAGGTTCATGCTTTCGCTACGCTCTGTGTTAGTAGTGGATGGCTTGTCCCGTCCCCACAAGTCGTCACGTCTTAGTCACCTCTGTACGCCGAATCCCTTCTCCGTCTACAACACAAAGGACAGCAGCCGCATTTCTTCGAACCTCAAGAGGGTGCTGACGCGACGCAGAGATAATTCTCAAGTGCCTATGCCCGCAAAGAGGTCATCGCCCAATAGGTACTCATCGAACAGCAAATCCCAGCCCCGTGGTGAAGAGAACAAATTCAGACCTGGAAAGTCCCATTCGAAGACAAACTCGTCTGGAATAAAGGTGTCGAGCTCCGCCGATTGTACTTGATCTCGAGAACTATATTTCTCAATGCCGAGCAGGAGAAGTCTCAAATAGATCTTACTGGCGCCGTGACCCGAATATTGCTCGGCCCGCTGGCATAATGTCCTTCCTTTTTGTAGCAGGTCGTGATCTCCGGTCTCCGGCAGTAAGATGGTGAACTTGAGTAGCAGGAGAAACGAGAAGGCGCATTTCGCCCATACGAAATCCATAGCGTATCTGAAATTATCTATGTACTCGGGTTGAGCCACGAGAATATCGAGGTGTTCTTGGAGGGCTTCTTTAGCCATACGCAGGACTTCCTTCTGTTCTGGCGACATGATGTCGATGTTGTGAATGCCGGTAGCACGAATAGCTCTGAGTGCAGCCATCGCATCAGCCCAGTGTTTTTGCACCATCAAATTCGTAACCAATAACGGTAGTTCGGAGCCCGATAGAGGCGAGCTCTCCATGATTCTGAGCCAATCCTGTGACCAGACATCGAGGTCGACCCTTGCATCTTGCACAGCTTGCAGAATGCCTTCCTGATTGTTCAGGAGATTTTCATTGATCTTAGCACGAAGGTGATTCAATTCGACTTGGGAAAATAGCCGGGAATCCAAAGTGGCTGAGAATGGTCTGTTCAACAATACGCGGCAGCGACGGACGCCTTTTAGTTTGAGGCCCAGCAGGCTCCCAGCATCGACTTGAAGAATTTTCTCAAGAACGAGGAGGCCGAACCACGTTCTTGCTCGTTTCATCAGAACAAAGGACTCGGGGATATCAGCACCCCTGAAGGAAAGACTAACAAGGTGATCAAATGCATCGTCGAGATGGAGCTCCAAAGCCATGCGGGTTGCAATAGCCAGAATTAGTGACCTTTCAGGTAGCCAGCAAGCCATGACTAAAAGCGCCTGCACTGTTTCGAGTGCACGCGCCTGAGGGCTTAATATGACAATAGTAAGCCATCTTTTCAACCGCATCTGCAAGAAGCGATCGTCGACTGATGAAAGACGAAGAGAAAGCCTGTTGTGACTTTCTTCTTGGTTTCACCAGCCGTGTTTGCTGCTGACCATGAATAGATAAGAGGCGTGATTCCAGGGTACACAGATATCAGATAGTATCCGCACAGAGATACGCCTCTCGTGCTTGCGCTGCGAGGCAAGAACAGGAGCATCACACAACCAGCGATTGGTGGTAGTGATAAAAAGGCTAGTACAGGCCCCTTCATTTTGAGCTTAGTTGCGACCCAAGCTCCACCCATTGTGGCCACCAATTGAACAGCACCGAACGGTATATTGAACAAGATGGCTTGAAACGAAGTATAGTTGAAGGATTTTACAATTAATGGACCAAAGGTGCTGATTCCGCCGGAAGGAACACTAATTGAAAACATCATTGCTAATAGTTGTTAGCTCAGACACTCGTAACCGTGTTCTGGTGGACGCTGGTGGGTTTTCTCGAGAGCACCTACCTGACCATCCCCAAGTTTTGTAGTCCAGGATCGCTTCGCGGACGTGCTGCCAGTTCCATTTGTTATTTTCCACGCCTTGCTGGTTGTCGCGCAAACGTTCAACTGCAACCAGTCGATCATCGCTTGTGAAGAAGCGAGCTGTCATAGGTGAGTCGGGTAGGAAGAAGTATACGACAAAGGCGTATGCCACAGTGATCAGCTTATTACCACATCAGCTTAGCCTCAACTCTATGTCTTAGACTTACTCCAAAGAACAGGAAAATGATCTGGTACTCCTTAAGGACAGGCGACTTAATATGACCAATGCCATAGGTCAACAAGGAGCCTATTCTTTATTAGTGCTGAAGTGTCTCTTAGGTTTCGTGTTAGTCACATACCAAGCATGTTTGTGATGCCATTCATGGCATACTGTCGACTCCGTCAGCTCTTCCTACTCGGACGATAAACAACAAATGATCTCACCCAAGCACCCAGTCTGATTGGTTGCTCTCTTCTCCTCCACCACATCTGTGTGAGTGCAATGAAAGCTGGCGCTACACCAGCTTCGAACAGGCCCAGGAACAGCCTTGCTGTCAGAAGTCCTCCGAAATTGTGCGCTGCGGTCATACAAGTCAAGGAAATTCCCCAGCACAAAGTGGTAACTGCGACAGAACCTATGAGCATAGGGAGCGATAGTTAAATGGGTCGAGAACATACCTGCCATGAATTTTCCCAGTGGGAATTTGACCAATATGTAAGCCAGTGCCGGCTGAGCCACTAATTGGGCGACATATACAATTGCGCCTAACCAGCTGTACTGCCTTCCGACTGCATATGGTCAGTCTGAAGAGTGGACGTCGAAACCTCTTGTTTTGCACGTTACCTAGACCGGTATCTTGTACCAGACCGAAGACAGAAGCATAGGCCAGTGTCGCCTGACATCGTTCAGTTGATGTTCGATCACAGATTCGCAGTACATACCTTGTCCAGAGCTTGCAGGAAGTAGATGGCTAGGATGACTGGCAGAATGCGAGTGTCAATCTTCTTCAGTACCCTCTTGTCGTTCTCGTGCGTCAAGGCTATTGTATGCCCGGACGCCTTGATCACAGCCGCGACTCTGTCGTCCTCCAGTCCGAGCACAGGCTGGATAGTCTTGCCTTCCTCGACATGATCAATCCTGTCGTCGGCCATTTTCGAGGTATCATGAAAAGTCGTTGCCATGGTGAGCTGCTGATGGGCTAGGTATGACCACAGTTTGTACTCGAGGAGGATTGATGTGATCTTATTCTTCTCCAGCAATTGGCATGTCGGTCCACGCACTCAAGATCTAAGAGTGGCACTGCCGACATAACATCAAGTTCTCCGCGCTCCACATACTAGCGAAATGTGGTCGACACGGGGTATGCATGGAAAAAGTGGAGCTTCTAACCTCCAAACTGCGGAACTGCCTACCCAGCCAGCGATCGAAACAGCAAAGCGGGTCTTGGCCTGGGATCGGAGAAGCAGACTTCCGTCCGCTCTCTCGACGCGCAGCCAATCACAGTAAAGGAAGATTACCTCCAAGCCTGATCTTGATCGGTTGAAACTTGTCAACTCCGATACCTTGTTCGGACCCGGTTCAGGAATCCCGAATGTGACCAGGAGTGCTCGGCCATGGTAGCAATCGGCAATTTATCCGACTGCAGCCTTGGTCTTTCAGGTTTCAGCATGTTGATCGGTGTTGAGACCGTCAACGATCGAAAGTGACCACATGTCTTCGAAACATATGAGTTTCCGTGAGAGTATCTCTTCGACCTTGGATTCAAGCAAGTTCCGCCCAAGATGCCTCAATCAGAGCAGGTTCCAGGTCGGTATCAGGCACTCGAGCAACCAACCAAACCCGGTAGTCTCTCATTGAAGACAGTGGGCGAAGATGTCGATTTCGAGTTTCAATTCCAAGTTATCAGACCAAACACCTTCAGAGTGGCTTACACGTCAGAAACACATCCACTACCACCACATCCTTCTGTGCCACGACTTGAGCCTGAGATCTCCAAATCCGAGGTACAAACCACAAGCACGGACAGCTCTTATATAATCGAGATTGGCGACATTGTAGCTTCCGTTGACTGGAAAGATGCACCGATTTTGTCGTTGAAATGGCGTGGATCGGAGGAGGAATTGCATTCTGACCTTCCTTATCGTTCATATGCTGTGGATGGACCAGGTATTGCACATCACACACGACACGACAGAAATGCGTTACATGTCGGCCTCGGCGAGGTTGCGGCGCCAATGGATTTAACAGCACGAAGCTTCAAGGTAGATGCTACGGATTGCTTTGGGTATGAAGCCTACCTCACGAATCCAATGTACAAGCACATGCCATACCTTGTCAAAGCAACACCCAAAGGTTGTGTGGCGCTGATTTCGAGCTCATACTCAAGAGCATCTTGGTCGGTTGGTGGTGAGATAGATGGACTTTGGGGTCATTACAAAGTCTACAGACAGGATTACGGCGGCCTTGAGGAGTATCTTCTGGTCGGCAGAACCTTGAAGGACATCCTCAAAAGCTATGCAGAACTGATCGGCTTTCCTCTGCTAGCGCCACGCTGGGCCTATGGTTACCTAAGTGGCGGCTACAAATATACGATGGGAGACGATCCGCCAGCTTACCAGCAACTCTTGGATTCGCAGACAAGCTCAAGGAGCACGACATCCCATGTTCGGGCCATCAGATGAGCTCAGGCTATTCGATAGCCGAACACGTCCCAAAAGTGCGAAACGTATTCACGTGGAACAATCATCGATTTCCCGACCCTGAAGGCTTCGCGAAGAGATACAACTCCCTAGGCATAAGGTTGCTGACCAACATCAAACCATTCGTACTCGCATCACATCCGAACTACAACGATTTGGATTCTGCCAAAGGTCTGTTCACTGATCCAAAGACAAACAAGACTGCACAGGTGAGGCTATGGAGCGCTGGAGGTGGTGAAAGTGACGTAGGCAGTCATCTCGATTTCACTTCACCAGCAACCTATAGCTGGTGGCGGGAAGGTGTGCACAAACTTCGGAAGCAAGGTATTTCTGCAATGTGGAATGACAACAACGAATATGTGATACCTCAAGACAAGTGGCAGATGTCTCTGAAGACAACTAACAACATTGGTGTCAAGAACGAGATCGGTCTTTGGGGCAGAGCTATGCAGACTGAGCTGATGGGCCGTGCATCTTACGAAGGTTTGTTGCAAGCCGAGCCGAATGTTCGTCCGTTTGTCTTGACTAGAAGTGCTGGCATTGGCACGCTCAGGTACTGCTGTAGCTCTTGGGCGGGCGATAATACGACATCTTGGGAATCTATGAAAGGTGCTAATGCGCTATCTCTCACTGCCGGGTTAAGCCTCATGCATCAGTACGGACATGATATCGGTGGTTTTGAAGGACCACAACCTTCGCCTGAGCTTCTACTGAGATGGATTCAGCTTGGCATATATGGATCAAGATTTGCTATCAACTGCTTCAAGACGTCGCCGCAAGACAATACGAACGGAGAGGTGATTGAGCCATGGATGTATCCCGAAATCACTCCTCTGGTCCGTAAAGCAATCAAGAGAAGATATGAGATCATGCCATACATCTATTCTCTTGGGTTAGAGAGCCATCTCGAGGCTTCACCTCCTCAGCGCTGGATAGGCTGGGGCTACGAAAGTGATCCAGAAGTCTGGACAAAGCAACTCAAGCGTGGAGAAGAGCAGTATTGGTTTGGTGATTCGCTACTTGTTGGCGGAGTGTACGAACCAGGTGTTTCAGAAGCGAAGATGTACCTGCCTCGAAAGACAGGTCCTGATTTCGACTTTGGCTATGTCAACCTGAATTCACCTTATCAGTATTTCGCACCCGGCCAATGGGTCACAGTCACGTCACCATGGCAAGACCATATCCCAGTCTTTGCGAAGATCGGCGGAGCTGTCCAGGTTGGCAAAAGTGTGCAAACACGCATGCCCGCAGACGTTGATCCAGCTTACAAGAGTTCGGAGGAAGATGACTATCGTGGCATTGAGATCTTTCCTCCCAAGAGCAGTTCACATGGTATCTCGTTCTCGAACTCATGGTATGAAGACGATGGTCTATCTTTGAAGCCAGATATCTTGAAGTTCACCATCGAGTATAGTTCCAGAGAGGAAGAAATTGCGTTTGGGCTGAGCTCAAGAGCAGGTGACAGGTTCGTGCCGGGTTGGAAGTCAGTTGTGATCATTCTGCCACATGGTGACAAGCGCCGTGTTGTATCCATGAAGGGAGAGCAAGTGGACAAGCTCGAGGATGACGAGGTTGGTCGTTGCAGGTTTCAGTTTTCGAAGATGACAGTAGAACCTGTGGAGCCAGTGGTTAATGGCTACCACTGAACAAGAACTTGAGTGTCTGTCTGTCTTGAGATTGCCAGTTGTTTCGAAAGTCTTCCACCATCACACTCTCATCGAACTTCGTAGCCACCACACAGGCTTGCAACTGCGAGAAAGCTATTGCTAGAGACTGTGTGGTATGCTTGATTGCACACCCGATGACTTAATGCACTCCGTCATTCGAGGTTGGTGGCCAATTGATCTTGTGGACCATCAGCCCTTTGCAATTGCAGCAATACGTGTTGTACACGAATTGAGGGTCTTAGCTCCTCCATCTCAAGCTTGTGCAAACTCCACCTCCGGCATTTCTTCGTGCATGTCCAGGTATTTCTGCTCTTACGACTTCTGTTCAGTCGTGTTTTTGTATCGGCTCTTGGCCCTACATAATCGCTATCAGAGTCCAGCCATTTCAATTCCAATCTACATCGTGGTCTGTGCTTGTAGGAACCTCGCGCCCGGGTATATATCCCTGTACACAATTGCCTCCACCTCGCGCATTGATCTGCTATAGTTCTGTTGTCAAATAAAGAGGATCGGAGCAGCAGCTGTTATGACGGAAATGAGGTGCGTCTTTAGCGCCTATTTAAATATCGATTAGGGGAGGAAGGATGTGGAGAGCCTTGCTGGTAAAGAGGACGTCAAGAAATATCCTGACTGCTTTGCCTCTAGGATCACAGTGAGGAGGCTTAGTCACTTCCTCTTATATCGCCGTGGTTGCCGCTCATCGACCGGGTTGGTTGACCTGTATTGTTTTGCAATGATACGCAGTGGTTTTCATACTTGTGAAAGCCACACGTAGGCATCGTCTGACTTTCGTCCAAGGGCGAGCTGTTGCATCTTGCCAGGTTGACCAATCGTATTTCTGTCGTCACTAGGTATTGGTAGGTCGTCAGTGTCCACGGTAGACTTTGTTTTCGTACTAATGGAGGACGCATTGGACGTCTCTCGTGACACAGATGCACTGCTGGTGGGTGACAGAGAAGGAATGCCATACTCACTGCTGTGTGGCATGTGTTGACTTCGTTTTGAGAAGATATCGTCATCGAGCACCATGCTTGGTGTTAAGGATTTACGCTTTTCCGTCTTGCCCCTGGTAGGCAAGGTCGTCGTGCTTTGACTGTGTAAGCCATTGCCATACCCTTGGACAAGTATTTCACAGTGCAAAGCAGGCACTGGAGGTTCTTCTGATGTCGTTGTAGAGCGTCTACTAAGCAGGCGTTTGAGGGAAGTTACACGACGCATGGACGATGATCGTGAAAGAGAGCTCAAAGGGTTTGCTGGCATTGTGAGGCGACGTTCTTTGGCCCTCGAGTCGAGATTGGTAGTTGATAGATTTGTATGGATATAGTCGATGTCAGGTACGATCTCTTGGGGTGATGCCTGTGCCGGATCCTGTGTTAACGCCTCCAACATCCACGGAAGCCTTACTGGAACATGACAGCATAAAGAATAAGTTAGTCCTTCTTTGCTGCGTACGTGCTCCGGCACTGCCATAATCGAGATCAAGGTCTGCAGGATGGCGTAAACCAACAAGAAACGGGTCTTGCGACCGTCGACCCATGGAACCTGCTCAAGACAGTCCATGACTGAGTTGCATTCAAATTCAGAGTACATTCTTACTAATTGACAGTCCATCAGAAATAGATCTCGATTCGAAGCATCGATCAAGGCTTGTTTTCTTTGTGTCTGTTTGTTCTCCTTGTCGATTTTCTTCTGCGTGACGGGATTCCAGGACTTTCGTCTGCTAAGAGTTGTCGGGGGTTTCAATGAATCTGTTGGTTCTTGCGGAAGCTGTGGTAATGGCCGGGGTAGTGTTTTGAAGCCGTGTCTGTTGTCGAAGCATTCAATGTTTTGGAGAACGCAGATACCGCCTGCGTTTGAGACTTGAGCTTCAGCGGAAGAGGAGGACTCAGGGTCAACGAGGTGGTGATAAAGGTTACGAAAATCGGTGTATAGCACAGCATAAATTTTGTAGCGAGCAGCTTCGGAGCTGAATCCCGCGGGTGGCCAGAAGCCATATCGATCGATATAGAAGGCGTGCAAGAACGATCGGAAGCGGTCAAAGTGGTCTCGTGCCACTTCAGACAATCCCAGAAAATTGCCGGACAGATCATCGCCGAAGAAAGTCTCGATAGATACGCTTGCCCGGGCAATTCTGACATCCATTTCAATTCGCGACTCGAGGATCAAGGATTTGGTGATGGGACTGAGAGAGTGGTACTCGAGCGAAGAGTGAATGTCTCGGTGACTCATTCCGACAGTATGAACGAATGCATCGATCCACATATCCTCCAAGCGCAAGTTTTCTGCCAGAAGCAGAGCCGCCATGGCGTGGTCCTCACATTCAAAAAAGTCCAAGTACTTTTGAGAGGAGGCAAATTCCAGGAGCTCTTTCTTGTTTTGTATGCCGTCAGAACAAGGTCGATATTCGTCGAGCCTTTCTTTCAGAGCCACGAGAGATGTACCCAACGAACGTCCTGCTAGAGGAACATTGTATAGCCAAGCAAACACGTTCCTCGTGGTCAGGAAATGGTCGAACGCCATGTCCAAATCTGTACCGTAGGGGGCAGGAATATATAGCTCCGCTATTATGGCGTGCTTGTCACAGCCAGGACAAGATTTCAATAAGCATTTTGTAGTCGTCTGGAAAGAAGCTGGACGGGTGATGGCTTGAGTGAGTAAGGACTGGAACCCACGTGTTTCGAGGACTTTGGCGTGCACTCGAAAGGCTGGACCTCTGCTTGACTGCCCTGGATGGCGCAGATAGACGAGCAGATCGCCAGTGGGGAAGAATAATTCAGGTTCCTGGGACGCGTTAGACGAGTCTCGCAAGCAGTATCAGAGGTAGTATACATGGAACAAATTGAACCAGTCTGTCGTTATTCTGGATCGGCCATTCCAGCGTCTCAGGCCAGCAGAGCGTATATCGTCCTTGGTGACGCGACCATGGACTCGTCTCTGCAAGCTACCTGTCCTTCCAGCTTCTGAAAAGTTGTCGTTCCTGGATTTCATGTCGCAAGGGATGCCAGTGCAGGCTAGGTTAATGCCGCATGCTGTGATATCGGAGGTTAACGCTCCAGACTTTAGGTAAGCAAGAGGTGGACGTGCTGGGGTGGAACAGGCTCGTGGCAGGTGCGTAGGGAGGTCGCTTCCTCTGTTCAGAATATAAGAGCGCAGGGGGCAGGAGCGAGCAGAGATACGCAACAAGTTCAGCGAAGAACGTCGACGCCACAGTTTTTAGTACATATCTGCTTGGATGGGCAGGTCTGTTCAGCTGTAGCAAAGCAACTTGAATGCGTTGAGATCCTATCACATCTACGATCTAGGCGCATAGCGACAAGGCCTGGGGAAGGACGATAAGCTTCCGTCATTTACCTAGCCGATCCACTGAAATCGCAATTCCCGGCACTGGCCATGAGATCAGTGCTACCGGAGTCTTTGCAGATCCACTCTTCGTGTTGTCTCCACGTACTCGAGTAGCTCCAAGCTTGAAAGTCCGATGGCTGATTCATGCCTGGGCTTCTTCAGAGTCACTATCAAGTACGTTTTTCTTGCAACAAATCTTCCGGCTTGACATCATGCGAATACAAGTGCAACGAAGCAGAACTGTCGAGCTCCCGTTTCCAGCCATAATGATCACGAAAATTGTCAAGACTGTGCAAATGAAGCACGAATCCAGAAGAGTCAGATCTCGAGTTGGTAAAAGCGTCGTAACCAAAGATGCTTGGTTCACAGTGAACATCCTTGAACCAAACCCCGCAAGACTCGTATTGCTGCATGTGTTGGACATTGATCGTCCCTGTTACTTGTCTGGTACATAGAAGCATTGTTATCTTTACTTGCACGTGAAGCTTGCCTGTTTGGGATCCTGTCGAGCACCTGCACCAAGACTAATACCTCAGGTTCAGTAAGGTTGTCTCTCGGTGAACAGCCAGCCACGTCCCAGCCAAGAAAAGTGTCGAGGGCACGCCCACAATTTTGCTGTGTTAACCCCGACACTTTTGCTGACCGGGACGTGCCAAAATACTATTGAGTCTAACCTTGAACACGACAGCTGCAAATCAGAGCACTATCAATTCTGTGTGTCACGGTGGATGTGCAGCTTCAGACAATGCGCGATTGAGTCGACTCATCATCAGTCGAATATCAGACCAGGTTATGGCCTCGAGCTTGTAAAGAATGTAGCACGAAACGGTATATCGGTACCTTGTCAACACCGACGTGTGCAACCCTGCATTCGACCCGATCGGATCTCAATAACCTTGCGAACCTGGCACGAAAAGATGTGGTGACGACCACGCGGAATCCCAGCTGGAACTGCCATTTCCGGTATGGGCTCCTCAAAATGGAGAACGCCCCAGACAGCATCACTATTATGCAGCACCCTGGAGCTGTGTCATCGCAAACAGATCGATGGCAGGCTTGTGTCAAGCTCACACACGGGAACGATTTCCTTGCCTTGAGTTTGATTCCTGTTCAATGACATAGAAAGATCGACTTCGTCGGTAACGACTACTTGCTGGTCCTCTTTACTCAACCACCCCTGGTGACAACTCATTTTCGTGCGTCTTGTCTGGAGGCCACATCCTGATAACTTTTCAGCCGCTCGATTGTAGCTGTCGGAAACTCATCCTCGTGCGCACTAGGCAACGACCAAATGTGAAACAGTCGTTGCTACTGAAGGTAAGAAGACAGCGGGCACCAGACACCACTGAAGGTTCAGACAGGTCATTGAGCAAGGTCATCGAGTCAAACAACGTCGCGAATCATGGCACCAAGACACCCTTTGACAAGATGACGGTCTCTGACATCGGGTGGCCTTCTGAACCCGCAAGAGTACATCCTAGAGAATAAGTACAAGTATTCTTCAGAACTTCTGCCCAATTGTGAACTTCTGGATAAGCTCGGTTATCGTTGTGCCAGAATCCTCGTTATCATTTCGCCCTCTGAGTCCGTATCGAGGAGTGTGACTATACTTCGTTGTTAGGTCTGCGACCCTGGAACCTCAGAGGCCCTTAAGCTCTCTCGTTAGTGCAAATGCATTCTGCTTCAAGTGCCACGAGAAATGGACTGCACCGGGTGTTGTCGTTACGGGTAGATGACAACCTCGCTCGGATATCAACTTTCGTGTCTGAGGGAGTTAGAAATAGCCGTCGGTCGCTAAATCAGCATCGAAGGTGTTTGGTGTTGGTTCATAGAGGGCATCGTTCAGAGAGAGTATCGATCTCTTGTACCTTAGCAAGCAGTGCCTTGGGTTCCATTGATGTTTTTGTACCTGCCAACCAGCTATGCTTGAGCTGGATACTTGGCTATCAGTACCGGACGTGACGTCGTTTTTATTAGTTGACTACTTCACACCGTGCCAGCGATTGTTCGTCGATGACTTGTCTTTGAACGAAGTCACCACTCCGACTAACCGGCATGCTCCTCGTTTAAAAAATCCAAAGTCGTGCTGACTCAGTCTTGATCTTTTATTGACCGGATGAAGACTTCTCCGCATAAGTAATTCCCGACTCGGGTGTGAAGTTGACGCACCAACCCCAACTCACTTCTGAAATATCAGGCCAATGACCATCTGGTCTCTATTGCTTTTGCACATTGTCTGAATACCTGGAGAACGCTGTCGATCTTGGCCTTGCTATCGTATTTCCTTCTCAGTTCTCTACTAGTCTCTCCTCCATCAGCTCTGCAGCATGTCATACATTCCGTCGCTCACGCTGCCCGAAGCGATATTCAATAGCCCTGCCCTTTCGATACTCCTCCCGGTAACGCTCGGTCTCGGCCAAGGTCTGTTGTCTCAGCCAGGCGGTAACAAATTGAAGTCAATATCCGACGCACCCAACCCCGAACGAAAAACCTTCCGCAAAGACGTTCAGCGCAAGTATGCAGCTTTGAAGCAGCCACCACTGAGGCCACCACCCTATTTATTTGGCCCCGTGTGGACGATACTCTTCGCCGGCATGGGATATGCTTCGTACTCTGCTTATACAAACGGCATGGCCAGCCTGAACCCAAGAGTAGTAGAAGACACAAGACGAGGCGCAACACTATACACCATCCAGCTAGCTCTCAATCAGCTCTTTATGCCACTCTTCTTCGGGCTCGGAAGACCAGTTGAAGCTCTGGTCGATATCGTGGCACTCACAGGAACCGTGGGATACCTAACTTATATCTGGAATCGAGTCGACAAGACAGCAACATACTGTCTCGTTCCGTATCTTGCTTGGCTGGGATTTGCAACGTATCTGACAGTAGGGACAGGATATTTGAACGGATGGTCCTTTGACAGGATTGAAGAAGAGACGGATGTCAAGAAAGACAGATGAATACATCGTGTATTTTCCAGATTTGTCTGCGGGCGTGCTGCCCACGTGCCTTTTACCTCGTGTTACCTATGTCGAACGAAGAGTGTTCAGGTCATGGTTCAGTGGTGGACATAGTCGTGGTCCAACGAGACCACCGTATGTATACTGTCTGGACTTGGTTGCAGGATTGAAGCTCAGATGTCGCAGTCAGATGCAAGCACAGCGATGTCCAGAGATATGTATATTTGGACACGTTGCAAATACTACGAGGAAGACCGAAGCTGAAGGATCCATCGAAGTATTGTGTTCTGTCTAGGTCTCATGCACGACCTTGATCGCACTTGCCTTAACTTAACTACTCAATATTGTGGGAAGGGAGACACTGCCATACACCGGGAGAGAGTCATCGGTCGAATACACTATGCATTTCAGAGTATCCCCCGATACCAGCAATGTTTTCTATATACCCTGTGAGAACCCTGTATCTATGCTTCACAGCTGCGTTTCAAACCCACAAACATTTCATGCATGAGATCGTGATCAACAAGCAACCAAGACGACTCCACATTTTCCCACTCGTCTAAACCATTCAGCAAATGTCGTCAAGCAATAAACCTCATGATCACAACAATTACCAGCGTGGTAATCTCGAATAAACTGTATAGACTCCTAACTGAGAACGAGCAAAAAGTGGGGTATCAATCACAATATGATCTCAACATGGACACGCTGAAATCAAGCCGTACTACTTTTCCAGCAACGAATTACAGCATTAAGGAATCAATGCATAATCCTGAATAGCTCAGAGCATGATTCCACCAACACCGACAACAGAAGGACTCGACTGGTAGTGGTGTAGTTGTGGTGGGGGCGGATGTATCGAGGACAATGTTGGCAAATCACTGTCAGACTGCCAGTGAGCCTGCTTGTGCTCGTCAAGAGCACTTAGCCAGGTATTGCCAAATTTCAGACGCAGTTCCTCGACCTTGAGTTTGTAGTCGTGCTCCTCAGCTGCGTCACTATCGATTGTGTCGGGGTATGGTGATGGTAATGGTAAAGCCGGTTCGGTCAGATGTGTCGTTGTTTGCGACGTTAGGGCTGGGTGTATTTCCATGGTTGTCCCTGCAGTATCAAGAATAGATTGCCGTACTGACGTAGACTCGTTCTCAGAAAGATCAACGATGCGACGCCTTTGACTTCTTTTAGGTCTTGTCGATGCACTCGAAGATGTTCGCTGTATTGTGTTGTTTAATAACCTCTTATTAACATCCACCACGGTTGTTGTATCAGGCGTCTCCTGGACAAGGACAACCTTTGCTTCTGGGACCTCCTCCCTGTGGAGAATATGTTGTTTGACACTTGAAGCCCGCTCTATCAGCTGCTTGCGCTCGGTGTAAGTGGCAGGCTGCTCATCGATGACCACATCATCGACAAATCCTGGAACTTTTCGGAAGTGACTTAGTATGCGAACGCGGTAGTCAGGAAAAGCCTTGGTTAATGGGTTGTACTTAATCCACAATCTCTTGAACTTAGACATCTGGGTAAGGCGAGCAGCTTCATCTGGGTCGGAAATTTTATTGTCCTGAACGTTTAGATTTTCCAGGGAGAGCAATTGCTCGATACCTGACAGGGACTGTAGTCGATTGGACTTCAACTTTAGTGTGACAAGACCTGGCAGAGGGTGAGCTGTAAGGTTCCTCAAAGACTCGAGCATGCAATTAGACAAGTCCAGTGACACGAGCCGTGACAAGGTCGATAGACTTTCGGGTATTTCTGTAAAGAGGTTCGAGGACAAATTAAACGACCTTAGCGATGGTGCGATAGCCTGAATACTTCGTGGCGGTAGCGATGTGATACCATTATCAGCCAAAGACAAGTAGACGAGCCTCTGCCACTTTGAGGCAGGCAAAACATTCGGATTAGGTTTGCCTACTCCATCAGAACGAGAAGGTGTGGTTGTGTGGTCGCCCGAGCCACCTGAACCGGATCGCTTGACTTTGTAGGAATATGTTCGATTGTGACGGTAGGAGGTTGCAGGTCGCATGGGTGTCGGCCGTTTGGGAGAAGTGCCTTCAACAAAGGTCTGACTCCTATTCTTCAACTTCAGTGGAGGTGATCCGGTCACGTACTCGCCTTTCTTGTCATTGACCTGTGGCGAGGTGCCCGGGCTATTTTGTTGCGGCGAACCTGGATCTGAGTGGGAACCAGCATATTCTGTTTGAGGGGTCGATGGCATCGACCATGAGGGTGTTGACGGTGTACCTTGCCAACGATTCGACCTTCGTCTACGCTTCTCGGCATCGTCAAGCACAATGTTCTCGAGAAGATCAAGTGGATCGTCAAGATTTCCTCGTTTGATTGTGAGTAGGCAAAGTTGTTCCGCCAAACGATCCCAGCCATGAAAGCTTCGAAAATCAAGATCAATAATTTCCAGCTGTTGGACGTTCTTGAAGGCAAACAGAGGAACGGCAGTGTCAAAGGGAAACTGTTCGTAACCCTTGATTAGCGGGGTTCGATGGTCAGGAGTGAGTCGGAGTGAGGGCAGTTTGGTAAATGCACCATAGACATATTTGAGGTCGTGTTCTAGGGCCAAACGTGCTTTTTCACTCTTTGAGCCTGCAGAAAGACCTATACCTGACCACAAAGCGCTCATGTTAGACATGACACTTCGCACACTCGATACAGAGTGGATGGAATCTGCATCACTACGACCTTTGGAGGGATTGTGGCTCTGGAGAAAGGAAACGTAGTTGGCAGGGGACGAATCGTTATGTATGCTTTCAACGCGTACATTCATAGGTCCAATGTCCACATCCAGCTCCTCAATCCGCGAAAGGAGTACAAAAAGATGGTGGGGTGTCAGAGTCAATTGTGCAGACTTCACACTATGAGATTTGAAGTTTAGTCCTGCGAAAGATAGGGCCGCGGCCAGGGCACTGGTTGAGGATGGGTTCGTTGTGCTAGGATTCGGAGGAGAGGCTGGTATAGGCTCACTGCCAGATGGTTTTCGACGTTGGACAGTCAGCTGTAGGCTGTTAGCGAGAGCCTTCTCATGCTGTCTGATATATTGTGCCACTGCCTGCACATGACATTAGCCTTTGTTCGCATACTGCCTCGAGCCTTCAGGCGGCTGGACGATCACATACCCGCACGAAAGGCTGCGCATCCTGAGACTGCAGGGATTCCATCTCCTGTAAGCGTCTGGCAGTACACCGATGGTCCCTCTGAAGGAAACTGATCTGATCGAGGCAACTCGAGAGCAGACCTAGGTCTTCCTTACACTAATACCAAATTATATCACAAGTATACACGGATTGCTTAGCACAATCTTCGAGGACATGGTGAAGGCATCTCTGCCTGCTCAGAAACACACAATACGACCCTCGATGGTTTTGCTAGTCCGTTTGCTCTAAACCCTATCTCTTAAGATCTGAGTGCTTTCTTTGATTTGACCACGTGGGTTGTAGCAAGTTTCTAGTCCTGTCTCTGTTGAGGAAGACGACTCAGCCAAGCTATAGCATTTCTCGTCGTAGGGGAGTGGTAACAAGCACAACCAACACTTCTGAAAGGACCGACTGCTCAAAGGAAGGACAGTGAGATGTGGTAGATGAGAAGATGAAACACCAGTACAATTGTGGAAATTCGACTGTGCTACTGGATTAAGGCAAGAGACTGTACTCGGATGAAATAGAAAGAATGGCGCATAGGTTGATGGGTCGTTTGTTCGAAGAACATGCAATGGAAAGGAGCAGCCAGATGAAGAGTGTGATTGAGCCGCTGCATCTCAATGGCGCCTGCGAACTGCGAGTCAACTGAAGGACACGCTTGAGAAGCAGGTGGGCAGCTTTGTTGTCCACTCATGGCGCTCTGGTGCTGATCGCGACATCCATGACAGGCATGGGGGCAAGGAAGCTAAGCAAGTGCCTGTAACCGATAGGGTCGCTACTTCGAGTTGTAATCTCTCGATGTGTCAGTCATTACAAATAGGACTTCGCGATATACGTGTCTATCAGCGTGTTCTGCTGTGTCATTACTACGAAGATTATTCTGCCACGACTTCCTGCTATGCGAGATTCATCAGAGATGTTCGGCCTCGAAAGAACACCATCCCACCTTCAGTGCATTTCTGTCTCCATTATTTTGTTTTAGTGTTCCTTAGCTGCGGCGATCCTGGAAGTCTTGCGCAAGCGCTGTGAACGCTTCTTCAGTTGCATGGGAAACTTCTCATTGCTTCAGAAGGATAGGATTCGTTAGCCGACCTGGAGCTCAATACTCGAGACGATGCTCGAAGCAACGTCAACGTCACGAAATCGTCCTACGCACACATGATATACAGTGTTGACGTTTATGATCTTGTCACAAGCTGTGACTAAGTCAGACGACGCTTGGAGACTTGCTACACGACAAGACCAAGAGTTCCACGATCATCTGAGAGTATCTCACAACTGGCTATCCGCAGTGTGCTCGGATCACCACGTCAGGATGGTGTACTGCACACCTATCAGATGTGTAGTAGCGGCGGATGATGTGCATACCACTTGTACAATACCAATGTCTCCAATCAGACTAGAGGTCGCAGCCAGCAGCATGACCACGGCTCAACCCGTTTTTACGTATGGCTGACATAGCATGATCTCGAGGGAGATGTCCGAGCTTTTCTGATTCCTGACCACAGCACAGAACTCGGACAAGCCCTGCAGTTTCACCTTCGATAATCCATATGTGCCTGGAAATATGGTCGTGGATTGCAGTGTAATGTATTGCAGATGGCCTGCTGTGCAGCGTCCACACGCAATAGTACTTGCAGTAACAGATCTTACTTGGGAGCCCACTTCCTGCTATCCTCGAAAATCTTTATGCAGTCCTTCAGTAACAAAGATGCAGAAGCCTGCATAACTGCATAGGTGTAGACCCCACTGGACGTGCGTCAATAATGTGACGCTTTGCTAATGCAGCAGGTCAGAAGCGTCGTGGACCTTGTCTTGCATGAACCAGTGGTAAGCGATTGCGAAACAGCATGTTACACATCTAAAAAGATAGTCATCGGTAGATCATTGGTAGTGCCTTTAATCTTTCTTTCCAGCAGTTTGATAGTCACTACCTTTGCTAAGCATCGTTCCTTGTAGGAGATACTTGCAACGCGAACTCCAGTAACGAACCAGATAAGGCTGACCATGGAGTGTCGAGGGTTCCGATGAACTACACGCTTCGACACTGTTCTGTCCTGGATATTACCACTTCTGCTTCACGAGACTCCGCGGGAGTGATGGTTTCAAGCTTCCCTTCAGACCCCATCACGTCTACACAAACGGTGAGAGCTCGTGCTGATTTCCAGTACGTATCACATGTTTTTGCAATACGAAGTATGCCTGCGAAATTCGAAGCGGGACAAACCTCTAGCGTTATTTCGGCCACGACCCCACGCTTTCCACCCCAGTCTTGCTCGAAGTGATGTTCCCAGATTTCACGTTGCAGCCAGGTTTCGGCTACGAGTTTTGTCGCACATGACCGCAGAACAGGCCATATGCTTGAAGTCACTCACCGCTCGTATGAGTCGCTGGCTGATTCGAACGTATACTTGGCGAATTCGAGAAAATCCAGCCTTGGCGTATGCTTCAGATCTAGCTCCTAGACGAAATTGTTGATTCAAACTTTGTTCGTGCTATCCACTCCCTCAGTGGTGCGGTTTTAGATCGTCCAGAACACCAATTGGCAATGCATGTCCAATTTTCCATAGATAACAATCTGTCTGTGTGTACAAGTACTTAAAAATGGTCCAGAACTGTGTTGTGTGCTAGGTAATGTCTTGTAATAAATGATCAACATTGACTGGACTGCTGCCAGCAACATTCTGGACCATAGATGGAGTTCTCGTGGTCGATCATCTGGTGTTTCGTCCCGTGCTCAAAATTCAACGAGGCTCGCAATCCTATTCCTGACAAGCACCATGTTCATCCTCTTGAAGAGTTTCGGGCCTGGTCCGAATTGAGGAAGCCCTTTGTAACTGCTGCATCAAGCCGTGGCATCGTCGTGGCCTGCTTGTTCGTCTTGTTAGTCGTCTTGCCAGTATTTTCTTGAGTGCAGAAATATTGTTATAAAATCCGTTGTATCTAAACGCTTTGCTGGTAATGTACAAGTCTTCGTATGTATTGAGGGGAGTCAAAATTGGTAGCTTTTTATACACAAATATGGGGTCGTATGTCATTTCGGTGTAATCGCAGAGCGGTAAACAGATCCAATGAGGGGAGGTGTGTTTGTTGTTCAAGTCGGGCACAGCTCATGGCTTCTGTGATGGCCCATTTGGAGGTTGGCTGGCGCCTTCTTTGGTTTCTGCTGCTTCTCGCTGCTTTCGTTTGTCGTCCAGAGCTTTATCGGCTTGCTGGAGAAGTTTCTCCGCAGGCCCAGGGGAATTAGTTGCGAGTGCTTGTTTTGCCTCTTCATCCGGGGCTTCTTCCCTCGAGAAAGCAGTAGTTATGCTCGAGAACCAACTTTTCGATTTTTCAGGAGCCGCACCATCCGCCTTGTCCTCTTGTACCATTTCGTATACTTCGGCAGGCAATATCTTCTTGCTCTTCGCCAACTCAGCAGTGCTTACACCCTTTTCCTTCGCGCGCAGTCTCAACACTTCTCTTTCCAGCTCGATCAGTGCCGCTCTGGCCGCTTTGTTCTCCTCCTCAAGGTCACTTAGCTGCTCCTGAACTCTATCACGTCTGTTTTGTTCTTTCCGACCACTTCTCCACGACTCGAATAGTAGCAGACTCACCGCGACTCCAAAAAGGAAGGTCTCGCTGATGAATGTCGCACCAGTCTCGATGGCCTTCGTTTCGCTCAGCGGCTTGATCTTCGGTTTGGGCGGGTGTTTCTCCTTCTCCTCTTGCACTTTCTCTCGACCGACTGCCTCTTCTTCAGCCTTCGTTTCAGCTTCCGTCTTCACAGTCGGAGTTTCTGCCTTCTTCCGCTCAGCCTCGCGTTTGGCGGCATCTCGGGCTGCTTGTCGTTCGTAGACCGCTGCATCTTGTAGGAGTCCGATACGCCAACGCATGTCTACCCTGTGGAGGGCCTGAGCGAAAGAGACACATGTCTCACGAAAGCCAGGATGTTCACGGGCTTGTCGCTTGATATAGTTCTAGAGGGTTGATTAGATCTTCCCCTTGAATATAAGATTTGAGTGTCGACTAACGGCAATGGGCTTTGAGAATGTTCGAACAGCAAGAGAGGTGAACTTCAGAGCTAGTGACATTGCTGCTCGAGACGGCACAGGTCGTGCTTAAATGCAGCAGATACAGCTAGCAAAGGAATGTAGCTCAACATTCTTCTCACCAGGCCAGGTATATACACAATGTCGCAAGATCTACCATCACAGGCATGGTACATTTCATCTGGCCTTACAATGCTCAAATTGAGCTGAAACCAGTACCAGCGCTGTGAAGATGCGAAGTGGTTGCCTGAAGCTGATGGCTTCCACTGTCTGCGGCCCGCAATGTGCCGACGCTAATAGTATCGGTTGTCATGTCAACCACGACCACGCATCTTCTCCAAATTGAGCAACAACGTTTTGGTCCTCGGAGCACGAGACCAGCCTTGCATCAGACTTCCCAGCTGTTTGGCTTTGCACCTCTGGTCTTGAATAAACGACAATATCAAGTGCTTCTGCTTAGATTCAGCATTCATATCCCGACGCAGTGGCAGCGCTCATGTCGACAACACTGCAATCCTAACTCTACCACAACACTATCAGCGTCGCTGACACTTTGGATCAAGACCGCGCACTCCCCATTCGAGCACAATCTCGAAAAGCCCACATGGAAGTTCAAGTGCTATCGCCCAGGTCCGCCAACGTCCCAGTCAGGCCCAGGCCAGCAATGCAAAAATCGACCAAAGACCCTCAACCCAAACCTCAAGAAAAGCCTTCAAACCCAGATCGTATAGACGATAAATGGCGTCCACCTGTAACGGTGACAGAGCCTGGTGATTCGGCACAGACTTATGTTGTTGGAAAGAAGCTGGGCAAAGGAGGGTTCGCAGTATGTTTCGAAGGTCGCACTCAAAGTACAGGCGAGGTGTTTGCCCTGAAAGTAGTTAAGGCCAAGGTTGAGCAAAAAAAGATGATGGAGAAATTTCGCACAGAGATGCAAATACACGCAAAAATGGTGCATCCCAACATAGTCGAATTTTACCGGGCATTCTCCTTAGAAGGACATACTTATGTTGTGCTGGAATTGTGTGATAATGGCAGTTTGACAGATATGGTCAAGGCGAGATCGTGCTTGAGCTTACCGGAAGTCAGGCGCTTCACCATCCAGATATGTGGCGGTGTCAAATATATGCATAAACGAAACGTCATCCACCGAGACTTGAAGATGGGCAACATCTTCCTGGATTCCAACATGAATATCAAGATTGGTGATTTTGGGTTGGCAGCTGTATTGGCGGACGACCAAGATCGGAGAACAACCCTCTGTGGTACACCCAACTATATTGCTCCTGAGATTTTGAGCAAGTCAGGAGTACGGGGGCATGACAGCAAGGTCGACGTCTGGGCCATTGGCATCATATGTTACGCCATGCTCATGGGCACGCCTCCCTTCCAGTCGAAAACACAACAAGAAATATACTCAAAGCTGAAAAATCTAGATTACGAGTGGAAGCTCGACAGCAAGAACTTCATTCCAGACGAGGCGAAAGAGTTTGTCGCCGCCTGCCTAAATCTGGTTGCTACCGACAGACCAGAGATGGATGACTTGGTGGAATACGGCTTCTTCAAGAATGGCACAATCGCCGACGTGCTGGAACGAGCAAATATGAGAGCTAAGCCGATATGGCTACTGGAGGCAGAACCTAGAGGAGACAGGGTGAAGCCCGGATATGGCGCCGATCATGCTACTATCTGCAGTGAGAGTGGTGTTGGCAGATTATCTGACGGAAAGTGCAGACCACCAACAGGGCAAAAAGGTCTAATATCAGCGCTGGTCGAGATTGAAGCCGAGAACAGAAAAGGATGTGCTCCAGTCACTCCTTTGCCAGAAGGTGTCCTTTACCGCCAATTCACTGATCCCGAGCCTCAACGACCGGCCTTCCAAAAGGCAGCAGCAGCACGGCCTAGGAGCAAGAAACCTATTGAGGATGCGCGAGATATTATATCTAGTGTATCTAATCGACCACCTTTGGTTGGTGCAGATCGGCTGCAATCAGCTGCAAGACCTCTTCAGAGTTTCGCAGCTCAACAAAGACAGCAAGCAGCTCCAGCCCGTGCCACTGTCACCAAACCACCGATTGTGGACGAGTTGGTAGACATCAAGGCAGCGAAGCCAACAGCAGATACCAAAGGCTTTCTGCGAGCACGCCCTATCCGAGCAGCTAGCACGCGCTCGATGCAAGCAAGCAAAGATGAACCAGTGGCTACAAGATCAAGCACTCGTCTGCACCAGCTTAACGAGCTGTCCCATCAGCTGCAGATGGACGCCGAACATATGAACAAAGCACGAGAACCAGCTCCAAATATGGAGACTGGCACAATGAGATCCCGTGGCTTGCCTCGCCCGAGAAGCGTAGCTCAGGAGAGAAGGCCAGAGAGACCTGCTTCAGTCATGTCAACAAGCTCAACAGAGGATCAACCTCGAAAGGCAGTACGAAAACCGACAACTAACGTGGACATGAAAGTAAAGACCATGACAACTGTGTCTCTCGCTGAAGTAGAAAACGAATTTGCAAAAGGCATGATCCTCGACGATCCACCAGCCTTACCACCAAGGACAATCTTCAAACCACGTCTGATTGAGGACAAGGACAGACATACTCGAGTACACGGCACTTCGCATACTCACGTAATGCGTTCTCTTCGTGATCTGCATACATCCCTGAGCACTCCCAAGGATTCTTCAGCTAGCCACACACCATTCCAGACATCACAACCATATCCTCGTGTGGAGAAATGGGTTGATTACGCCACAAAGCACGGCATAGCATATCTGCTCACGGATGGCTCGTTGGGAATGGTCCTGAAGTCCAAAGAAGAGGACAACAAGGCTTCAGGATGCGTAGTCGTCCGTCACGCAAAGCGACATGCCGAGCTGAGAACAAGAGGCAAAGAGTACCAATATGTACCTCAGAGCCCTAATGCCTCCGACGTCGAGTTCTATGAACAGATCGACATGACGGAGCCAATGCGTCGGCTCGACGTACCTGCATCAAAATTCCATCTCGACATCGAACGACACGGATCTCAATCAGCGGCAGCGAACGCCCTTCTAGCAAGCTCGAAAGGAGCAGAATCCCAACGTCTCAAAGAAGTTGGGCTCTTGGACAAGTTCGGCAAATACATGCACAAACAGATGAGCAGTATCTCAGCCTCTTCGGACACAACTTCAATATCTCAATCAGACGACCAGGCCGTCGGGCACCTGATCCACTTCTACCAACGTCTGGGCAATGTTGGTGCGTGGCGTTTCGCTGATGGCGGCATTCAATTCAACTTCCCAGATCACACAAAGATCGTCATCTACCAATCGTACACCAAGCTCAACGAACCTGCCGAAGTCATGGTAGATCTCATACACCTCGAGCCACGAGACGCCAGGGATCTAGCAGAGTTTGGGCAGATTACACACGAAGCATTGGAACGGCGCGACCTGAAGACCTTCCGCCTCAGTGATATTCAAAGACTCAATGGATTCAGGAGAAGTGAGATCGAAATCCTGCGAACAAATGAGGTTGCTGAGAAGCTGGATTGGATCAAGGCGGTAATAGGGATTTGGATCAAGGAGGGGGCATTAGGCTGGATGGGAGCGGAGAGATTAGGTTGGAGTGGGTTGCAAGAGAAGAGGGAGGACAGGGAGACTTCGAGTAGTGCTGGAAAGAAGGCGAAGTTGCAGTGGGTTACGGTCGGGCGACCGAATGGTGATAGTAGCGAGTGAAGTATGACGATGAACTGGTGGCTCAAAAAGACGAAGCTGTTGGCCTCTGCAGGTTCGCCATAAAAGGAGTACATTGGATGCATGGGAGGTATGGCAGCATTGAACAGCGTTTCTGGTTAATGCAAAGATTGTAAGCATACATAAATGAGAGCGTGTTGGACATTGATCAAGAACCACGAGTGAATCAGACGAGATTGTGTGAGGCAGAGCAAGCGTCAATCTTCATCAGCTTGTTATTTCGTGCATACGTCGAGCAATTGGTCGGCTTCTTCAGACGTATATTCCTGCCTGGCAGTAGGAGAGTAGACCACGTCCTGGTTTTGTGGAATGCCTTGGGTTCTCCTGGGCCTGGCTCCATGAGTCTGAATGTCGGAGAGTTCAGTGTGCCTTGCATATCGAGATTGGATGTATGTGCGAAGCCGTCTCTTCCCGGGCAGTGAGATCGTGCTGGCAACAGCTTCTCTTCGTACTACATAAGCTGGCGCCTGTGGTCCAAGAGTGATCCAGCTAGCTTACCTAAATAGCGTGCCTCTACTGCAGGTGCTTGCGGGCGTGCACGGACATAACTCTCAAAAGCGTTAGCTTGAACCCGTTTGGGAGGTAGGACGATGCACAAGCACCTTGCTAGAGTATTCTGAAGGACTAAGCTCCAAGGACTCCAAAGTTCGACGAGTAATTCTCGAAGGGTTAGTCAGAAGGATTAGGATTAGTGCTCGTTAATGCAGGTACAGCATGTGGTGATTTACAGCAGTGTCTCGCGAGCCAAGCCCAGAAAGTGCTCTAGATGTCGATCGAGAAGCTCGAAGAGTACAGGAAGTCATCTTTGGCTCCATGCACCACGTTGTATCCCCAGAAGTCGAATATCCTGATCACGAATTTTAATTCACCACGGGAAAGTGTGACCCTGCCAGAGGTTCGAGCAGAGCCGTGCTTCGGTATCTGCAGTGAGCGACGAAGAGTGCAGCCGAGGTCGGTAGATGTCTTGGTTCCAGCAATCATTTCACTCACAAAGGTAGGACTATCTTTGCACTAAGATGAGCATCCTGGTAGGTTGTTAATGTGATCGAGGAATGCCGCAGGGAAGGATATCGACGATTATTCGTCAGGGTCTGTGAGAGGATTGGACTCGAGACACGGGCGAGAACTTACTTGTTTGCTGGGGTGGTCAGTTGACGTACGAAGTACTACTCGACGTCTAGGCGAGAGTGGTAAAGACAGGGTTCGATGGATCTCGCTTGGTCGAAGTTGCTGCATGTGGTACAGGTGGCGTGTATCGAACTTATACGGCAGACAGGTGGATACAACTACCGCTCTGTAAGCAGTTTGTAGCTAACCATTAGAGTTCTCCGGGATAGTGTTTACTGTCAATCGCAGGTGGGACGCGCTGGTACCTGACCAGATGTGCGCACTGAAGATAAGCGACAGATCCCATCTGCTCAGCATTGGCAGTCGAATAAAGTTTTGTGGACAAAGCATTAATACGAGAAGAGGCTGGGGGTATCTTATCAGTAGGGATCAATTAACTGCTCGCGGAAGGCATAGCAGGGCTATCATCGAATAAGCAAGAACGACGGAAAAGCAAAGCTGATACGTGATTGGCTGGTATCTCGTACCAAAGATACCGACGAGGCAGGTAGGAGATTCGAGGCGAGCCAGGCACTTGCATGCCTCTATTGCTCAGCTAGAGCAGGCTGTATTCACCTGGCCTCTCGGACTTACTGTGTACAGCGAAGACCCTCGAATGTAAACCCGTACTCTATACTCGCGTACGTAATGAGTTATCGGTAAGATGGGTCACTCCTGTACAATGCGGGGTGACTCGATTGCATTAGATCAATGCTGCCAAGAGCGGGAAGCTAAACTGAATCCTTCGCGGATTACTTTTGACCAACAGGAAACTTATCCTCGAACCACTTCACTCAACTTTTTCGTGCTAATCTACAGTACATAACTTTATTGAGGCGAAGCACGACCAATTGTGTTCTGAGGCACAACTATTGTAGCAACTGAGGAAAAGATCAAGGCCATACAGACAGGGTAGAGCTTCTGATGCATGACACAGGAGTATATCGATTATTGGCTCCTTGCAAACCCCAATCGCTACAGTGGACCAGTGAAGGAGAAGAGTAGGTAGCTCTTCACTCAATCGTCGGCATATGCAACGACAAGTGTGGCAGTAATCGCCTGGTCATATCGTGGAGGGTAGTCACTCGTTCCGGTATACATGATGTGGTCCGAATCTGTAGAGACGATAGTGCTGTGAGTGAAGCACGAATGATAGTCCATCACACTACCCAACGAGACAGCTTGCATCGAACCATGCCTGAATATGGAAGGTGCAAGTTCACGATACCCTCTACGATACTTCTAGCGGTCGATATAGTGTAGTTTCATGGTATTTCTTTTTCACAGCTTTTATCTCCTGGTTTCTCAATCAGCACATGTTGCAGACAGCTACCCCGAAGTACGCTGCAGGGAATTTTCGACCAGCATCGAGCTCTGTCAGATTATTCACTCACCAAACCTGCATGCAGACGTTTTTTGCTAGGAACGCGGGCATAGGTATAGCTGTGCGAAATCAATCTGTTCCTAGCTGGCTCTGAACTCGGAATATGTTGGGCAGAGCTGTTCTGCCCCATTGGCTCTGGGTACAAGCAACTTCTTGAGCTGCTTGACCAATGTGCTGTCTTGACACATTGCCAGTCGCAGCACAAAGCAATTGAAGGAGCATATCGTTCATTAGCTTTGTGTATAGAAAGTTTGCATCGGCAAAGGGCCACTTCTGGTTTCAACAATTTGTCCACATCTTTTGCAACACATTCAACTCGTAAATCCATATCTTCTTTTATTCTAAGTCTTGATAGGTAGGTATCGTCGTTGGGTAAAGATAAAATGCCGTAGGTGCAGACAGAAAGTCATACAGACTCAATCTGACTTGACGGCTGGAACTCCCACAAAGCCATGTCCACCGATTGTGACTGGCTGAAATGGCACTATCTCAAGCTCACTCTATCAAAATAGTCTTCGGCAAGGTGTGGCCCGTCCTCAATATCTTTGAACAGATCGTATCTCAATCATGTGCTCGGTGGTCCCAACAGTCGCAGCTAGGCTGCTGCAATCTCGACATGCACGTAGAGGTGTCTCTAGATTGTGGTTGCTGGATGTCAGCGCTCGACTGTCGGGGTATATCGTGCTGTAGCAGAGCAGCAGTCCTTTGTCGTGGACGATGCACGAGCCAGCAAGAGTCGTCTCAGATTCAATTGTCTGATTCTCATGCATTCCGCGAGCCACCGTTATCTAATACCAGGACGGAACTTAGTGGGACGGGAAGCAACAAGGGTTGCGACTGAGTTGTTGTAAATTCTCGACTCTTGTGTAGTCTTGTATGTACCAGGTTCACAGCTCATAATATCGTGCATTTCGAGCCTCTCTTATGCTTCGAGTGCCGTCCAGGTTCCGGATCATGGTGATTCCTCGAACTGTACGGTTGTTGGGGCTTGCGATCAGACGCTGTCACAGGACTCTGCCTCTGTTTACGTAGCGCACGGACAACGTCGAAGAAAGCTCTTTCAACATTCACACAATTTTTAGCTGAAGCTTCGACAAATTCGCAGCCTAACTCTTTTGCCAATGCTTGACCTTCTTGAGACGATACCTCTCTCGCGTGATGCTTGTCACTCTTGTTTCCAACCAGCATAACAGGCACAGGTCCTGTATATACTGGACCATTTTGCATTTGGGCTTGCAGGTAAGACCCACCAATGGGTGAAGCTGGATGGTGCGACTCTTTTACTCGCTGTACTTGATTGAAGAACTTTCTTATGCGATCGTACGAATTCCGAGATGTGATACTGTATACCAGAACGAAGCCTTCACCATCTCTTATCCATTGGTCTCTCAGGGCTGTATATTCCTCCTGTCCGGCAGTGTCAAGAACTTCTAGCATACAGGCCTGTGCATCAATAACGACTTGTTTGCGGTAAGAATCTTCGATGGTAGGATCGTACGTTTCAACGAAGTGATTCAGGCAGAGCTGCACAAGATGTTCAGTTTCAGCTTGATGGGTCGATTTTTCAGACTCACCTGTATAGTTAGTGCCGTTTTGCCTACACCTCCATCTCCCAACACCACCAATCGATACAACGTCATTTTTCCCGCCATCCTTGCTATGGAAAGCCGTTGGCTTTCACAGGCTCGAGTGGGGGACAAAGTTTGATGTTCTTTCGATGATTTTTCTGGTCCCTAAGAGGAGGTCACAGTCCTATGCTTATTTGTAGCTTTGGAGAGATGTAGCGTTCTGTTTTGATAAACGACGAAAAGCAGTTTGGCGAGCATGTAAATTGACTGGGCCTTCACGTTGTTTAAACTGAGGCGGTCCAGACACAGGTGGAGTACCAGCAGTAAGAAACTGGCTTGACGATTTGGAAGACTAACCGTGCTCAAGCTAGTTGGCCTATACGCACACAACGGACGTAGAGGCAAGTATATTGCCAGCTTCCACCATGGATGAAAGTGAGTGGAAGGTGCGCTCGTGTCCAGACCAGAGTCAAGAATTCAGGTGAAGATTTGGAGGCAGGTGCAGCTTAGGACGCAAATTGAACACCGGACCTGCTAATGCACACTATGGCTCGGGTTAATTCCTGTCTCCGGTTATCGTCTTTGTACTGTGCTCCCTCTTTGCATTTGAAGTTGCTTGCAACCTGGCCTCGTCCAGGTGTATGGAATTCGTGAGGAGAAGGCTCGTTGTGAAGGTAAAGACGCGGGAATTGTGTCGATCACGGAATTTCTGCGGGGCCAGAGTTTCTTCGACTCCGACGTTTGACAACCGACGAAAGCTTTAAGCGCGGTAACAGTAGGTTTAGGCGTGTGTTCAAGGTAACGACTGAAAGACGAGTTGAGACCTGTCAAAGAAGTAGAAGTTGATGTTATGTGATATAGAATAATGTGGCCTGGTTGAATGCAGCTTGCCAGTCCTGGTTGGAGGAGACCAAGACACAGTTTATGCTGTACGTGGTTCACCAGAATGTCTGGATTTGCTGGGTACTGGGAGTCTCGGTGCTTCTACCTGTCCCGGTACTCTGTCTCATCGTCTACGTTCGCTTCGAGATACCTATGGCCACAGCAGTCCACATACTTCAGTGATTTTTCTTCCATTATACACACACTCGCCCAGGAAATGGCAAGGATAGCCTGGCGTATGCTTGTGGATCGAATTGGTGTAACTCCACAGCCGCGGTCTATCAGACCAGGAATCAAGTCAGGCCGGTTCTATGAGTGGTTTCTTTTTAGCTCTCGCCGGGATGCAGCTGACGCAGTAGCTCAATTGTTTGATGTCCATCAACAGGCTCTCGATGGGAAGGCTATACCTCCCAGTGGAATCTGCAACCACGAATTCAACCAGTATGTCAGAAGCTCCGCATTATTCCCGACATTACAGGTACCATTACGGCGGCACCCTTTTGCTACAGTATACATAACACGCGCCGTCGGCACTGCGTCCGAAAGAATATCAGGTATAGGTGTTTGTACGTGCTATTAACAATTATTGTCGACTTACAGCTCGCAAGCAACAGTGCGATCCAGTTCAACATTGATACCGAATCACTTATCGCTTCCCAACCTCCCGAAACAGGACTACATCCTCGTTCAGACACTGCCGTAGCGACCCCGCAAGATGCTAGTTCATGACCCGGAAAGAAATAAGTTAAGACTCTACAAGGAACCACACATGTGGCGTGATCGACCACGACCGCAGAATTGCTTCTTCTGAGAGTAGCAACGACGAAACCCAATGAGCTGGACCAAACGATCAACGACTTCGAGCTTTATCAACAGTTTCATCTCTGACCCCGTGCAAGACCTCCAATGTCGGAGTGGGTGAATAATCTTTGAAGTGCATGCACTTGGGAGAATGCCATCCCCTGTTTTCTGAAGAGGCGCCGATGAGGTAAGGATTCTGCCTCCTCCTCAGTGCCAGGATATGGTGTTTGACCAGCCTATCCTTCTCTAACACGCAAGGTGTACATTCGGTGCTCCGCTCTTCTTCTCGGCTTTCTTCGCAGCCTTGTACCACTTCTGGTTTTCACTCTCGTATGTCGCCGTATTTCTTCGTGTTAATTTGCGACTCGGATCAACCTCTCCTTCAGCTTCGTTCCCATTCCCCCTCGTGACGAAACTGCCCATATTCGGGTATGACGAAGTAGCAGTTCTTGACTCCCTAGTGTCGTAAGTAAGGTCGGTTTTGCCATTAACCACTTTTGCGGATTCTGGATAATTTCCGTTGGTGTTTTTGAGTGACAAGTTGGCAAAGTCAGCTGAGGTTGAGGCCGAAGTTGGCGTCGCTGTGCCGTTCGTGTCGGAGCCAGCGTCCAACCCGTTCTTAGCCTGTATGGCTTTGAGAGCTACACGACGACCATTGTCAATGTCCGCGTCGTCCTCCGTCCATTCACCATAAACCTCCTCAGGACCGTGTGGTACAATGAGCTTCATGCCCATTTGACGAGAGCGAGCTTGAGAGTACCCCTGTCGGTAGATTTGGGGAATCGTGGTCTCCTTGAAAACTTTGCCATTCGGAATGCCAGAAGCATTGAAAAGGATGCGTCTGAACCAACGCCAGATCCGTGGGTAACCAGTCTGTATGGAGCGAATATTGCACAGGAATATGGTATGATAAGCGGTATCGAAGCGGGCGATCGTTGTGTATAGTCTTATATCAGCTTCTGTGAGGTGGTCTCCAAACAAAAAAGGACCACCATGGCAGCTTTCTGGGCTGGCGAGATGTGCCTCTACGCGGTCAAGCGAGGCAAACAATGGGTAGACGTTAGCGTCGTAGGCTTCCTGGGATGTAGCGAAACCACACTTGTAGACGCCATTGTTGATCGTATGGTACACCCATTCGTTCATAGCATCGATCTCGGCTCTAAGATGCTCAGGATAGAAACTCTTTCCTTGCTTGTTTGTCTCACGAAACTTCGGCTCAACCAAATCGCTGGAAAAGATCAGCTCCGTATAGCAATTTCAGTGGACACCCTAGGTCAAGTATACTTACTCGAACTCTGTGAAGAGCATGCGAATAATCTCACTCGACTCATTGTTGACAATCGTTTCGGCCTTTTTATCCCAAAGAGTGGGAACGGTGTATCTCCCAGCGTAATCAGGATCAGCCTTCAGGTAGAGCTGTTTGAGACCAACAAATCCATACAGAGGATCTCTATCTGATGAGCCGTTACGTCCAGTGAAGAGCCAGCCGTTCTCGGTTAGTTCGAAGTCGGTATATATTACCTGGATAATATCCTCGAGGCCCTTGAGTGCCCTAACAAGAATGGTTCGATGGGCCTAAAAGAGCAGGAATAGTTAGTTCCAAGTGTTGCTGTCTCTGCAGCTACTGCAACGAAGCCGAGAGTGTATTCGAACATACCCATGGGCAACCTAGGTTCACATAAAGTGCATATCGCCCTTTTTCTGCTGGAAACTTGGCATTCTGATCTCGTGAAATCCAGTCACGGAATTGACTGTCTTTCCTTCGAAAATGACCGTCCTTGTCAGCGTGTTCATGGGTTGGCCTCTGCGAACTCTTCACTCAATTAGCAGACTTTAGATGGGTAGATGCACGGGCTCGTACAGGATCTCCCATTTCGTGTCACTGTGTGTCAGAGCAACCTCCTGATCACGAGGTTCCTGAAAATACGAACTTGGAGGTACAGGTAGTAGTGGACGGAGCTCTAGTACAGAAATGAAAGCTGCTTTATAAAACCACGGTACAACGAGAGTCCAGAATACGTTGGACGTGCTGGGGATGGTAAAAGAACGAGGCCAGATTCACCGTGTGAAGCGAGATGTCGTCTATATCGAGCTCCTCGTGTCAGGTCAGGTTCCGTGCTTACGCAAATATGGATGAGGCTGGGGCGTAAGCAGTTGTCAATCAGACTGGACCCCGAGCTTGATGTGAAGGAAATGGCATTGGTGGGTTTCTCCAGAAGTCCGTTTTAGCCTCCGTTTTCGTGGGGCCGACAAGTCCACCAATGGATGGGGGTCTTTAAACGTGCTCGAAAGCAGCATATCAAATCTCCTACACAGCATTGTTGCTTGTTGTCTTTGATTAATACCACGAAGCAAGGAGTTAATCTACTGTATATTATACGATCGGTGCACAAAGCTAAATACCAAAGCTGCTTGATCAATCAATAATGTAAAACCATCGGTCTTTATCACTGTAAACCTCTCTTTGTGGTAGTTGTTGTAGAGTCCCTGTGCAATCCCGATGCAGCGAACATTGGATTCTACGCTATACGCTGTCCAAAGCGTTGAGCTGTGTGGCTGGTGGAGATCGAAAGACGTTGAGGTTTTACCTACCAGCAGAAGTGAAAGAGTAGCAATGAGGACACAATCTGGAACACTCTTACCTCACAATACTCGCGTCTTCGTGGTATATGCCTTCCCTTGCCTGCTGCTCCAGATCTTTATCGTGACTGTCCGTGTGTCCCTGGAGCTGTCCTGTTATGCCGCCTGTCTCGTGGTATAGACCCTCTTCAGGCATTGTACAACCAAGACGTCTTGCAACTTCCTCGAAGCCACCCTCATTCTCATTCACCCAGATATCGACCCAGCCACCACGCCTGGCGTCATCCACCTTTTCCTTGTCCCAGGTCTCTTCCTGCGGCCGCTCAACGTATATCGTCTGATATCCACATTTGTGTTTCGCTGCATGTAGATCGCCCAGGTGTGCCGCGACCATCGCACATTCGTTTGTTTGTACACCTAGTTGTTGGGCTGCGCCGTTGTAGACGTCCGCGTGCGGTTTATATGCTCCGAAGTTTTCGGCTGACAGTATGTGTTTGAAGGGCAAAGAGCCATGCGTCCTCAAATCAGTCAGCAGAGTGGTGTTCCCGTTGCTCAGTGTGGCTGTCTCGAACTTCTGGTTCAACATTTGCAGGCCCTTAGCAGAATCTGACCACGGGTCAAGAAAGTGCCATATCATGCTAATGCGTTGCAACTCCTCCTCATCCCAAAGACCCTCGAGCTGATACTCGCGTAACAGTTCGATGAGCGAAAGAAGGTGGTGTTGGTCGACGGACTTGAAGGGTCCGGTTGTAGGGTCATAAGAACGTGTAAATTCATAGTAGGATTTCCGCCATTGCCAGGCGAACTCCCCCCAGTCAATAGTGGGGGCAGTGGTGCGCACGAGAGAGGGAAGAGACGAGGACGAGGAACTCAGAGTGTCCTCTGCCGTTTTGGACAGGAAAGTTGTCACGGTTGAGCGCCAGTCAACGCATGTACCGAAGACATCGAAGAGAAGCGCCTTGGGTGGGTTGGTTTGAGTCATTGGAAGAAAGCCCCCCAAGTCCTGGAGGGTTGTGACAATACTAACTACGAGGGACAAGACTCAGTTAGATTGAATGCAGTAGTGCTGATGGGCAAGCAATCATGTGTATGCGCAAAGCCAAAGGATGTGACACAAGGTGAGGCGATACTCGAGTTCCCTCCGATATCGAACACGACCAGAATCGTTACGACAATGACAAAGGTTCACATTCAAAGCCTTCCACTTTTTGCGGGGAAGAAGAATAAAAGTGGAAGTGATGAAATACGTTAGCGCAAAGTGGTCCGGTTATCACACTCATTCCACTACTCATATGATGCACGAACATTGAAGCTGGCAACACGTGGGGAGTGTTGTGTCTATCGTTGTTGTCTACTGCAGGATCACTTGCAGCTCCAAAGTGCCCATGGCTGATGTGCAAAGAAAGTCATACTGGCGATTCGCTGTCTCATGCTCATGAACTTTATCAACCACATATCCGGTTCGACTGAGGAAGTGACGTGTATAGATTGGAAGGAAATGTACCATCAAAAGGTGAATGCGCGGTAAAGGAGGCGAGAGTGTGATGTGTGCGACAATGGCCTTGAGCTGTCAAGCTACTCGTAGGCTAGACATCCTGGTTCCTGAGACTCGGACTGTTCATCTTGTCACTAGAACGCTTAGCTGCCATTTAGAGTTTCATCTCTCTTTCGGACCGCGAAGCCGAAAATTGGAGATGAAAAAAAAAGATACTGTACTCGGTATTACTGTAAGTCTTTCGACATCGGGCCGACGAAGTTGAATCCTGATGTGACTGCAATATACATGTTTGTGATGCATGTACGCGAGAACCCAAAGTGGTCAGAGGAACCGTGCATGTTGCCGTGAGGGCGTTTATGAGAGGTGTTCGTGGGCCGGGTCACGACCTGGTCGTGAACAAAATGAGATGCTCCATTCTGCAGATTGTGGTCGGGCCACACCGACCCACAGGCTCAGGAAGCCATCACCCTTGCTCACTGACTACACTGACTGTTCAAATAGCAGTTTAGGCGCATTCCCCGCGCAGATACTTACTTTTATGCTGCGGTTGTGCTTGTCATTGTGATGAAGTTTTGGTGCTTCAGCACAAAGGGGGACGGCTTGAGCTCAATCTCAACGAAGTATATCGACACACTTCGCAAGGATGCAGACCAGGACATCGGTTCAAGCATTTGCAGTATGTGCTATTGATTGAATCCATCTCCATCCTATGCGACGGCCTTGCATCCTTGCAGTAATAAGGTTTAGCCTGTTTCAAAAAGTCCCCGTCTCATCGATTCCGCCGAATTGGGTCCATCGGGCTTGATGCTAGCTCCCAAGCTACTTCTCTCGAACAACGCCGTTCGTAACGACCTGCAGCTCTAGTTTTCGCCCGGTGGCTTTGCAGTTAGCACATGGCCACTAAACCTCAAATTCTCCGATCTTTCCAATCACCACACCCCTGAAGCTTTTGTGGCATGAAGGCTCATCACTTTCAATTTGACTGGAGTCTGTTTTGGTCATCTTGATTCTAGTCTGCTGATCGTGCAGTTATGCAGCTTCGGAGCCAGGCCTGTGGTTCTCTATCTGCGTGAAGGCTGATCTAACAGCACGCGCGTTTTGCGTTTCGTTCTCTCATTTTGCACTCAGAAGGCTTTCTTGCCTCGATATACGGATACAGACCCATCCATCCACTGATCTCGGTTGCTGCTGAATTTGTCGCTTGCCGGTCTAGGTTCAAATTTGCGTGAATCAAGGCTGACGTCCGGGTTCGATACAAAGGTTTGTCTCGCGTGGGAAACATCACCCGAACAGGCGCTGGTCCATGTTATACACAATTCTAGGACGTATGAGTTAGCAGAGGGAGCAACGGAAGGGGATCTTTGGGGCTAAGGTGCCTAACTAATTCGCATCAAGTCTCTAAAAGTGGAAGGCATGGTGGACAACAGGACTGGCTTGGGAACCGTTCGTCAAGCAGTTGAAAGATTCGAAGGGCGCAAGTCATGTATTGTAGACACGGCTATTGAGCAATTTTCCGACGGCTCTGACGCAGGTCAAGTCTTTATGGCTGCGGAAGGTACCTACGCGTTGCCTTCACCCACTGGCACACCATACCGGACACCCTCGAGCTCGCGATCTCGCCAAACATCCCGCACCTACGAAGATCTGTCTCCTGCCACGACTCCTCCACCACTACCGTCTCTTGAGCGAAATCGCAAGATTGGCAGTAACGAATCTCTGAACGACGCCCTTGACGATGAACTCCCTCTATCAGACCCACGCCGCTTCACTCCCACCTTACATGCATCTTTGGTATCCGAAATATTGTCGTTGCGTCGTGATGTCGAAACAAAGTCTTCCGACATCGATCGCTTGGAGCAGAGTCTGCACGACACCCAGGTCCAGAACCAGACGCTGAATAGCAATCTACTGGCTGCTACTCGAGAAAGTCGGCAGGTCAAGCGCCAGATGCAAATGTTGGAGGGAGGTACTCTGTCTGCTATCAACGAGATTGCGAGAGAAAGAGACGAGGCGGTTAAAGACTCGATAGAGTTCAGGAACAGGCTAGACCATATCCAGAAGAAGAGTAAGAGCCACGATGATGACATGGATCGAGTTCAACAGCAATGGCAGGACGACAAAGAAGCATGGCTCGTCGAGAAGCGCAATCTCGAGACCAAGATTCACATAGTAGAAGGCAGACTCAAAGTCGTGCTCAGTGAGGTAGCCAAGGTACAACTGATACATGCTTCAGACGATGTTAGCTCTCCTCGAAGATCACAAAGCCGAACAAGTATGCTTGGGAGTCCCAGGAAAAGGCCCGAATCAATTGCTCAGCGACGGCAAAGTCTTACATCGAATCAGAGCGATCAATATGGTGGGAGGACATCAGTATTGAGCTTTGTCAACAGTGATGCCGCAAACTTGGCTGACGAGCTTGGACTAGAAGGTATCGATGAGGATTACACAAGCCAACCTGACGACGATCGTCGGCTGTCACCCGAGCCAGTCCACGAAGTGCTTCCCAGACCATCCTCCCGAGTATCTCTAAAGGCGAGGAAAGTGCTTGGGCTGCCAATTGACCTCAGTGAGTTTGAGCAAGTCGGACGGGTCAATCCCAGCGACCATCTAGCAAGTCTAATTGAAGTGGATTCTCCCACGAGCAAAACTACGACCAAAATCGTGTATGTCGACTCAGGCATACAATATTCGAGACCTTCTTCACCCGTCCAGGTGCACACACGAAGAAGCTTAGACACTCCTGTGCCAAGGCATAGAGATTCCGTAGATACAGCAAGAGCGAGCAAGCGGCTGAGCGCCATAAGTCAAGTCAGCCAAGACAGTGCCCAGTACAGCGTCGACACCAGTGACAACGCGTGGGAAGATACTCTGCGAAATCAACCAATCATGGTCTCATCAGCTTGCCAGACTATTGAGAAACTACCCGATCTTCCATTGACACCAAAGCCAGATTTGTCCTTGACCACGATCGATGAGACAGTTGAGACGCGCGAGATCGCGATCCAGACTGATTCACCACTTCGAGTTTTTGCTCCTATACCCGCAGTGGTACACAAGCGCACGGATACCAACCAATCTTCTCTCTCGACCGAATTACACATACCCACCATCGCCATCATACCTCCGACGTCTCGGCCTGTCACTCCTGATGAGCATGCTGTCAAGCTACCACCTCGAACAAAAAGTGCCAGCTGTCAGGTTGAGACCCACATCTTGTGCGAGTACAACTCTAAGGGTATGCAGACTGAAGACATCCGTATCGACAAGCGCAGTATGATCCCTCCACACCCTCCAATGCCACCACCTCCAGTACCCGCGAACCTTCCTCCACCGTCTAGTTTCATCAAGGCTAGAGGGCCAGCTTTTTCGAGGCGAAACATTCCCAATGTTCCAAACTCGTCTATGCGACGTAGCACTCCGACTCAAAATCTTTCACTTATCAACGATGATGGACCCCTCAGTGATATGAAGCTGGAAATTGGCCGCCCGATAAGGTCGAGTAGCATGTTCGCCGGATTTGAGGAAGCAGATGAATTCAATGACTTTGAGGACGATGTTTTCCATGATGACGACTTTTTTAACAAGCCGATATCCAAGTTCATCCTCTCCAGAGGCAAGATCATGGCTGCGGCGAAGGACCTGGAGGATATTGAGGAGAGCGAGGCTGCTGTTGCGGCAGGCAAGAGATTTGCGTTAGAACAGATCCGTCGCTCCGAAGAAAACGAACGTGACTTCGAAGTCGATGGCGACTCACAGATCAGACCGTTTCCAAGAGGATCGAGCAAGCAGGTCAAGCGCGTCCCATCTTCTAGGACGACGAGTATGAGGCGTACAGCGCTTATCTCGAGTGGTACGGCAGCTCATGCTCACCAAACCAGGAGCTCTTTGTCCTCGATGGGCTCGGGTGATAGCGCCAGGCCTCCAATGCCTATACCGGTTCGCTATAGTTCTGCGAGAGTTGGGAAATCCATAAGCGACGGTGGTCGGAGTTCTAGAGGTAGTAGCAACAACTCACCGACTCGACCCATCAGAAAAGTCCACAAAACATCACTGAGAAAGACCAAATCAGGACCCGCTCTCTCACCAGCTGCTCAAGCAGCAAGACGAGCCAAAAGTCGATCCCCACCTCTCGAGAGCAGGGTGTCTATCGTGCCAGATATGCCAAATTTCAGAATGCCTCAGCAGCCGCACGAAACTCCCAGCATTTCGGTCGATTTAGCCACCGCGTTCGGAGCAGGTGCACCCATTCCATCGATAGCTCAGGGTCCCCCACGATCGACCGACCAGGTAAGAGAGCATTCAGACACATTCACTGCGCCACAGACGTCGGTGGTAGATGCAATAGCTCAGACTATGGTTGGGGAATGGATGTACAAATATGTCAGAAGAAGGAAATCTTTTGGTAAACCAGAAAAAGATTGGGACTTTGGCAAGAGCATCGAGGAGATGTCAAATAGTGCTAGCTCTGGTGTTAGACACAAGCGCTGGGTCTGGTTAGCACCGTACGAGCGGTCGGTATTGTGGTCAAGTAAACAACCAACAGACAATACAGCGCTCCTGGGTAAGAGTGGTCGGAAATGTAAGCTACCTCATATTATGACACAGTCTTTTACTGACAGTTCTTACAGTGACGATCAAGTCTGTTTTCGATGTCAAGGACGACAACGCTATGCCCAAAGGCAGTATCACAGGACCACACTTCAATCGATCAATACTGATCCTGACACCTCAAAGAGCCTTGAAGTTCACAGCCACAACTCAAGAGCGACACTATATATGGCTAACGGCATTGTCGTTCTTGTCGCATTCACCAATCAGCATGAACGACCTTGCACCGTTGCCTCCCATGCCACCAGAAGAACATCTAGACGAAAATACAAGCCCTGCACCATCCCTTGGTGGATCTCTGCGCAGACGACCAATTCGTGATTCCATTAGAATAGCTAAAGGCTCGACCGCAAGACCCCAGTTCAGGTCGTATACGACTGATGGTGTAACCACATTGTCAGAATACGAGCGACCTCCAACGCAGGGCCAGTACGATCCTATCAATGATGCTGCACTTCCACCAGTCATTCGAAGATATCACAATCGCAACCGCAGCAATACTGCTCCGAAGCCAACAGCAAGTGCGTTTCGTGCTCTTCTTTCCCGGGATTCAGGGGCTGCAGCGGCACCTTCAGTGGCAGTCGAGAAGACACCAAACGATCGAGGAGCGCAAACACCTAGCCTTGGTATGCCGAGCAGGCCAAGTTCTCGCAGAGGAAGCGAGGCTAGTGCTCTAGGTCGACCACCCCTGGGACCACCTTTCCAGACCCTTGACATGCCCGGTCAATTCTTCGACACCATGTCAAACTCTAGCCATGCAGCAAGCACGACTATGAGAGTTGATGCGTTCATGGACGATCACCAGCGAAATACTTTTGGCCAACGTGGAACCTTCGGTAGAGGCGCCATGCGAAATTTGAGACTAGCAAGACCATCGATGAGAAATCTCAAGGATCCCAGCACTTCGTCGTGGGCAGCTCACCAGTCTTCGTTCCGAGATAGTATGAGTCCAGTGGAGACACTGGCTAGTCCGACAGAAGTCAGATTCAGTGAGAGTACGAGAGCAAGCAGCGAAGCTGGCGGATACTTCAGAGGTATATAAGTATTTTCGAAGGATCGGACATCAAATTCGACCATGAGCATACCTAAAATGCGTCGCAGCTTATACCAACGGCCAGGATATCAAACCAGGTCTTCGGAGAAATCTTAGGGGAGTATATTTCTCAAAGAGAAGGATGTCCGATTTTGTGGTTCTTGTATCAGAGGATGCGTCTATGTACAGCTTAGGATCATGTTGGCATACTGGTGACCATTTTTCGTTATTTGTATTGCGTTCAGAGCGATTGATAGGAATGTTATTTCACGGTTGACGATACAATTGAAATGTAGAAACACGTAATTCTATGTCTATACTACTCACGTACGTAATTGTCGCATTATAGGACTCATACCAGGTTTTTAGCAAGGCTTTTCTTTGTGTCTGTTTCTCAGAAGTGACTGGTGTTCTGGACGGCTGGCATTGAATAAACGTTCAACCAATCGTGTTGAGGCCTGCTATGGATGACTGACATGCCGAGGTACGTTCATCTCTCCTTGGTTGTTGCTAAATCCCGATTGCTGGAAAAGCAAACCAACATATAAGATTCCGATATCTTTGCAGCCACTGCTGGGCGCAGTCACCCTCGAGACCTTGCGATCAACAGTAGTCCTCCACGAGCAGGGTATTCCTCAAAAACCTACACTTACTGGACTGCTTCTCTTCATCACCACATTCTCCGTCACAAACAGCAAAGAGCTCGCTCTCACCATCCCACCCTGCTCCCTCTAGCGGGTGTATATACCACTCCCTCGCACTTGCCTTCAACCTCTCCCTCTTCCACTAGTCTCGCACCCCACCCATCTCACCACCGCCACAATGTCCTCCTCCGACAAATCCTACACAAAATCCGAAGTCGCCAAACACAACAAAGACAAAGACATGCTCATCATCGTCGACGACTCTGTCTACGACGTCGGCGAGTTCGTCAACGAACACCCCGGCGGCGCGAAGATTTTGAAGCGTGTGGCGGGGAAGGATGCAAGCAAGCAGTTTTGGAAATATCACAATGAGAGTGTGTTGAAGAAGTATGCGCCGAAGTTGAGGGTTGGGAAGGTGAAGGAGGAGGCGAAGTTGTGAAGGAGAGGAGGGTCTTGTATTTGAGAAAGGAAGAGAAGGGGGGGGGGGGGGGGGGGGGGGGTAAATATTTAATAATTTGGGGAGGTTGGTTGCCGCCGGGATTGGTAACCAAAAGAGGTGGTTTTATTTGTTTTTTTTAAAACAAA